CATTTATGACTAATTAATTTCTAGACAGAATTTCAATTAAAGTCATACTGTAGTTCTATCTCTTCTAAACATTTTATTTTTTTATATGCGCTATCTTCTCTGTTATTAACGAAGCTAAACTATTTTTTTACTCCCACCTTTAAAACGCCCTTTATCGTACATGTTTCCATGACACTAAGTGGCCTTTTAAATACACATTGACAAGTTGTGGCTTTATGGCGCTTTAGTCACGGGCTGAAGTTAGTTTTAAGTTAGTTGACAGTTGTCAAATGTCATACAATCGTTAAAATAAAGTGCCTTTCTTGTAAAATAATACTAAATGTGAAAATTATTTTATTATCTCAATATAAAAATACAAAAGTATTAAATAGTTTCTCAACGCCAATATTTGAAAAGTTTATATGAACATTGTACTGACCTTTTAATTTTGCCGGCAGTAAACTATAACTTAAATTCGGACACGGACTCCACTGTAAAGTGCTCATAAAACATTTTCTTTACTTTCACTGTGAAAAACTGTCAATTTTCAAGAAATACATTTCGATTTATAACCTTTATAATCTGTGTTTATAAAATAAAATAAATTGACATTTGACGGTGACACACAGATTCCCGTATTGTTTCATAGATGGCGCTCAATACAAATTTTTGATTTAAATCATTTTAAGATAATAATAAGTATTTGTCGTAGAAAAAGTATAGTATATATGCACCTCGTTTATAAACTTTTCTATACACTCATTAATTTAAGCACTCGCTCGCAAGCTCGCTTTTAAATTAGTGTATAAAATGGCGTTTATCAAACTTTATACATAATATACTATTAAAGCAAACGCACCGTGTAAAATCGACATACGCTGGAATATTTTGAAATATGTTGTCAAATAAAAAAAATACCGTGATCTGTGAATTACCTAAAGATGGTCGAAGTCAATGTTATGTGTTCAATACAAACACTTTATCTAAGGCATTGACTTTAAAATCGTTTCGTCGTTAATAATAATGATAATAATGTAAATGAAGAAACAAAACGTTTAAAAAAAAGATAGGACTACAGTATGACATTAGGTGTTATTGCTAATCTCCCAAAGGGTGTCAAAATTTTCAGGGAAAAAACTTTTTTTACTTTTGCACCCTGTATATGCATAAATTAAAATCAGAGTACAATACATTTAATGTTTAAAATAGCATCGTAACTAAAGAGTCAACCAACAATTTAAAAAAATCAACATTAAAATTGTGGCCGGTTTGTGGGTGCATATTTTTGTAATTATTTAATTACAATCAGCAAAATGGCTGTTTAACAGTGTAATAACCAAGTTAGTATGAAATAATTTCGAAATAATTAAATTTATTGTCACCATATTGAATATCCAATTTCAAATAGGGTGAATTCTCAACCACCAATATTTGATAAATAAATGGGAACAGTGTTCCTGGAACAACCTATATTACGGCAATTAAATTAATTAATTAAATTAATGGTAATAAAGAAAAATCTAGGACTACTTGGTTATCGTTTTTGCTTACAATATAAAATACACATTTAAAACTATAGTTATAATTAAGGGGGGTACATTTTTAATGTTTTATTTTAATTAATTAATCATTTGATTACACATTGCATTGACTTTTACTTATAATTTATGTATCAATTATTAACAAAAAATAACATGTCATTTGAAAACTACAAAAATTATTAGATTTTCTCAACGGAAAATTTGGCTTTATTATAAAAAAAAAACTTTAATTCAGGATCGTATTATTTGGGTAATCTTGGCATCGTAGTTATCTATCTGTCAGTTTCTAGTCAACTCTAATTTCGTCTTATTTTCCGAAAATAATACAATAAATGTATTATTGTTCTAAATTAAGAGACACATACAGTTTATTTTTTTTTATCTGGAAGCTTTAAACTGACAGATAGATAACCTCAATTATTTTTATTCAAATGTCAAAGTGGGATTTTCGGGTGTGGTGCATTATGCACCGTGCATAGTAGGTACATATGAATATTTTATGCAGCCCTAAAATTCAAAATTTGATTTGTTAATGGCCGCCAACGATGCCAATTACCGATTGCCATTTCTTATTAAAAAGATAAAAATGTTTGAAGTTGTAGTTATATTGTTATTTTTAAATCCTAGAAATACCCCGTTGTTTTAATATCCACCAAAGATGCGTATAGGTGTATAATAATTCAAAAATTAGAATTTGTATTATTTCTAATATTTGTACGTATCCATAAAAATGTTATTGCTTTACAAATTTTGTCTTAAAAATATTTAATAAAAAATCACAATAAATATACCTAGGTATATTTTTAAACCTAAACATAAACGAAAATATAAAATTAATTTGTTTGTAAAAGAAGATTACATCTCTTAATAAAATATTCATTGTTAATTAACCAATTTGTCAAGCTATTTCTGTTAATTTATTTTATGTTTACCTTTTTGTTGGCTATAGAGTAGAAATTTCTCAACGACCCTTCAATTTATGACGTTAAAAGAAAAATTACAACTAAATATTAATAATCCAATCATAAATATCAAGTCATAATGTATTTATTTTTTTAATCAATGTTATTAACACAAAACATGTATTAAAATTTTATAAAGAAACAATAAATAGTTTACAAAATACTTTAACTAACTAGTTTTTTGATTTTAAACCGTTATAAAGTCGCCGCTACTGATCCAATTAAATTAAAATTTGTTCAGAATTAAGATTAACACCACAAAAATATGGTGTTAAAATTTCATAACGATATCTTAATAAGTTTTTTTTATATGAATTTTTGCCACTTTTTGGCATTCAAGTCCATACCATTTATGGCAGTTGCCAAAATTCCAGTAGGTGGGAAATTTCTACTCTATATTAGTGATAATAATAATTACTTGGTAGAATGAAAATTTAAAAAAAAATCGACAAATATGTTAAAAATATTATACTTATATTTTATTAAACATTTTAAATTTTCTCTGCTTTTCAAAGTCAAATTCTAACTGAATTAGATTAAAATTTGTTAAATTACATCTAAAATAGACAACTACATTTTCTTAATATCCTAAATTGGAAGACATAATTTACATATTATCATTACATTAAGTTAAAGGCAAAATTTCAACAATTGGAAGACTTCGTTGACCTTTTTTGTGTACATATATTTTTTACAGTGGGTATACGATAGGGTGGAGTGAATTTTTTTAAATTTATTAATTGATTTTTCCTATATTATTAATTGTTGACTAAAGGCGTAAAATGAATAAATATCGAAAAAATATTCCAATTTTTTAATATCTTGAGGTGGCGCATCTGCCGCGAAGTTTTGAAAATTCTAAAAAAATATTACTTTAATCAAAGTAATAAAAATAGCATTATTTATAAATAAAAAGTTTATTTTAGTAAAATTAACGTGAAACGTAAATATATTTAATAGTAAATCATATGCTTTAAGTAACTTCAGGAGTGTTTATTGGTAGAAATGAGATCTTCTTTTTCGCGAAAATACTGACATTTGGTATCAAAATTTGGTAATTATTTTCTGACTTTAATTCTTGTTCTGATGAAACCATTTCTTGCTTCCGATCCACAAACCGAGACTGAAGATTCAGTATACTGGTTATAACCAGTTTTACACAGCGTTCCACTGCTTGGGTGTGACACTGAAATTTTTGGAAGTATAGGAAATGGTCACCCGAAGAAATCATATCGGTAATTTCTGTCATCGTATTTCATAGTCATAGGTGGTTCAGTCACCTTTTCTGTCGCCCAGTGAATTAACTGGTACAAACGTAATGCTTCAGTATTTAGTTGTGGAAGCTTTAATTCCCGTAATCTCGAACATTTTGATTCTTTTCTCGCCTTTAATATTTTCGGCAATGCTAGTTCTCTGATCGATAGATATATTGTAGGTAACATAGCAAGTAATAGGTTTTCGGGATAAATATTTCGCTGAATATTCTTTATAACTATAGTTATAAGGCCTTCAAGTTTTTCTGGAGATGTAATGCTCTTTTAGTCATAATAAATATGTGAATGGGACCATGTTTGCACGTAGGCTTGGTGTTGATGTAAAACCACGTTGGGGCATACACTTTCATGATAAAAGTAGCCAATTCTTTTAGGTTTTCCGATGGATTTGCTGTCCCCTCATATAAACGAATAATCCTATTAGCCCACGTCAGCCATAGGGAATGTGCTAGCTTGCCTGGATCTTTGTAAGCTATAGCTAATATTTATCCCGAAAACCTATTACTAGCTATGTTACCTACAATATATCTATCGATCAGAGAACTAGCATTGCCGAAAATATTAAAGGCGAGAAAAGAATCAAAATGTTCGAGATTACGGGAATTAAAGCTTCCACAACTAAATACTGAAGCATTACATTTTTACGAGTTAATTCACTGGGCGACAGAAAAGGTAACTGAACCACCTATGACTATGAAATACGATGACAGAAATTACCGATATGATTTCTTCGGGTGACCATTTCCTCTACTTCCAAAAATTTCCGTGTCACACCGAAGCAGTGGAACGCTGTGTAAAACTGGTTATAACCAGTATACTGAATCTTCAGACTCGGTTTGTGGATCGGAAGCAAGAGATGGTTTCATCAGAACAAGAATTAAAGTCAGAAAATAATTACCAAATTTTTATACCAAATGTCAGTATTTTAGCGAAAAAGAAGATCTCATTTCTACCAATAAACACTCCTGAAGTTACTTAAAGCATATGATTTACTATTAAATATGTTTACGTTTCACGTTAATTTTACTAAAATAAACTTTTTATTTATAAATAATGCTATTTTTATTACTTTGATTAAAGTAATATTTTTTTAGAATTTTCAAAACTTCGAGACAGATGCGCCACCTCAAGATATTAAAAAATTGGAATATTTTTTCGATATTTATTCATTTTACGCCTTTAGTCAACAATTAATAATATAGGAAAAATCAATTAATAAATTTAATAAAATTCACTCCACCCTAGTATACGAATTTTGCACAAAATACAGACAATTTTCTTTAAAAATATTGTCTATTAACTTGTAAACAATCAATACTTATACTTAGGGTTTATTGTCTTGATTTCGGGTTTTTAAAATGGAAGACCAATGGCAAAAGCTTTAACTAATGCGCTACCTGAATGGTAAACCCCGTTTATTCCAAACAGGAATCCCAGGGATATAATAAAATAGTCAAAAACCACCCCACGCATATCCATGGTCTCTCGTTTTAGTTTTAAATGGAAATAGCAAGGCCATATGAAACTCAAGGCAGTTCCAGTGAAGCTACCAATGAATCCCATAAGTATGGAGAAATGGGGGATGAAGCAAGCCATGAGGATGGTGAATAAAACCACACCCACCCTCCAAGCCAACCCCCATACTTTTAGCTCCCCGTCAAGCGCCCATATAGTCGGAAAAGGTGTTTTAGGCTTACCTCGGAAGAAGGCTCTCTCCAAAAGCTCGCATGCCGCATAGAACGGCAACGGGTAACTCAACAAGGCTTTCACAACCAAACAAACGTTAACCAGCCCCTTGAAACCTTCAGAGGGTAGATTATTGGTAATAACCTGCTGGGTATCGTTTTGGTATGTCAAAAAACATATCCAACCGAATAGGGCTTTAAAAACGGCCGCCCAAACGTGAGACCAGTCCAGCATCCATTGGAACTTTGAGGGGTCCTCCATGTTGCCCTCGAGAGTCGGCAAGAATATCTGCGAGGTGTATGAGAACACGATGACTCCGAGACTGATGGGGAAATTTTCCGTGTCGAACGTCCATTTTACCTTGCCCCAACCCCAATCGCCGATGTACAGCAGGCAGTATCCGATTATGATGGCGTTTATGAAGATGTGGGACATTGTGCACCAGAACGATAGGATGCTGACGCTTTTTAGAGATTTTAAGAAGGCTGAAATAAAAATAAATATTTTAATTAAAAATAAAACGTAATTTAACTTCCTACTACAAAATTTATCTCTAACTATTTAACCTATCATCAATTGTCTAGTTTCTACACTTAGGAAAGCGTATTATAAAATAATATTTTCCTGTGTAGAGAACTGAATGCACCTAACATTTATGAGTAAGATCACCTCAAGTGGACCCCCCCAGGGCCGGATTTAGCATGGGGCCAGCGGGGCCACGGCCCCAGGGCCCCCACCATTTCGGGGCCCCCACCAATGCAATAATAGCTTTTTAATGAACCGAATATGAAAAAAATGGGCGAAAAAACAAAAAATTGGGTCGGTTATACCCCGCGAATTCTGTAATTTTCAATTAATTTTTCGTAGATCTAACTCTAATTTTTCGCGGATTTTTTATCGCTTGTCCGCTTGCAAATCCGAACGTAAATTATCACACTCAAAGTTTTGGTGCGCGTAGACGTTTTTATAAAGTCTATAGTCATAAATTGTGACTCATAACAATTTTAAGCAGTTGCTCCTTTTTGTAAATACAGGAAAACAGTGAATTTCTTATAATTAAATATTAAAGTTAGTTTTTATCCCAGATTTTTATTGGTACATTGGAGTGTTGTGGAATATTTTCCGGTGTTTCGTGCTTTTATTTTTTCAGTTTGCTTTACGTATTAAATATACAAACAAAACATAGATCAATTTATATTTTCCTTGAGTAATTGAGTATGTTCCTATTATTCAAAACGTATAAAATATAAAGTATATAAAAACACTTTCATTCACAATTCTATTCTTCTATCTACGTTTTTATAGTTTTGCATACGAATTTATTTTCACAGACTTGGGTAAAATGTATATAAGGTTATGTTCGTATTATTCAAAATATACAGGGTGATTCAGACTTGTGACAAAAGCTCAGGGAAAATTCCTATCATCGAAATATGAAAAAAAGTTCCTATAAACACGTGTCCGAAAATGCTTCATTATCAAGATACAGTTTCGTTTAAAAAAAATAGGTTTTTTATTTTTAGCTTAAAACGCTTTGGCCGATTTTATTAAAATTTATATGGTTTATTAAATAATAAATGATTCAAAGATAATAAAAAATCACGTAAAGTTCCTCTAGCTTATAAATTTACCATGAATTTTAAATTCCCAAGTGTCAAAAATTTTAGAAATATTGAGGGCCCCCACCAAATGTCGGCCCCAGGGCCTCAAAACTCTTAATCCGGCCCTGGACCCCCCATTTACCACTTAATCGTGGAATTCAAATTAATATATTTTAATACAAAGCAGTCACCATCAATAATGAAACCCTAAAACAGTTTTTTTTAAATTTTCATATTAACAACAATATTTTTTACAATAAAAATTTTAATGAAATTTTTAGGATTTATTGTTTATTATTCACATTTTAAAAAATAATTCAAAATTTGAAATTATTTATTTATTATCATATTTTTAATTAACTTTAAAAAACAAATGAAAATTTTAATGACTTCTTCAAATTATATATTTTTTTTCATTGCATACATTTCCCAGCAGCACGTTACTTTTTTATTTTTTCTTAAAAATTGTATTAGTATTTATTTTTGTATCCTTTGAAAAACGCTTACACTGAAGTGATACATCGTCTTAAGCTTTATAATAGTGAAACTGGCGGGTATTTTTTATAGTAACAAATTCTTGAAAACGTAGTTTGTATTTTAGTTAATGAAAATCATGTTCCACTTGAGAGCAAAAACCAAAAACAATTGTTTTTAAATGAATTTTCGGCCCATTTAAGGAATGACTCTGCAGTAGTAATGTGCATATCATTGTCGCGTTGTAGACTAGCACGATAAGCATCCTCATAAGCCATCACATGCTCCTTTACCGTGAGATGTCACGAAAAAGTTCGGCCATATTTATTTTTATACTGAGAACCTGCTCCGTCGGAAAAATAAGAAATTTTTTTAATATTATTAGCTCCGAATTTTTTTTTTATTCAATTAAGTTTGAATTTAATTTTTTCTGAAATTATCACGTAATTTTTATTACTTAATTAATTTTTAAGGATTACATCATTTATTCACCCGGTCGATAAATCAGTATTAATATAATAAATATTAATAAAAATGATAAAGTTAATTAATTGATGAAATAGTTAAACGCAAATCTACAAAATTAAAATTCTTGTATTTAATATTAATCAGAGTTTAAAAAAATCATGATTTAAAAAAACACAAGAATCGATAATTTTTATTAAAAAAAAAATCACAAAAATCTGACTGATAAAACCTATAGAAGCTTACCAAATTAATTAAAAGTGAGGGGACTGTTTTAAGAGTTATAAATAAATAATTATTTACAACTTTCTTAACTCTATTATACTATAATAGTAAGTTGAAGAAAGTCTAAATTTTTTAAAATTATTTCTTTTAGGCTTCATTTTCACACAAAACTCACAACCTTTAGGTTTAAATATAAAGCTGTATTCAGACTAATTTTTTATGCATGTAGCAATAAAAATTGCAAAAACAGTTTAAACTTTATTTAACTTAGATTTTGGTTAATTTACTTAGAATGCAAGTCATTTAACCAGATGTGCTACTTGGGTTGTTAAATATTATACACTCACGTGCAAAATAATCGATCCACACAAATTTTCGATGAATTTCAATCGCAAATAACTTTTTTATTTGATGTCGGATTTAAACAAATATTAAAGAATATTGTAGATACATTAATGGAGAATCGCTCACATTTTAAAAAAATACTAAAAAATAGACGTAAGTTTATAATATACAGGTTTAAACAAAACACTCTGTAGAGTGGCAAAACCGTATATTGTTCTAAATTAAGTTTTATTTATCAAGTCACATCTATTCTTAACAGTTTTGTTTTTGGTTCACCTCGATATATTTATTTTTGTGGAAAATATGGATTTAAAAAAAAAACATTTCAATTTCCAATATTTTTCTGTATGAAGAACTAAGGTTGCTATGGTCCATTCATAGGCTATGGAGAATTACAGTGAAAGTTTTGTTGAATTATCCCATACTTGGACATGTCATACATGGCTTTCAAAAGCTATCAAATTGTTTTTTGCAAATTAATTTTTAAATTGTGAGGTGTCTTCTTACTTTAAAAAATGGATATGTCTCCGACTGATGTTGCCATTAATTTAATCCAGGATGGACGGTCACAGTATTACGTGGCAAGTGTTTTAAATGTCACAAGAAGTAAAGTACAAAGGGCAACATCAGTCGGAGACATTTTTAAAAGTAAGAAGACCCCTCAAAATTAACACATTAATTTACAAAATACAATTTGATACCTTTTGAAAGCTGTATATGACATGTCCAAGTATGGGATGATTCAACAAAACTGTCACTGTCATCCTCCATAGTCTATGGATGGACCATAGCCACCTTAGTTCTTCATACAGGAAAAATATTGGAAATTGCAATGTTTTTTAAAAAAATTCATATTTTCCACAAATATAAATATATCGAGGTGAACCAAAAACAAAACTGTTAAAAATAGATGTGACTTGATAATTAAAACTTAATTTAGAACAATATACAGTTTTGCCACTCTACAGAGTGTCTTAAACTTATGGTAAAAAACATATTTTTGTTTAAACCTGTATATTATAAACGTACGTGTATTTTTTAGTAATTTTTAAAATTTGAGCGATTCTCCATTAATGTATCTACAATATTCTTCAATATTTGTTTAAATCCGAAATCAAATAAAAAAGTTATTTGCGATTGAAATTCATCGAAAATTTGTGTGGATCGATTATTTTGCCTGTGAGTGTATAATGTATGTTGTAGTTAAATCAGAGAATCTTACCCAGTGGAAGCAACAAAATCCCAGTCAGCATCATCCACGATCTAGTGTCAATAGACCCCTCAGGAAACGTACCAATCATCAAGTCGCCGCAAACCACGACGTACAAGATGCAAGTCATCAGCAGCTCGATTATCTGAGCCACATTGACGATTCTAGCTCCGTACTTTTTGCCGAAACATTCTTTCGCGATGGCCACATAAGAATCTCTTACTCTGACTTGTTTGCCAGTTTGCACGTCCAACTCGTAAAGGCATTCCACAAGGATTTTACCCGTGTAACAGCAGATATAGGCTATGCCTACCATTGCAGCGATGGCCCAGTAGCCTCCTCTCAAAACGGCAAAAGGTAGGGACACTATGAACATACCCTAAAAATAATATCAAATGTTATTAAAAAAATATGTTATGGAATGTTCATGATTTAAAGCTATAATCTGTGTCTTTTCAAAGGTGCTTATTTCAAATGCAACACCATTTATATTATTCACTGCAAATGAAAAAAATATTGGCCGTAGTTTAATGGACCTGAATATGGTTCTATTCAAGATTTGTCCTTTTATATTCGCAGCTTATGTGTCCGAATACTTTGCTGCTCTTATACTTTGTGGATGTTTTTACCTAGTCATTGAATATTTTGTGATAGAAATCCGGTAAAGGTAATTCAAGGTACTGAATACTTCTTAATGGGTCAAGTTTCTCAATACTTCCTTGAAGTATTTGCAGTCAAAGTTGTAGGTATTTGGGCTATGTAAAAATGAATATTGTGTGCTCTCTACTTGAGTAGAGGGTTCAAATTTGAAGATTAAGTGGAAGAGAACGTTTTAAGATAGATAGTAATTAATAAACATAGGAAAAACGACACGAGACGGAAGTGACGTCATATACGGTGTAGGTTTGTCGAAAATATTGTGATACTATAAAGATTTATTAATATTTAACACTTAATTTTAATCCCGGCGCATTCGCCATTTTGTAAACTTACACAAAACTATAGTATACTTATTTTAAATACAACTTTTTACCTAAAACTTACAAGTAATATTGATTTTAGCTGACTGTCGATGTTTTTAAACATTTATTACTATTTTACGACATGTTTTATTGTACATTTTTAAATGTAAAGTGGAAAACATTATAAAAAGGGTCTATGAATAAGCAATTACAACATAAATGCAGTAACAAGAAATAAAATAAACTTGAGGACATAAAAGTTAATACCTAGAAAGTTAAATTATAAAGACAACTTTAGTTCCATTTTATTATTATTATTGTGGCCAAGTACAAAATGTATATTAAGTAAGTATTAAAACGTTTTAATAATTAATTTAATTTTTTAAGCCTATGGCGTTGGCGTTTGTTTTTTTATTATATATTGTTAAGACTACAACACTAAAAAAAATTCGACATAGACACGCCAAAATTCAAACGCAACAGCAAGAATGACGCCTGCAGGTATACAACCCAGTATACACAGTTGTGCGTTTGCTGCCTAACTAGAGCAAAAACAAAAAACTTTGCAAAATACGTTTCTTCTATGGGGTTCCCCCTTGTTTTTTACATTTTGTTTTTTTTATTATTTGCTAGGATATCCGCTATAGTAACACTTATTCTATAGAAAAAATATATCGATTTGAAATTTTAAAATCCATTTAATTAAGTCTATTTTTTTTAAATATTTTAAATAAAATGCCACTTCCGGTTTAACCAAAAGTTACATCTACTTTGTTATTTCAAATAGAAAACACCATATATTTTTACATTTTTTAATTTTGAATAAAATTACTATAGCATGTCCTGTACAGGGTGATCCCCTATAATGTCGTCCCCCTTTAACTTTTTTATTTTAACGGTCACAAAAAAATTTAAAGTGTGGTTATGTCGGTGCTCAAAAATACTTTTTTCTACGTATAAAGAAAATTGGAAAATTGATCAGTATACAGGGAAAAACAAAAAGTTTATTTTTTTTCAATGGATCACCCTATATATGTATTTATTTTTCGATTCCTTGTAAAATTCTAAGCATATTTCATAAAACATACCATATACCTAAATTCAACCGTTTCTGAAATATTTAAATTACATTGTTTAAAAGATTGTATGGCAATTCCTTAACATTTTTCAAAAAATTACGTAAGAAAACCCAGGGAAAATTAGGTAACTTAAAACGTTAATAAATTTTTTATTTTAAATGTATCACCCAATATGTTTTTACCTAATCAAAAATTTAATTAAAAAATCTTTCGATTGATGTAACTATACCCTATACCTACCTAAAGTTATTAATTTCAGAGATATTTAACAATTTCTAAAATTTTAAATATTATTTTGTATCAAAAAATTTGTGACGGGTAAGTTGACGGTATCTATGGTTACGACGTAATCTGTCATTGTTCAAAATTTAATGGCGTCAATTTTTCAGGTTTTTAAAGAATTGATATGGAATCATGAACAATGTTTTAAGATTCCGAAAATTCCAGCGCCATATCCACAAACCTAATAACAAAAAAATTATTATATATAGCTATATAATAGCCTAGGCTATTTATGACTGACGCCCATTTGTCAAATTTTAAAGAAAAAAATTTATTAACTCGAAAACTATTCACTTTAGGTAAAGTAATGTTACTCAGAATTTTATACAGGATTTAAAAATCTATTTTTTTTTATTAATATATGGAGTGTTGTGTTCTATTTGAAATAACAAAATTTACGTCACTTCCGGTTAAACCGAAAGGGACATTTTGTTTAAAATATTTTAGAAAAGTAGACTAAAATGGAATACAGTTGTCATCCCAAGCAGAATTTTAAGTAAAAGCGTATACGCTATAGAGCTTTGAGGCAATATACTTAATTTAAGTAAATATTTTGTTAAATTAACCTTAAAAATTTACATTGAAGTAAAACAGTTTTTAAAGTTATTTAATAAGTTTTAAATAAATAAATAAAGTTTTTATTGCATATTGAGTACATATAGAACAATAAAATACAAAATATACAAAAGGCCACCGACCGGGGTCGTTCAGCCTATAAGTTTTATTTATGTTATTTTTTCCTATTTTAATAACCCTTAAGTTTCAACACTTTAAAGTATTATGAGGAACGTAATTTTTACGAAAGAAAATTACTTATAAGTGTATTTCACCAAAAGGAAAATGTAACGATAATTTTAACGTCAGAATTTTTACTTAATGGTTAATGTTACTCATAAGTCATAATTTTACGATATTAAGAAAACTTTATAACCGTAAATAATTCCTATTCGCCTGGTATTTTTTAGGGTTATTAGTGGTAATAAATACTATTAATATTGACTAAACAAGGAAAAATATGTCTAAAGTAAAAAATAAAACTTTAAGGAAAATTTTTTTTCAGGTCGCCATAATGAGTTTTTTAAAATGGCATCCATTACTTATCTAAACATTTATAAAATATTTTTTCATAAATATTTTTCTAAAATATACCTAATAAGAAAAGTTTTAGTTATTAAAAATGGTTAAAACTAAATGATTTTTAAAAGATTTTATAAAATTTTGTAGGTTTTAAGTTTTCTTGAATTTTTACATAAGTAAGCAATAATTTTTCTTAAAACCGTAAAATATTTAGAGGGCATATAATTTTTAAGATGTATCGTGCCTATTTTTATTAATAAAATAATGTGTGCTTGAGTTTTAATGCAAAATATTATTAGTTTTGACAATTTAAGTTATATTTTTTAATTTTACTCTAGGGTGGCCTTTATTACTTTGTAAGTACCATTTTGTAAAATATAAATTATCTATACAGTTATAAAACCGTTTTGGTTAACCGTATAAAATACTTTAAAGTTGACTTAGAGTAGTAAATTTGTAGTTATTTAAACTTAAAATGCTGCTTGGGATCTGTCATTTTGGTCATATGTCATTTTTTTACATTTACATGTGTGATTTTTGTCATCTGTCATAATTTCCATCTGTCATATTTGACACCTGTCATTTGTAATTTATTTTAACGGTTTTTGTAAAAATTTGAACTATTCGAATTATTTGAATATTTTGAATTAATCAAATAGCTCGAATAGATCAAATATTCGATTTAAACACTTTTCACATACCTACCCCTATAAACAACATATTCTTTTAGTATGCATTACCTGAATAGCGTTGGTAACATTCCACGCGGCCTGATACTCGTTAATCGGAACCTCGCTTTTGCCTTCGACGAAATCAGACCCCTCAGAAAAATCAACAGATGACATACGACTCGGCCCTGTTGCCGTCTGAGTCTGATACCCTCCGCCTTCGTTAAAACTGCTGTCCTCCATCTGCACGCTGCCCTGGTGCTGATCCATGCTCAAAAACGGGTTCGTGGACTGCCTCATGTTGCTCATCTCGTGATGCTCGTCCGTGCCGCCATGGCCCGCGTGATTCTGGCTGTTGAGCTGTGCGAAGTGCACCCGTTCCCGGCCTGCTTCCTCTGGATTACGCGCCGGGATTATTTGCCTCTTGATTTGGCTGGCCACGTTCATTGCAGCGGACACCGACGGCATTTTAATCTGCCCCAAACGATTCATAGCTACACCGCCAAGATGGGAAAAAATCAATAGGTAATTCGAGTTTAACACTAATTTAACACCGCACTTCACTTCTAATCGCCTTACAGTGACTCCAAATTCATTTGCGGTTTTTCGCGATCCGTTTGAGCATTTTAATAATGGATTCGTCGGGAAAATTAAATTTTCATGGTCTCCATCTTGGCGGCTGTAGACTTCGGGATGTTGTGGAGTTCGCAGCATCAGCGCATGCCAGTGCTGTATTCAAATGATTTTCGCCGCGAGGAGGAAAATCAATAATTTTATTAGCGCCGATGTGTTCGCAACAGTTGTTCCAATCCGCGGACTTTTTGCAAAAAGTTTAGACTGAAATTTAATAATTAATTATAGGTTTTTGTAAAGGTTTACTGATAGTCCATTTTTATTTAATAATTTGACTAAAAATGTTTTGTGGGGTATTTTATAACAACTAAAAATTATTTAAAATACAGGATAATGAGGATTTCAAATACAAATATATATTTTACCAGGAACAATTTAAAAAATGGCGAATGCGCGGGGATTAAGTTTACATATAGCCTAAACAATGATTAAAAATACATGTGTTTTTAATCATATCCAACAAGTAATTATTTAGTAATTATATATATATATGAGGTGTGTTTAAAAAATATCGGGAATTTTCATTAATGTTGTCGCCTTCAAAATAGTCCCCATTGGATATTATGCACATGTGCCAGCTCTTCTTCCAATACTCGAAACACTTCTAAAACTCGATCTTTGGGATAGCCTTTAGTTCTTTCAGCGATGCGCTTTTAATGTCATCTATGCTTGCAAAACGAAGGCCCTTTAAGGTTCTCTTTATTTTTGGGAATAGGAAAAAGTCAGGCAGAGGCATGTCTGGCGAATATGAAGGCTGGGGCATCATTACAGTATTGTTTTTGGCCAAAAATTTTGTTCAAAATTTAACAATTTTAGAACAAATTTTGCTACCACGCGTTTCATACTTAAAAAATTCGAAAAAATTTCATGGGATGAGCCAATCGATATACCAACATCATCAGCGACTTCTCTGATGGTTTATAACCATTTCTTCCACTTTTTCCATGTTTTTATCGGTTGTTAATGTGCTTGTGCGTTCGGGGCGTTCGTCATCTTCAACGTCTTCACGGCCATCTTGGAAACTCTTATACCACTTGTAAACTCTTGTTTTACTTATAGCAAACTCACTATAGGCCTTTGTTAACATTTCACAGATTTTATTTCATTTTTTAAGCAAAATTGGATACAAATTCTTTGATCCATTTCTTTTAACGAACGAAAAATCACCGAGCTCATAAAACACGTCTAACCTTAGCGGCTGCCACAGACAAAGTAAACAATATAAACAGCTAAAGCTTTTATCATACTTCGGGGGCATGTATACCAACATAATAAAGAAAATTTTATGACAACCAGACCCTCCGAACCCGCGAAATTTAACAATTCCCGTTATTTTCTGAACACACCTCGTATATATACCGGGTGTATCTGAGAATAGGCGCACCCCTGTAACTTTTTTATTTATAAAGATAGACACATGAAATTTTGCATTGTTAATTAGGATATAAAATGCCACTTATAAGAGTACAAAATGAACTTTTTGAACTTCCGGTTTCGCCGGAAATTATACCAAACTTTCAATATTTAAATGGAATGCCCTATATATTTTTACATATTTGGAATCCTGAGGAAATTCTGAGTCATTCAGCATCCTCAAATTGACGTTTTGACGTTTCGTCATCAGAAAATGTATCATCATATATAAAGATCAATCTAGAGTGCTTTGAACTATCTTATTGTCTTCTAATGGATTCACACAATGTTCTAATTAGAACGTTGTTATTAAGCTATTCCCAGCAGTCTAGACTTGTCAAAATTCGTTTTTCTCAAATAGTTCAAAGCACTCTAGATTGATCTTTATGATGATGCATTTTCTGATGACTAAACGTCGAAAGGTCAATTTGAGGATGCTGCCCGACTCAGAATTTTCTCACAATTCTAAATATGTAAAAATATATAGGACGTTTCATTTAAAAATCAAGAGTTGATAAAAATACACACGTGTGTATTTTTCTTTTTAAAGGTGTACACCTTTTCAAGATGTCGAAAATTCTAAATCACACAACACAAATATGGCAGACGAAGCCGACCCAAGTGTATACGAACCATAAAAATAATACTATTATTAGTAATATTTCTATGAAATCCCAGATCCCTATATCCACTGAATGACTAGTCCATTGGATATCCACTGAATATACTTTAGGGAAATTCCCTTTTGTTTGGCTGAATTTTTTTAAATTTTTTCTACCCCACAAAAATATTAAGTTTTTTTAATTTTTTTACCCATATAAAAAAAGTTACGAAAAATACGAAAAAATAGCTCTTTGTATTTATCCTTATCTTTTTATTTTATTTATCCACATATCACGTGAACATAAATCACGACATGATTTTTTGTGCCATTGGTCAATCGCAAACAGCTATGGCATAAAAAATCACGACATGATTTTCATTTCTCACGTGACGTTCGTATGATTTTTATTTATTACGCGGTGACTTCCGTATGATATCAGTATGAATAAGATGTTCGTATGAATATCACGAATGTTGTCCGGGAAACAGCGATGGCATAAAAAATCACGACATGATTTTCATTTCTCACGCAGTGACATCCGGATGATCTCCGTATGAATAAAATTTGTGAAAATCACGACGTGACGTTCGTATGATTTTCATTTATCACGCGGTGACTTCCGTATGATATCAGTATAAATAAAATTTGTGAAAATCACGACATGATGTTCGTATGAATATCACGAATATTCACACATATGTTGTCCGGGTATATCCTAGGATATAGCTATAGGTAACACTATCGTCTTAAGACAGTTATAAGTACATTCAAAATCAAAATTTTACTAAAAAACTTGTGGGAATTTGAAAAAAAAATAGCCATTTTTTGGTTCAGTAAAAAAAATTCTTCACCAAACTTTAAATTTCGCGCCAATTTACAAACGCAAAATCCCCCAGCCAATACTGTCACTCAACTGTCACATCTGACACATGCAAAAAACAGTCTTTAATAACAATTATGAGTTCAGGATTTATTACTGAATCTGAAGCAGTAGACGTAAGAAAAAGAAGACAAGAAGAATGGGAACGTGTAAGAAAAGCGGAAGATCCTTTGGGTAAATAAAACAATGGTGTTAAAATGAATTAAGTATTTATTTGTTATATTTTTAACTTTTGTTTAGAGCGTCCAGAGGAAGCTTATGATAATCGTAGTTTATTTGAAAAATTGCAAGAACAGAAGCAAAAGAAAGATTTGGAATATGAAGAAGCCCATAAGCTCAGTAAGTACCTATTGCACTAAATATGTTACATAAATATGTATTCAAAAAATTGTAGAGAATATGATAAAAGGCTTAGATGACGACGAAATAGAATTTCTTGATCTAGTTGACAGGACCAAATTGGCAGCCGACCGTAAAAAAGAATTGGAAGAAGAAAAAGAACTGAATGACTACAGAAACCGTGTAGCAATTTTGCAGGAGAAATCCATTGATGAGAGACTACAAGCTGAAATTATAGTTAATAAACCCAAAGTGCTTTTGAACAACAGAACTTCCCAACAAAAATTATTGAAGGGAGCTGTCATTAAAAAACGAAAAATGAGTGACGAAACTGAAGCCAACGAAGCCAAACAAGTCAAGACTGAGGTTGTAAATGAAAAAGGCGATGCTAAAAAAGCTGTAGCTGACAAACCTGAAGTATATGCACCATCTGCATTAAAACCGGTCGCTATTTTGCCTGGGTTGGGGCATTATGAGGATTCCACAAGCGGGGACGAGGATAACAGTTCAGATTCCGATGTGGAACCAAAAAAAAATGTAGATTTTTTAGGCAGGAATGTTTGTAAGGTTAATAAGGCAGCTAATTCTTAATACATTGAGTGTCAGATAAATTATCAAGCAAATAGATTATTTGTTTACATTTTATATTCAAACTGTAATCTTTTGCTTTGTTTATTTTGTTGAAATTTGTTTGGTGAATATTAACATTTTTTGAGATTTAATATTACTTTATTTATAAAATTAACCAACAACTTATTTGTGGTTGTAATACAACCGTTATTTTACCTATATGAAATAAAGTTAAACTATAGTTAACTGCACTTTTTTGTGTATATTTTTTTGAAAATTGAACGCAGGAAGTCAATTTACTGAAGAATTGCGGATGCATTGAAACGCGTATCGGAGATATACATTTTTAATGTTTTGCCTATTTCCAATAAAGTTGCTGCTTTGTTTCTCTTAATTTGCGGTCAAATCCCAAGCAGCATTTTCATTAAAGGGGTAGAGCTTTGAGGCAATATTGCTTAATTTAAGTAAATATTTTGTCAAATTAACCTTAAAAATTTACTTTGAAGTAAAACTTTTTTAAAGTTTAAAGTTTTATTTATTTCATTTTTACCTATAAAACCCTTAAGTTTCAATAGTTTAAAGTATTATGAGGGACGTAATTTTTACGAAAGAAAATCACCTAAAGGAAAATTAAACGGTAATTTTAACGTCAGAATTTTTACTTAATGGTGAATGTTACTCATAAATCATAATTTTACGATATTAAGACCCCTTTATTTTTTAGGGTTATTAGTGGTAATAAATACTAGTAATAGCTATTAATATTGACTAAACATGGAAAAATCAGCTTAAAGTGAAAAATAAAACTTTATAGGAGAATTTTTTCAGGTCGCCATAATGAGTTTTTAAGATGGCATCCATTACTTATTTAAACATTTATATTATATTTCTAAAATATAATAAGGAAAGTTTTACTTGTTAAAAAATGATTAAAACTGAATGATTTTTAAAAGATTTTGTAGGTTTTAAGTTTTGTTGAATTTTTACCCAAGCCATAATTTTTCTTAAAACCGAAAAATATTTAGAGGGCATATAGTTTTTAGGATGTACCTTGCCTATTTTTATCAATAAAATAATGTGCGTTTGAGTTTTAATGTAAAATATTATTAGTTTTAACAATTTAAGTTATATTTTTTAATTTTATTTTAGGGTGGCCTTTATTACTTTGTAAGTACCATTTTGTAAAATATAATTTATATATTTATTTATACAGGGTGTCCGGGAAAAGGAGGTCAATCCGTTAACCATATATTCCTTGAGTTAAAACAATAAGACTTTCATAATACCATTTTTCAATTTAGATCTTCATGTTCGATATACAGGGCGACAAAGTTTGAAATTTAAAACTGATTTTTTTTAATAATTCGAGTAATTGATAAGATATTAAGTTCAAATTCGGTACACTACTTCAACATAAATAGTTACATTTTTTGAGACCAACAAAACAAAAAACAATTGTCAAATAATCAAAATAGGGGGGTCCAGTACTCACTGACTCTCCCTATTTTTTAGTACGTGCGCCAATGACTTCCAAACGGTATTTTTTCAGGTAATCATTTATTGTTAAAAAAAATTTGTCTCTTATAAAATTTTGATAAAATGATTTGTTTTAGAGATAATTTGTAAAGTATGGGTCAGTCCATATCAAATCAACCAAAGGTTCTTCCCCCACGATTTTGATAATTTTTGGTAAATTTGTTTACCTCACTAAAAAACTCAAAAATCCCATATATGAATTTTTTTCGATAGGTGGTTTTTGTTTTATTGATTTTTGAAAATCAACAAATTCCGATAAATTTGAGTCTTGCAAGAATAGCGATATCTCGTAAACTATTAAAAGTAGAAAGGTGAGTGATGGCTTATTTTAAAGGCCTATTAGAGACCTTTTTTATGATATATCACATGACCTAAATTTTTTCAAAAAAAAAATTAAATTTCGAAAATTTGATATGGACTGACCCAGACTTTACAAATTATCTCTAAAACAAATCATTTTATCAAAATTTTATAAGAGACACAAAATTTTCAACATTAAATGATTACCTGAAAAAATACCGTTTGGAAGTCATTGGCGCACGTACTAAAAAATAGGGGGAGTCAGTGAGTACTGGACCCCCCTATTTTGATTATTTGACTATTGTTTTTTATTTTGTTGGTCTCAAAAAATGTAACTATTTATGTTGAAGTAGTGTACCGAATTTAAACTTAATATCTTATCAATTACTCGAATTATTAAAAAAAATCAGTTTTAAATTTCAAACTTTTTCGCCCTGTATATCGAACATGAAGCTCTAAATTGAAAAATGGTATTATGAAAGTCTTATTGTTTTAACTCAAGGAATATATGGTTAACGGATTGACCTCCTTTTCCCGGACACCCTGTATATCGGGGCAACTAAATTATGCGTTTGAAAACTCCAAATTATGCGCAGGAATTGTGCCATTTTATGCGGGCAAAATTGGAAAAATATGCGCCAATTATGCGGGCAAAAATAAGGAATTATGCGAAATTATTCGGCAGAAATCAAGAAATAAGCGAAAAGTATGTGTACTTTATAGATTTGGAAGGAAATAGTGAGTTAAGAATGCATAATTTTCATTTTAAAAAAAATCTGAATAGGGAACTGCAGGTCATGACCTGTGTTTGCAAACACGTTAATAAAACAAGTGAGTGATAGTTAAAAGAAGTAGTATTTTATTTTCCATAAAGTATTTTGTAAAAGAGCAGACTAGTCAAATCTTTAAAAGTCAACATAAACATAAATTATGTTACATACATAACATAGATAAGTTATCTAAGATAACAATTACAACATTAGTAATGTTACATTACAGTCACAATAGACTATTCACCACACTCACATCACATTGTCATTTAAGTCAAGCATTGATTCATCCTTATCTTAGATAGTAGATAAGTTATCTACTACATCTCCATCACAATTAAAGTGCTGCCAAAATACATGCACATCATTGCCTCAACTTTATACTTTGTGAGAGTAGTCCTCCTGGAGGAAAATATGTCTCCATAGGCACTAAAGCCTCTCTCAGTGTCCACATTTGAAACAGAAACATGGAACACTTGCACACAGGGTATCACGAAATTTACATATTCCCTAATCATAGAAATAAATGCACAAAGCACCAGATCCTCTTTCTCACCTTTTTTAGATTTATCTTTAGAATTTTCTTTGACTGCATCTGCCAAAATAGAGTGTAACACTACAAAATTTGATGATGGGATGGAAGACAATAGACTTATTTTTTCTTTTGCTGCAATAACACTTTCAGCTAAAAGAGGATCAGTCAACTTACAGGAGTCAAACAAAAAACGAGAGGACTCAAAGAAGTCCTTCGCAGTATCCTCCTGCAACATTTTTTTCAGTTAGTCACAGCAGGAGGTGCAAACATCTTTCATTCTTTGCAGATTTTTTTTCTGTTTCTCCCCAGGTACCTCATTAAGACTAGTTTTGGTTTTTTCGAAATGTACTGTGCATTTTGGCCAAATTGAAACCAGAAAACGCGTAAATTATGCGACAATATGTGATATTATGCGGAAATGCAATATGCGGTGACCGACATCGAATTATGCGAAATTATGCGGACTGGAAATGATGCATACTGGACTCATAACATACCAATGCTTGTCTCTGTACCAATGTGTTCAAAAATTGATAATATCTGCACTTTTGAAAAAATATGCGATTATGCGCCCGCATAATATGGTTGCCCCTAAATATAAATTAAAAGAACAAAGAAATAACGAATGTCAATATTTTAGAAAGAGAGCAGTTAGTAATTATAGCGTTATTTTTACGTGAATTTGTGGTATTTATATTGTTTTTATTGCGTTATTCTCTTAGTAGATCAAAAGGGTTAATATGTATAGCTAAAATAACGAAATACACCATTCCCCAAATTTGGTAATTTTTCGTATCTATACCGCTAAAACCGTTTTGGTTAACAGTAAAAAATACTTTAAAGTTGACTTAGTAAATTTGTAGTTATTTAAACTTAAAATGCTGCATGGGATCCTATAGTATCCCGCTTCCCGTCTATCAATGGTTTGTTCTTTATTCGTTTTATTTTCATATTCGTCTGTTGGCATCACCTTCTTTGTCTCTGGCTTTGAATAAAAAAGGTTTTTTATTCAAAGGTCTCTGGACAACACCGCGCTATATTTAATTTTGGGAAAAAACAAAAATGTTTTTGTTTATTGCATTTAAATTAGTGGTACATTTCAGGGAAATTTGGTAAATTTTAAATGTTGAATTTGGTACTTTATTTTTCCTACTACTGGCAACACTTATCGCCGATATATCGAAATCCGTATCCTAGAAGCTTCGAAGATCTTTTATAATCCATGTCCGTATCAATATCGGAACAACCGATAAATCGGTATTAGTTGCATCCCCAATTTGAATATTAATAATTGGTCAAATGTGTTTTTTGATACACCTATTAAATATATTATAGAAAAAAAGCGTTTTATTGTGTTAATAAAAGTTAACTTGCTGGTCCATCATAATTATGATTAATACCTACCTTCTTAGATACAAAATACCTAAAAAAGTTTTTTATAAAATATCTGATTCAGGTTAACCTGTTTTAAACATTTTGAATTCAAAATGTTTAAAACAAAAATTGTAGAAAATAAACTAATAATACCAAAAAACTTATTTTTTAAAATCCGGTCATAAATAACGGAGATAAAAGTAATAACTAAATTAAAATAGGTTAAAAATAAAACAACAAAGTAAAACATGTTTGTATATTTGCTAAATAAATTCAAAGAAAATAAGTAGACGGGTCCGAAACGTCACAAAACACCAGCCAATACATCAACAAAATCCAAACAATATTTTTAGTCTTCAGAAATAAAAGACCAAAACACAACAAACCCTTTGAGTCTTGGACGTCAACAAATCACCAAACAAGTAGTTTAATGCATATTGCACTTAGTTTCTTTTAGCGGAACTTGAATAATTTAATAGTAATGGTATTGATTCAATACACAAAGGGTGTGAACTTCATTGGTAATTTGTACCAAAAAACAATTTTTGCTTCATAAATTATAAAAAACTCGAAAAAAGATGATTGATGAAAAATTAGTAATCCAGGAAGCTTTCAAAAATAAATTTTTAATTTGTACATATTAAGGAAACCATTGAAAAAATATAATAACAACAATAAATATTAAAAATTAATTTTATTTGGTACAAATTACCGATTAAAATAATGAAGTTACAATTTGGATTTTGCAGAGGTATTGGCGGCTAATTGTCAGGATGGACTGTCAGCTTTTGGCGCGTCATAACGGACCATCATGGAGTTAGCGTTACCTGGTTCGCATTTATAACCAATCGACTTGTAGAACGGAATTAGGCTGTCTTTGCAGTCCAAAGACATTTTGTAACATCCTAGTTTTTTTGCTAGAAGGCTAACTGTTAAGACAATCCTAAATTAAAGAGAAAATACGATTATTAAAATACATTTTTTATTAAATTATGTGCTTAAACAGTGTTTTCCTGAATGGACCTAACTAAAACATATTTTTTTTCAAAGATTTAAACATTAAAAAAACATACTTTTTTCTTGACTTGATTATACGTGTTTTTTAACCGCCCTGTATGTTATTTCAAAATTTTTAAGATGGCTATGGAATTTACAGAATAAACCACACTTTTTATGAAAAATTACTTTTTCTACTAAAATGCAAAATAAGGAAGTTATAATATATACATACAGTAGTGGCCATAATTAGAGCAACCACTGTAAAAAAATCTAACTCCAAAACGCCTTTATTAATCTTTAAGAAATTTTGGATAAAAATACTTCAACTTATATTTCAGTTTACGTGTTTGAGGGTTTTTTGAGAAAATATTTTTAAAGCCCATTTTTTTAATATTAAAAAAACGTTTGAAAAATAACTTTTACAAGTAAATAAAAAATATGCTGGTAAAGACCGTATTTTTGTTAGTATACTCTAAAAATTTTGTACAAATCAAATGAACACTAACGAAGATACATCGCTTCAAAGTCGGTAAAAATGCCCCCTTTTTGATTATTTTGCTGAAAAGTGGTATTTTTTTAGGGTACTGATTTTTACATGAATTACAAAATTCCAAGGTTAAAAGATCAAATTGTAAAACTATACCAATTTTTAAGGCATGGTTGTAACAAAACGGTTCATCTGACGGGAAATTCCAATCAAACCTTTTTTGTAGAGCATTCAGTTTTCTTCAAAAAATATTCTTAAGTCAATTTTGTTAAACTCAATGATTTGGGAGTTCTGAGATAAAAACTCGCTCATATTAATATTATGGACTCAAACTTTCACCATAATTTTTTTTGTCACCCCAAACAATATTTTCGATATACTACAAAAAAATAGTCGATTTTTTTGGCCCAGTCTAATATATACTTATAAACTTTCTTATTTCTTACTATATTTAGGTCCATCCAGGGATATAAGGTTTATTATTGGAAAAATATTTACGAAAAATATACATTATTATGCCTTTAATTCATAAAAATTTAAAAAATAATACAGGTTGGAAAAAAAAGTTTTAACATGCATAAATAAAAATAATAAATAAACTGTTTAAAAGTTTTTGTTTGGAAAAATATTAAAAAGAGAAAACTAATAATTGTCTAGAGATGTAAAAAAACGGTTTTTTTTTCAGATGTGAAAAAAAAATGAAAAAAAAAACGGTTTTTTTTGTTTTTTTTCAAAATGAAATTTTGAGTAAAATGTAGAATATATTACATTTTTCATTATTGAAAATTTTGACCAAGACTAAAATATCTGATTTCTTATTATTTGGTAGTTTTCACATTAAACCATGGTTTAATGTGCTATTGCAATAGCAATGTAAAACTTCTACACTAATACAAAAAATTTCGGATAGCTGTATATTTGTTAAAAATGGTCGTATTGGAGCCGTAAAAAAAGCAATTTGAAGCTTGAACTTTATAGTTTTGAGATTTTTAGATGAAAAACGTGTAACGCTCAATTGTAACGAATACCGCAATAAAAAAAATCGATTTTTTTTTATTTTTTTTTGGTCCACGGAATGTTCTGACCACCAATGAAGAAATCTACAAGAATTTGCTATTGTTTTTTGAAAAAAAAAAATCCCATACTCTACATAAATTTGAAAAATCATGAAAAAAGTGCTTTTGGTTGCTTTTTGAAAAATCAAGCGCTGAATCAAAAATATTATATGTACCTAGTTACTTTTTTTAGGACGAAATCAAAACTAGCGCGGCCCTTATTGGTCAAATCGGTGTTTGTGGCGAGTGCATAACGCGAGACTGTATTTACATTTAATAATTGTCATTTAGTGGCTAATTTTAGTCCATGAAAACATAAAAAATTAGGCAAATGGGACTAATCTTGAAAAAAAAACGTGAAAAAAACCATTTGAAAAAAAAACAATGAAAAAAAACAAAAAAAAAACGGACCGTTTTTTTTTCAAGTCGCATCTCTATAATTATCAAAATTAAACTTACAGTTTTCCAAGTTGTTTTCCTCTATAAGTATTATTCACAACCACATCTTCTAGCCGGGCCCTCAGGCTACAGTTGTGAATAAATTTAAATTCTGTAATTAAGGTTGAGGCGCCAATAATTTGGTTATTTCTTGTATCTACTATAACTGTTACATAATATCCTCCAGCTTTTTTCATATTCCAATATTGCTCTTTGAAAAAAAATATGATTAACATTTTCTTACTATATACAAATGTAGGTACTGGTCTACAGATTAAAGATAATGAAAGTTCAAATATTTCATAATACTAATTGACCATAACTTTCCATTCAATTGATTTAATTTGGAAATAGTTATTATAATATATTATACCATATAAAAACATTATTTACAAATTAAGATGGCTTTTAAAAACTGGTATTTTTAATTTGCCAAAAAAATAGATTAAAGCAGTTCACCTCTTTCATTACCTTGAAGGAAGACGTTGTATTATTATAATATATTTGTTAAATTATAACTTATACATAAATTGTACATATGTGCAAAAATATCACTTTATATAGGACTACTTACTTTCAAAATCGCTTCTAGAAACATTTCCTACTGATGTAAGTTGTGATAACAATTGCAAATAACCTTTGTCATAATCCTCAATTTTTAATGGTCTTATAAGTAACCAGGACTCTCCTGGATCCTCATTTGTAATGAAAGGAGAAACAGCATAATTCATAGAATTCCAATCCAAGTTTTTTAATAATTCTGGATCAAATAAATAATTATCCCCCTCAGAGGAAGACTAAAATAATAAAATAACAAACATATAATAAAAATAGTCATAAAAGAACTTTTATTTATTTATTAGTTACCATTTTTACCACTATTTAATATTTATAAATTGCATGCCAAAACGCCAAAACTTAAATGTATGAGTTTATTACTAAAATGATGAAATAGCTTACTTTTATCTTTTAGATAAGTAGGTACCTAATACGTATACGCGAAAATATTAATTTCTCAAAAACAAAGGGATTAAGTGATTAATAATTATAGTAATAAATTAAATAAAATAGCATATGGAAAATCAATAGATAAATAATAATGAATCTATAAAATTCTTCAAACATAACAAATACTTCTTTGAAAACTTTCTAGTATCAAATAAATAAACTAACAATGAAATAAATCTATCACTTACCCAAACGTTGGGTCCCATTGTTTAAAACACCTTTAAAACACAGTGTTTTTGCCGAAAGAATTGTTTTGAATTCAATCCGACACGAAGCAAAAATTCAAGGTTTTTCTACTTTCACCGGAGCCGACATTCTAAACAATTCCGGTTGTGCTAAGTGATTTATTAAATCCAAATTAAATTAGTTTAAAATCATAATCAAGTGTTTAATTACAAGTATAATCACTTTTTAATGGAAATCATGCAGTTTTAATAAAATCTTAGGTTAATGGATTTGTCAATTTTTTTTGACAGGACATCTATTTATTGAAAATGAAACTAAATACAGAAACATGTAAATTTGAAGCGATATCTGTCAACGGTTGTTTTAATCACGGTCTTATATACAGGTCTTGCAACTTCGCCCAATTTCAATAGGAAAAGTGACCTCTCTAATGAGACACCCACCAGATGGCGCATCGAGTTGAGGGTGAACCATAGATGTTTAAAGGTCGTTTTTACCTTCTTTATCTTTGGGTTTTACAATCGTTAGATAAGCTCTCTGGTGGATAATTTTCTTAGATAGAAGGTTTCTATGAAAGTTTTCCGCCAAATAGGCTAACTTAATCTAACGATTGTAAAACCGGCTCTAAGTCCTTAAAGTCTATGGGATAAAGGTCAAATGAACTACCTACTTATGTTCTGAGAAGAAACATAACCTACATTTTTATAAACAAGCTTGTGTATTTTGTTACAGGGAGTTTTTACTTATTGTTATTGTGATATTCGTTATTTTTATATTATATTGTTCTATTTTTTCTTGTTATATTTGTTCTTGTTATATTTGTTCTTGTTATACATTTGTATTTGTGCTTTTTAATAGACATGAAGTCCTGTGTTGTGCCAAAATGTAACCAGCAAAGCTATCGTTCCGGCATTAAAATTAAGCGGTCCATGTTTAAAGTGCTAACAAATAAGGAGCGGTTAAAAACATGGCAATGTGCAATAAAAAACATATTATTGACACCTTCACATTTTGTATGAATATTATATAATTAAGCACATCGTGTTGGTGAAATATATATTATTTTAAATAAACAATCAACTCATCCCCGCCAAGACAATCGGTTATTAATAAATTAGCCAGAATATTGGTTGGTTAGTTTGTTGTGTTACTAGAAATTTTGGTTTTCATATTAGCCAAATTGAATTGGATAGTTTACAAATTATCCAGCTATTCCTAAATAATTTCAAGTAAATTAGCCAAGACCCTTGGTTGGTTTACAAACTAGCCGCTAATTTAGTTAAAAATACGTTTTCAATTAAAATAGCTGACAGTTTGGCTAGTATAGACTTGGTTGTCCTATTTTGTTAACGTAAATTATCCAAAACAAACTCACAAATATTACATTTTTGAAAATGTAAACAAAACATAGAAAAAGAATTTAAAAAGTTAGGTTATGGTTATGCAGTAGTTCCACATTTAACTAAGGAGTAGTTTAATTGACTTTACCCCTTCGATCTTAGCGCCACCTAGCGGCTTGGCACGTTAAGGAAGCCACCTCGAAGCTTAAAGTTGCAAGACCTGTATATAAGACCGTGGTTTTAATTTATCTAAATTATCTACTTTATCGACTGTAATGACATTTTAAAATGGTTGACAACCTAAATATCTGTGAAAATGTTTTTCTATTAATATCCCACTAAAATAAGATTCTAACTTGTAAATGCGCTTATTTTAACAATTAATAATAAGTGAGGAATACACAAAACACAAATTGAAATCGTCTTGCATCATATTTGCAGAAAGTTCGCGGTGTGGCGCTATTTGTTTGCAAACAATTCAACATTTTTTTCATTACATCCTAAACCACCTATAACAACAAAGTAATGAATCAAATAGGTTAAATAATAGTGACATACTGGTGGGTTTATTTTATTATAGTTGAAAATTATGTGAAGTGAGGTGCAGTATAGGTTATAAGCAAAAATGGGGACTAAAACACTCCCCACAGAGACCGACTTTAATATGCTGCAGTTTGAAAAGAAATTATCTTCTCTTAAAGATTCGCAGGATAGCATAAACAGCTGTTGCCAGTGGTGTCTGCAGAATAGGGTGCATCATAAGAAAATAGTCACTGCATGGCTTAATGTGCTGAAACGAGTGAAAATCGAACAAAGACTTGTGTTGTTTTACTTGGCCAACGATGTTGTGCAGTACAGCAAGAAAAAGAACTACGAGTTTGTCGAGAGCTGGGGTACAGCCATACAGAAAGCCACCACCATGGTTCGGTAAGAGTTTGTTGCTAAGAGCATTGTTTAACATATTATCGACAACAAACTACTAAATTTTATATCTGCCTAAACTAGCTAGCTAACTGTCTACTTATTTAGTTTGTAGTTTAATTAAAAAGTTCTATTTAAATATGTAATTTCTTTAGCTTGTAGTTCTATTTGAATGTGTTAGGTATTAGGCCAAGAAGTGACTTTTCATGCTGGGCACAAAGTTTGAAGGCCAAATAACATGCAACATTTTATCTGATAAAACATACAATTATAATTTTATATTAAAAGTAGAAAGTGAGGTTAAATTGATATGACAGAAGTAAAATTTTTTGATTGGTCCAAAGTAGTAAACAATGCATTTTTACGGCTTAAATAACCTAACCTGGTTGGTCTAAATAATTTTGCCCAGGCCATAGGAAAGTTTAAATTCTAGACCAATTGAAGATAAATTAAATTAAAGTTTAATCACTTAACAGACTTTCTGCCTAAAAATAATACAAAAATAACTAAATTTACTATGTATTATAAGTTATATTGTCTATTCAATGCCTTTATGATACAGTAGGTAGAGATGCAACTTAAAAAAAAACGGTCCGTTTTTTGTTTTTTTTTTCAGATTTTTTTTCATGGTTTTTTTTCATATTTTAGGTTTTTTTTCAAGATTAGTCCCATTTGTCTAATTTTTTATGTTTCCAGTCCAGTTTGTGGACTAAAATTAACCACTATGTGACATTTAGTAAATGTAAATACACTCACGCTTTGCACGCGCCACCGAATAATTTGGTCCTAAAAAAAGTAACTACCTATAATATTTTTGATTCAGCGCTTGATTTTTCAAAAAGCTACCAAAAGCACTTTTTTTCATGATTTTTCAAATTCATGTAGGGTATGGAATTTTTTTTTCAAAAAAAACAATAGCAATTCTTGTAGAACATTTATTCATTGGTGGTTAAGTCAGAACATTCCGTGGACCAAAAAAGAAATCCAACAAAATTTCGAATTTTTTTATTACGGTATTCGTTAGGATTAAGCTTTGCACGTTTTTTATCTAAAAATCTCAAAACTAGAAATTTGCTTTTTTTACGGCTCCAATACGACCATTTTTAACAAAGATACAGATATCCGAAAAATCGTAAAAAATTTTCAATAATGAAAAATGTAATTACATATTAATATATTCTACATTTCACTTTATTATTAATATACATTTTACTCAAAATTTCATTTTGAAAATTACTCAATTTTTTAAGATTGATGTTATTTATTGACAGAATATGCTTTATTGCAGCAGATTTGAAAAAAAACAAAAAAAAACCGGTTTTATATCTAGTTTTTTTTTCATGTTTTTTTCACATCTGAAAAAAAAGTTTTTTTACATCTCCAACAGTAGGTATAAGAAGAACAAAGCATTTTAGAATATATACTACCCGCACAAGCCATTCAGTTGGCTTATGGGACTTCTCAAGAAGTAAGGGTGGAACTAAAAGAGCACTTTTGTATATAAACTTTTTTGTATACTGTATATACAGTTCTTTATCCATCTTTTGTTAAATTGAAACAAAACCCATTTTTAAATGTCTAAAATGTGTATATCTTATTTTTTGTTATTTTTAAATTTAAAAATGCTCATTTATTTATGTTTGACATCTCTAATACCATTTATAGGAAACCTCGAAAAATTTCAAATTTAGATATAACAATTTCCTTGTTTCTGATAAGATATAGAATCCACTTTCTTTGATCTAACTAAAAATGGAAACATGGATTTACAGAGTATTATGAAAAATGCCAATGCAACAAATTATTGTTTTGTAGGGATGAAAAAGTTAAGCATAAAATCCTTAGGATATTTAAAATTTGGGAACAGAGGGGTGTCTACAATGAAGAATTCATATCCGACTTATGCGGTTTGATAAGCGTCGTTCCCAGCGCCCCTAAAGCTGATGAACCCCACGAATTTCAAGTAAATAATATTGTACATTTAAAAAAATGTGTGTATAAATTCTAACTACAATTTTTTTGTAGCCAAGTTTTGTGATTAAGAAGATAAAAACTTGCATGCAACTGGAGACTGATACCGACGCAAAGTTGAACCTGCTGAAAGAACACAACCCGAAAATTCAGGTCACCCCTGAGTTGTACTCCTCGTTAAAAGACAGGGCTCATCTGGACGATGTGGAAAAAGAGATTGAGGTGTACGCCAAAAATATGGAGGACTACATTAACGCCTTGAAGTCTGAGATTAAAAACAGGATAACTTTAATATCGGTGTTAAAACAGTCGGAAGGACAGCTTGAAGCCGACAGGAAGGATGTGAAGCTGGTTGCGCATGCGTATAAAATGTTCGGGATGAGGGTGAAAACATTCCAGAGGAAACTTGAGGAGCATAAAAGCAACCTTTCCAGTCCCATACCGTCTCCAGACGTAAATGCGCCCTCGCCTTCGCCCGATTCAGATATAGAGTTGGTGGAGACACCAAAAATTAAAAACAGTAATTATTGTGGAATGGTGAGATTTTTTTTAGTTCGTTTTTTTTTTTAGATATTCCCGACTTTAATCCCGCCATGCAGTTTGCTAATCCGGGGTATTATAATCCGGTGCCTCCACCTAAAACTGAAAGTTCTGATGAGTTTACTTCTAATGGGTTTAGCAGTTTTATAGGGTCAAATATGCCCTTTGATTTACAGGTAAAATATTTTGTGTAATAAATTTGACAATTTTGTAATAATTTTTTCCTTCTTTATTTGTATTTGTGATGTATTAATTGACATTTAAATGACAAAAAACAGGCCACTAGAAATTTAAAGTTGATTTCCTCGCGAACTGCTCATATGATTTTGATGATTTTTTTTTAATTTACGTTGACTCTTCTGTAAGATGCCATGGTAGACATTTTTATTTTAGCATACACAGTAGTATGTCTAAAAAAACGACTATTTTTTTTTCAAAGAACATTGAAAAATCGTCACAGTATCTAAAAAATATGGCAGAAGTTTATTATAAATTTATTTAAGTAAATATTTTTCGATAAAATCAATAAAAATTATCATTATCATCAAATTATTAAGAATTTTGGATCTGCATTTCATTAAATATATGCATATATTTATTCTCAAGTTTTAATACATACAGTTTTTTTGTTAGGTTGGTGGCTTATGCCAATTTGACATAGTATTTTTAGTATTTAAAAATGGTACTTCTGCTAAAGAATTTATAAATTATAATTAAATACTTTGACACTGTCGAATTGACAATAATATTTATTATTGACTATTTCCCTTGTCTTAATTTCCACCAATCACAAACGCGCAATTTTGAATTACAAATGGTTTCTAGGTGAAAAAACTGTGTGACAGCACCTGTCAGCAGTTTATTCGAGTTTACCCGCGGCAAAACTTGACAGCTGTTGTCACCAAAAATTGCAATTTATATTTTAATTGTTAACTGTTACTCATGAAATAGTCTTGTCAAATACCATTCGGGCATCTAATTTTTCCTGTGAAAAAAATCGAAAAAACAAAATGCTAAGTAATATTTTTTAACAAAATGCATTCGTGCAGGTGCAAAAATCCTCCTCTTCGACTCGGATTTTTGTTGCCACCAGCACTCATGCTTTTTGTTAAAATATTACTTAGCAACGTGTTTTTTCGATTCTTTTCGGAAAAATTAAATGCCCTTATGATATTACTTACGACTATTTCCCTCGTCTTAATTTCCACCAATCACAAACGCGCAATTTTGAAATACAACTGGTTTCTAGGTGAAAAAACTGTGTGACAGCACCTGTCAGCAGTTTTTTCGAGTTTACCCGCGGCAAAACTTGACAGCTGTTGTCACCAAAAATTGCAATTTATATTTTAATTTTTAACTGTTACTCATGAAATAGTCTTGTCAAATACCATTCGGGCATCTAATTTTTCCTGTGAAAAAAATCGAAAAAACACAATGCTAAGTAATATTTTTTAACAAAATGCATTCGTGCAGGTGCAAAAATCCTCCTCTTCGACTCGGATTTTTGTTGCCACCAGCACTCATGCTTTTTATTAAAATATTACTTAGCAACGTGTTTTTTCGATTCTTTTCGGAAAATTTAAATGCTCTTATGATTTTACTTACGATAATTATGCCAAAAATAATAGCAACGAATTCGAATGTAAAAGCCCTTTTGAGGCCAAAACTTCATTTTGATGAAATTATGCCAAATGTCACAATGGAAGAAAAAGTACATCGCCTTATGGACATTTTTGGAGTAAAAAAGTAACGAATTTGGTTTTATAAATATTACATCACGCATTATTTTCACATTATTTACCATTGGACAACATTTACGTTCACAAAAAATATTAATATCTTTTATATTAATATCTTTTAAATAAATATAAATATAAATTCTTTTCAAAGCGAAGATTATTATCCGCTAGAAATACTTTCTCTTTTGGGCCGTAAAGCAACCTATATTTAACTACCTTTGTTATATGATTTTACTCATCCAAGCACCACCAAAGCCAAATTAATTACATGTTTAACTACGAATTTCGACAACTTAACTTGACAACTGCACAATGTAACCTACAATAATTTATACATAACCACAATTAGATTTATAACTAGCTTAGTTTGTTTTAATCAACTGTATTCACCAACCAAAACCCTAAATTTGCAACGTTGCCGCAGTCCAGATAAAAAAAAATGATTTTTTTTTGTATTTAAGAAAACAAAAGCATAATTTTAAACAGTCTGAAGTTGAAGCTCGATATCTTTGAAACAACTTGACTTACGCAAAATGTCAATCAGACCTTTTTTGTAGAGCATTAAATTTCCTATAAGAGGGAATTTTGTCTTACTTATGAAGTAGCTCGTGTTTGTAAAAAAAATCCCATATTATTTAAATGGGAAATAGAAAATTACAAAACGCACCTCTAAATATTAATATTAAGAGTTCATATTTTCACAGGGTCGTTTTCTAGAGATACTCTGACGATTTTTAAATGTTTTTTGAAAGAAAAATAGTCGTTTTTTATGCCTTGTACATAGTTATTGCTGTTCAATAAACGCAGTAAAAACTTCAACCGACAATTAAAAAAAAGATAAACACTAGGAGAAAATCAACTTTAAAATTTCTGGTGGCTTTTTTTGCGTGTGAGTGTATATCATTTTTTGCCCAGAACATGTTCTCAAACCCAATGAGCGAATCTTCGACGGCCGTGACGCCAACTACCACCAATTATGTGGGCCCAGTGCAGCCCCCATTGCCGGTCGAAGCGCCGATACCCTCCCTAGATACCAACTACTATCCCTCGAGTCACGTTCCCCTTCTACCGCCCCCCATGCCTCCTTTCAGCGCTAAACCAGACTACGGGAACCAGGCTTACAATCCAGCGCAGGCGTACCAGGGTACACCTTCTAATTCCACTTATGGTGAGTCAGACTGCACATTCCATATTATACCATTTATATTACTTTATTTATTGTTATTTTGGTCATAATTATAATTAATTAATAATGATCAAGAACCAGTTTTTTACTAGGATTCAAAATAATATTTTAGTGGTGGAGAATGAGACTTTTTTCGCCTATATGTAGATTAAATTTAAGAATGTTAAAACGGAATTTAAAATGTCAAAAACAAAATTAGACAAAATACAATTAGAATCCCAGCAAACACATAAGTCTGATTATGTAATGGCCCATTACATAGTTCCATGGCTTTGGCATTTTTAGCTAAAGCTTTCCTTGCAGAAATGTTTTAATAAAAATATTAATTTTGATAAAAGGCTGTCGTGATAAGGTCTTCAGTATTGTTAATGGGACTTTAAAAACCATTGAAGTGCCAAATTTTTCTGTATATAAAACTTACATGAATCTTTAATTATCCTTTGATTAACGCCATATTTTAAAAATGACGCCCAATGTAATGTAATGTATATAGTTTGAATAGTGTGTTATACCACATTATGTGGTCCACATACAAATAATAATAATACCTAATGGTTGTTAAATTTAAATGAGTATTTAGCATTTTTAGTTTTAACTCTTATTACAGGAAAAATACCGCCAAATAATTTAGTAGACATTTTTTCTTGTAAATTTATAAATGTTTTAGTATTACATTTTACGATTATATAGTATTGAATGTAATGGATAAGTAAAGTATTTATTATGGTGGATTAAATGTGGTTTATTTAAAATTAATTTAATTTTAAATTTTTATCCCGACCGTCAGAAATTGTATTGTGACAATTTCTAGTTATCGTGGAATACCCTTATCTAATAAATACCTACCTCATTTAATCCACTATAATAGATACTTCACTTGTCCATTAAAAATTATTTAAATGACCTCTATAGAATCCTTAACACCCCATATCAGAAACTTTAGCTTGCCACATTTGTACCTTTAATCTGCCATATCAGAACCTTTAGCACGCCATATCAAAAAATGGAATGGTTCTTTTAAGTGTCTTTATTGACCGCCGATACAGGCACAATAAAGGTGAACGCGACATAGTATGTACAGTTCTATTAGTTAGCCTTTGTAGGGCCTTTAGGCACGTTTATAAAGGGCAAAGGGCCATTATAGAACCCTTACGGTTGTGTTAGCTGGGATGGTAAAAAGGTATTGAAAATTATAAAAATACTAAAAAGTGTTTATCCTACTTTATTGTATATCGTATTTAATATTCCGTTTTATTTTCTTTGTCAGGGTTTTTCACCGTTTTTTATTTATTTTATTCAAACTTATGCCATATTGCAACAAGCAGAAAAATAGAATTATTCATTTTTTTAGTAAAAAAATCGGGCATTTATTTTACGAAAATTTGCAAATAATTTAATAAAAATACAAAAAGAGAATTTTAAACGTGACAATAATTAGTTTAGTATTGTTTGGTAAATTCAATAAATTATGCAGTATTAAGAAGTTTGCATCTAATATCACATTTTTTATTAAAATATTCAACTACTACTATTACCATAGTATTAGTATTGTGTGATTTTTTCAGACTCTTCAAACTTTTTTTTGTGATATTCTATTTATTTATGTTAAGAATTAAAGAGCAAAATAAAAATGGGTTAGTTTTTTTTTAATTTAACTTTTAATCACATTAAAGATTATTTAATTTTCTTAAAAAAGTTTTTTAACAATTTTTTACAACATTGATCTTGTTTTTACATTATGCGATTAAATTTACTCTTTAAAATTTATTATATGAATTTTTGAGGCATTAGACACATTCAAAAATAATTCCAGTTTTACGGCACAGATTTCCAAGAAAATAATTTTTAAATTTACATTTGTTTTCATACGCCATTTTTATTTTGTATCTCACGAGATCTCTTATGAGATTTCCATAAAAAATAAACCAAATAATCAATTTTTAAGCTATTAATATGATCTTTTTTTGTTTTTTGAGTTTGGAAACGATCGATTTTTTAAAATAACCCATGTAAGTAAGATTGTATGCACAAGTGTTATTTTCCATAGATTCTTTAAAAAAAAATGTTTTTAAACTTGAGCAACCAAAAAGCCTCATGATGGGTTAAAAATGATTATTACAGTATAATTTTTATGTAAGTACCTTGAAAAACAATTTTTAGTACTTTTTAAAATTGTCATTTGAAATTTCAAGCATAAAAATATGACAGTTTTAAACCTTAATTTTGCCATTATAACAACAAATTAACAATTTACATTTTTACTTATTGTTTTTTTAAATTTTTTAATGATAATTTAACTTGTAATAAAGTATTAATTTGTTAATTAAAATACAAAGTTTTATTTTTTTTACTACATTGGCACCGCTAAATTTGCTGTCACAGCATACTGTTTTTTATTTATCAAACTCTTGTTACTTAGCATTATATATTTGTTTTCTAAATTAAAAATGTATTCAAGCTAGCCATGAAATTTTAATTTGGATGTATTTATGACAATTAATTTGTCATTTAGTTACTTTTAACTTAGTTGACAGTTGTCCAATGTCATACAATCGTTAAAATAAAGTGCCTTTTTTGTAAAATAATACAAAAATGCAAAAGTAATAAATAGTTTCTCAACACCAATATTTGAAAAGTTTATATGACATTTTAATTTCGCCGGCAGTGAACTTGATTTAATAAAATAATAATAAAACATTTTCGTCACTTTTGTTAGTATATTTTCAAGGAAAATATTTCGGTTTAAACAGATTCTCATTCTAGACATTTATTTCATTAAACACTCGCCCGCAAGCTTGCTCTTTCCCAATTAAAATTCGTGAATCGTGACTAAAATGGCGTTTATCAAACTTGATATACATATTGTAGGCAACCTTAGGGTATAATTAGTCTAAATGTGGTAAATTTAGCAGTTAGATTTAGTTACACTTTTTTTCTGAAGATGAAAAGTACTTTAGGCACTTTGTGTTTTGTTTTGGTATTTGGAGAATATTTGTAATATGTATTTGCTAATAATACTTAGTTACATCATAAATAAATAGAATATCACATAAAAGTCCGAAAATCACAGTTTTTAATCATGGTTTTAAAATAATTGATTGTCTAAAGTAACAATAAAAAAACAACTTTTATTTCTGATTTGAAAAGAAAACATGAAAACGAAAAGTTAGGCTAGACTGCAAGCTATCAAAAAAATCTTCTGTAAAAAGTTCAAGTTCTTTTTGAAAGCTCTAAACTCCAAACAAACTCCAAGGAAACTGTTCCTTTCCAGGCGACAGCAGCTTCAACAGCTCCATGTTCGACCAGAGCGCCAACTTCGAGCCGCCTCTGGGCGCCAACCCCTACCCGCCCTCCGTTGAAGAATACAACCCCGAGCAGGAGATCGAAACGTGGGACACGGATCCCAGCTGGCCGACGGCCAAGGACATCGAGACGCCCGAGAGTCCGCCGATGTTCGAAAAGGAGAGCTTCGGCAACCCCATCGAGTACCACGACAACGCGCAGAGCGGCGCTCTCGACGTGGATCAGAGGGTGCTGCCCGGCATACTCGATTTAGGTGAGTGAAAATGTTGTTGTCGAGGGCGCAATACACCAATGTAAAGAAAAAACCTTAATTTGTAAGATTCCGAAAGAAAAAATATTTTATTTAAAAAAGTAATACGGAAAAAAATCAGATTTTAGATTTGAACGGAATTTTATTTGTTTTTAAGGCGCTGTTACTTCTTATACATAACAAAAATTAAAAAAAAAATGGTTTAAATTAAAGATATATTAAATAATATAATACCTTAAAAAATCATACAATTTTACACTTAACTAGGGATAAGTTATGCGGTTCAAGTTGGTCCAAAAAAATGTTTACACCGAATTGTAGCCCAAATAATAACAAATAAGGCTATATATGAGAACATTAGATGCAAAACTCGGTTTTTGAAAATTTTTAAAAATATATATTTTATACTATTTATGTACTATTGTGGCCGATAAAAAGTAATCGATTCTTTATCAAGTTGCATGTTTTTCTTAAAAATTGGCTATTGTAAGTAGGGTTTTTTACGTCAGTCATGTCAATTAAATTATTTTGACAAGAAATCATAGGTGTATGACATTTTATTTTTTAATAAAAAAAACTTAAATTATATAAAGCATGTTTATTCGTAATACAAACAAAAAGAACAAATTATTTATTGGGCGACCAAAATAAATAAATTTAAACTTAAAAAGAAATAGTATTCGACGACTATAACAATTATAAAAGATGAGCCAACCAGGGTTGGATGGGCTCAGAAAAACCGGCCCTGGCAATTTTTTCCTTCAGCCCTCGCATTTGTAATGCTATAAAAACTCCATTTAAAAAAAAAAATTAATACTTGGTAGAACCACCATTCTTCTCTATAACATTTTGTAATCTCCTAGGCATGGAACTAATTAAATTTTGCATATCGTAATTTTCTTCTAAATTGTTCCACTCATTTTGAATTGCATTAATAAGGTCTTCTCTATTTCTTGGTCTAAATTCATATTTATATATTTTTTTTACGAGATATCCCCAAATATTTTCGATTGGGTTTAAATCGGGGCTTCTTGACGGCCAAGGAAGAGTTGTAATGTTATTTTCTTCTAGCCCATTATGAACCACATGAGCAGTGTGAATTGGCGAGTTATCCTTAAAATGAAAAAAATATTTTTTTTTGATCAGGAAAGATAAATCATAAAGTGTTACGTGTTGAAACACAAAATCATTATCAAATATTTCTTGCACTGACGGGAGCATTACATCGTTTAAAATTTCCACGTATCGGTTCCCAGTTAATCGGCCTACAATATGAATTATGTCCCTGAAGATGATATCCAGGCCCACACGTGGACAGAAAATCTTCCGCTGTTGTCAGTTTTGTGGAGGTATTCTTTATCAAACTTATGGTTTCTGGGACGATAAACTCGCAGTTGCCCATTGTAGTAGGATTTAAATATTTTTTCATCTGAAAAGACTACTCGCTCCCAATATTCAGCATTTTGATTTAAAAAGTTATTTGCAAACTCCACTCTTGCCTCTTTAACATCCGTCAAGCGAGGCTTTTTAGCACTCACGCAGTTAAATAAACCTTCTTCTCGCAACCGTTTTCTTGCCGTCCCAACAGATGCTGGGAAGTTGGTTTCCTCTTTGGCTTATATGGAGTTAGAAAATGGGTTTTGCCTCACATATTCAACCAACTCATTGTCATTTACTGGAGTTGTCTTTCTTGGGCGCCCAGAACCCACTTTTTGTTTAATTTTTGAATAGTGCTTTTGCCACAGTATATTTCATCTGCTATTTGTTGTTGAGACCATCCTCCAATTTTGGCGATAATATAGCCTTTCTCTGCTTCACTTAAAGTATGGTAAGGCATAATTAAATAATGACTTTACTTAATTTTATAAAATTATTTTTGAAATGCCACTGGTGACAACCATATTTACAACGGGAAAATTAGTCGATTACTTTTTATCGGCCGCAATAGTACATTAATGCACTGCCTACAGCATACCTAAGTAAACCAGATGTATAAGTTAGTATTTGTAGAATAAAATACATTTAAAAACTTATCGCAGATGCAAAACTGGGTATTTGTTTCTTCCTGTCGCACAGTGTTTTAATTCTCGAAAGGAGAAGTAGAATTCTAAAATTCAAAATGGTAGATCCAAAATGGCGGACATATTTGTAAAAAAATTGACGGAATTAATTGAAAATCACCATACATGGGTTTTTGTGGTTGCTGATAATGAATCTGGAATCAGAATTCCAAAATTCAAAATGGTAGATCCAAAATGGCGGACATATTTGTCAAAGAATTGACGGAATAAATTGAAAATCACCACACAGGGTTTTTGGGGTCGCTGATAACGAATCTGGAATCATAATTCCAAAATTCAAAATGGTAGATCCAAAATGGCGGACATATTTGTAAAAAAATTGACGGAATTAATTTAAAATCACCACACAGGGTTTTTGGGGTCGCTGATAACGAATCTGGAATCATAATTCCAAAAGTCAAAATGCTGGATCCAAAATGGCGGACATATTTGTAAAAAAATTGACGGAATTAATTGAAAATCACAATACAGAGGTTTTTGTGGTCGCTGAGTATGAATCTGGAATCAGAATTCCAAAATTCAAAATGGTGGACCTCAAATGGCGGACATTTTTATGAAATATTGTCAAATTAATTAAAAACCCGTAAGAGGTTCTTTTTAAAATGTAATAAAACATCTTTTTATAAAATAGCTTAATTTAGGTTATTATAATTACATTTATATGATATTATTTAATACCTACATATATATTAAACAATCTCCGTCACTGGATTCGCTCGTTGTATCATTAGCAGAGCATGGGAAACCATCAGAAGATAGCAACAGTTTTATTGCTTCGCGGGACAAAGATTTGCTCTTTTTCGGAGCAATTTTTCTGAAGCTAGAAATATACGGATCGGAAGAAGCCATAAGCCAATGGAAAGCATCTTTCATCGTTTTCTCCCGAGAAACTTTTAAAATTTATTTATAAAATTTAACAGATTTAATACTAAGTATTTTAAATTTGTATTATTTCTTTTACTTAATATTTTAGCAACGATTTCTTACTTCGCTAAAAAAATTGTCAACACAATTCAAATTTGACATTAACACACTACAATGCGCATGCGGAGTTGTTTTAACGCACCTACAAGAGGGGGGTTAAATATGTAAAATCGGTGTTAAATATCTTAGTAGTCACGAACGATTTACGCAAGTGAAAGTCTAGACACCGCTGTTGTAATAAACGTTTTGAGTTAAATCCGAGTGAATCGAGTAAACGTCATGAACGCAACCCAGAAATAAAAAAAAATCTTTTTTGTAAAGCAAAAACACAGATACGCGCTCGGCTTAAAATCGCGAGGTTTTTTACCACAACCGTGCCTGAGCGCCCAAGAACATGTAGTTTTAAAGAGCCGGGGACGAGTTTTGATGCAGATAGTTTATTGTTGGCTTGATAAACAAAACTTAAAGCTATTCAACGGATCTTGAACTGATGCCTTAAAATTCATTACAATTTTTGTAGCTCCATTTTTCTAAAAGCTCGATTCAAAGTTTGCGATTTTAACAGACCGATCTTGTCGGTTTCAATAACCTGTTGTACAAGCAAAATCTACGAAAAACAAATACATGTCTGAATTTTAGATACCTTGAAGATCACCCTTCATCCGTATAACATTTGGACACACCAAACACAAGTTATTCACTTTTAAACAATAAACAATTTTTCGCAGCGATCGCGTGTAAAGTACCTTCAACTGAAAGCGTCAAGTTTAAACTAATGTGCAAGACAAAATATACGTATTTTATATAATTTTTTTTTCAATACAGGATGGAGACAGGTATTAACTACCTATCTAACTCAAAATTTACCTAAAAAAAATGTCAATTTTTGAGGTTTTGCCGATATTTTCCAGAATTGAAACACTGTGTGTCGGATGCAAAACTCGGTATTTGCTGTTGACTAATCACGTCGCTAGTATGCGCACTAAGTGACGACATAACAATCACCTGATTAATTGTTATAACAATCACCTGATTAATTTTTATTTTTTGGTCTTTGAACGAGGAAGATGCAAAACTATGTTTTTAAATCTTTTGATTACAATTATTTACTCTAATACCTAATTTAAAAGGATTTTTTTTTCTTTTTTGAATAAAAATGATGCATAAGCACGTCTATACAATTTTAGCATTTTTTTTTCAAAAATAATCTAATGAGCGGTTTTTCATCTTTTTCTTAAAATCACATTCCTGTAAATACAGAGTTGTGCATCTAATGTACTCAATTTGGTTATTGATACATCTTTTGACACCTACGAAAGTTATAGTGGTTTTTAAAAGGCGGCGCGCTAAGAATTTTGTATTTAAAATTGTTAAACAGCTACATAAGTGTGTCCAAAGATATTATTATCTTTGAGTGTGTCTACTTAAGTTGGTAACATATGGGAATTTTTTTAATTTTAAGAAAAAAAGTTATTCTTTATAAAAAGTTCTGCATGTTGTAAAATCTAAAATACAATCATCAGATATAAAAAAATTTCAGTCGTATTCGCGGTTTGTCAAAAAATATGAATCTTACTCAAGAGTAAAGTACCTTTATATTTGACAATATCAAAAATTCTTATTAAAAAAAGTTGATCAGAACTAAAAACTACGTTCAAATATGCAATTACTTCCATTTACATGGAAAAAATATTTTTTCTTTTTTGTTTACAATAACAATGCAAATGCAACTGTAGTTACATGTAATCTAGGATGCAGTGAAAAACAAATGATTTGTTGGTAGCAACAAATGTTTGACATTGAATGTCAAAGCATCAGAATTTGCTTATTACTTTCTGAACGGAACGGAAAGGTAATCATGTCTGTAAAAAATAAAAAAGATAAATGTTCGGTATCGGTAATTTGAGGAAAAATTGTAAAAAAATAGTAGAAGGATGTAATTGCATATTAAAACATAGTTTTTCATTCCGAACAACTTTTCGATATTCAGGCCAATTCACTAACTATAATAAATATATGATCTCTTGTTAATTTGTTAATATTACCTATAAAAATCATTTAATAATAATTTTTGTTATCAACATTTCCTTTGTTTTAAATAAATTATTAGTTTCTTAAAACAAATCATGTAGCTATTTGTAATCCTTTACATTTTACTACCTCGAGGTAAAAATAGTTTTTCTACTCCTATTGCATATTATTGATATTTGGGTTTTTTTCCGTAAATAATGGTAACCCATATAACAGCCCGGCCTAAAAACGTGAATAATGAACTCATTATTTACGTTGTTAGGTGTCAGTAATAGACCTATCCCATAAAACAGACTTTTGGATAGCGCGTGCCTGAAGAAGAGTGGTATCTCTTTCTCTTTTATGTAATTAAAAAAAGACGACGTGTCTTTTCACGCACGCGCTATCCAAAAGTCCGTTTTATGGGATAGGTCTATTGGCTGATTTCAATATTCACTGTTATTTGAACCAATCAGGTTTTAAATGGGGAAAAATGGAAGGTTAACAGATGTCAGATTTGTTTATATATACGAGGGGCGACTACAATGATCTTTAAAATCGGGGAAAAGTTAGGTTATAATAAATTTTGTTATAAATGAAAATTACCCTCACTTTTTACCAATTTTAAATGTTGTTATAGTCGCCTTTTCCCAATTTAAAATCAGATTGGATCAAATCTCAGTGAATATTGAAATCGGCGTAACAACGTTCAAATAATTTCATTATTTACGTTAGACAGGGAATTTAAAATGTGTATCACTATTCAGCGAAAAAAACCCAATATTACGCAATAGGAGTATATAAAAAATATATTAAGGTAGTAATTGTTTTTCTAAAAAGTATAATAAAAACATTAAGTTTTGCTCCATATAAAAATAGGCATAAACTATTTTTGTCTTTTTCGCAGCAAAGCCTATTTATTTATTAATAAAACAAATAAAAAACAAGGCTTTACGTTTATTAATAGAGCAAAATAATTATTTTTCTACATAGTGTAATATATTTTTTTAATTTTTTTAATTTTAACCCCTTATAAAACAAAATATAATAAACATAAATTATGTTTCTCGATAACAATATTAAGCCTACTTATTTCTGAATGAAATGAAAACAAGGCTTTAAGTCAATTCCTAAGGTCACAAATTAGTTTTGACCAGTAAAGTAGCATTCCAACCCACCGTGGGACGTAGCGATTTAACGCATATAAAAATCATTTCAGAGGATTCCTTGAGCAGTCTGGGAGGCAAAGACGTTGACCACCGCAACTTGATAAGTCTGACCGGTTCGCCGGCGCAGGCAGATTCAAATTCCAACCACAACAGCGACCCGCCGGCGTGGAGCAATTCGGACAAGGTTTGCGCTCTACTCTTTTTAATATATGAATAAAAACAACACTGTTTTAAAGTTTTACTATTTTATTTATATATTTTTTTTAAATTAACAATTGTTTCGCTACAAGGTAGCTTATTCAGAATAAGTACAAAGTGGCGGTATTTATATTAGCTAATGCAGGTGTTTGAAAAAACGTGTTATATAAACAATATACCTAATTGCATTAATCAAACTTACACAATATTATATATATTATATTAATAAATATTGTGTAGAGATGGGAAAATTCCCATTTAAAAAAAACACGTAAACTTTCCAAAAGTTTCAAAAAAAAAATTTTGATTGCGGAAAATATATTGCAAATTTTATTAAGAAAAAAATTGTTTATATGAATGTATACATTGTATGCTGAAACTTAAAAAATAAAGTGGTATCTGTCAGAAATTCACTACTAGTAAATCACTGGATATTACATAAAAATATAAAGGAACAAAGTAACCATACAGGAATATTGAAGTAAAACATACTAAAAATAGTATTGCAGTTCTGACCAATAAAATATGAAAAAAAACTACAGGCAAAATAAAATCAACTTTTTTAACTACCATTACCCATAAAAAAACAATTGCAAAAGCAAAAAACACAAATTAGGATTTTTTTTCAAAACAAACAAATATAAAAGTGTTATTTCCGTAATTTAAACTTGTAAAAACTAAGGAACTGAATCTACAACAATGGCATTAGTAGCATTTAATGTACTGCATTGAGCATGGTCTTTTTTTTTCTATTTTGTAATAATTCCAAATATAAGATTTTGAAAACTTTAAGATTCCCATCTCTAATAAATAATATTTTTAGTACAAAATAAATTTAGCAAAGGAGAGTTGTTGGTTTCAATTTGTTCATTAAGAACAATATCCGATAATTTCTTTAGTTTATTAATTTCCAAAGACTCGTCAAATTTGTGGATCTCTTGTATTAAATGGTAACCATATGAAGAGTCCTGTTTAAGGTTTATGTAAGATTTTTTGTGTTCTTTAATTCGTGTATCAAAGCTCCGACCAGTTTGGCATTTATATGTTTTCGTATTTTGAGGATTTTGGTAGAGATTGGGTATCGCAAATTTTCCATTTTAAGGAAAGTTTTCAGTCGGGGATTTATTTTCATTTTGAAAGTTTGTTTTAAAGTTTCCGGAAACTTTCACAGTTTTTTTTTATGTAAATTTTCCGAATTTAAGGCCAAGAAACTGAATATTAAGAAGTTAATTTTTGTTAATTTAAAGAAGAAGAAGAAGTATACTATTAGCTATGTTCTATGATTAGTTTGTTGAAGATCTCATCATCACAATTCATAAATCGTTTGAAAAAAACCTTTTGCATAAAAGCCTTTTAAAAGGTAAACCAAATAAAAACAATATACAAAGTTAAAATCATTCCAACTTTTTTGTTGTTTATTTATAGGAACAGTATAAGAGTACAAGAGAAAAATCTTATATTTGGAATTATTACAAAATAGTGCAAAAAACAAGACATCGAATGTTAATAATGCCATTGTTGTAGATTCAGATCCTAGTTACAATTTTTACAAGTTTAAATTACAGGAATAACACTTTTATTTTTGTTTGGTTTAAAAAATTCTTAGTTTGTGTTTTTTGCTTTTGCAATTGTTTTTTATGTAATGAGTAATGGTAGTCAAAAATGTTGTTTTTTTTTCATATTTTATTGGTCAGAACTGCAATACTATTTTTAGTATTTTTTACTTTTCAACATTCCTATATAATATAAAGTGTATTCAAATCCAAGCTGAACTAAACAAAAACGCCCAGACACATGATAACTCGTTCTTATTGGTCGATTCTGATGGTGTGACTCGGATTGTGAGTTCTTATTGGTCGATTCGGACGATTGTGTTTACATTTAGTTCAGCTTGGATTTGAATGGACTTTACTTACTGTGTTTTCTTTTATATTTTTGTATGTAATATTTAGTGAATTTTTGATACTTAACAGTTTATTTTTTAGGCTTCAGCATACAATACATTATGTATATGTTACGGCTAATGTGCAAACTTGGATAGTTTATAAACTAGCTGGATAGTTTATAAACTAGCCAAACTGTCAGCTATTTTAATTGAAAATCTATTTTCAACTAAATTAGCGGCTAGTTTACAAAATAACCAAGGATCTTGGCTAATTTACTTGAAATTATTAGGGAAACTAAAATAGCTGGATAGTTTGTATTCTATCCAATTCAATTTGGCTAATATGAAAACCAAAATTTCTAATAACACAAAATAGCCAAGCTTTAGCTAGTTTGTAAACTAACCAAGTAATTATCTGGCTAATTTATTAAAAAAGTGAGGTTAAGGCATTGTTTTTCGTTTTGCCGGCTTAACCGGATTTGTTTTGTGCATTTTAACGTTTTTAAAATGAATCATAGGCAAAATTTTAACGCTTCCTTGTTAAAAAACTCAACAACACAACCCTACCGACCCCGCCCCATTGACCCCCCCCCCCCCGCCCCATTGATCAAATGGTCAAAAATGAGAGAAAAAAACCCAAACCAACCCAAACTCAACAACACAACCCAACCGACCCCGCCCCATTGGGCCCCCCCCTCCCCATTGAGCAAAAAACCCCACTAAAATGGGCAAAAAATGGGAAAATATGCAAAAAAAATGTAAAAAAAATAACTTTAATAAAATCCCCCTAAAGTAAAAATTGTGACGTTATACGAAATTAGCCAGAGAATTGGTTGGTTAGTTTACAAACTAGCTAAAGCCTGGCTATTTTGTGTTACTAGAAATTTTGGTTTTCATATTAGCCAAACTGAATTGGATAGTATACAAACTATCCAGCTATTTTAGTTTCCCTAATAATTTCAAGTAAATTAGCCAAGATCCTTGGTTATTTTGTAAACTAGCCGCTAATTTAGTTGAAAAATGTTTTCAATTAAAATAGCTGACAGTTTGGCTAGTTTATAAACTATCCAGCTAGTTTATAAACTATCCAAGTTTGCACATTAGCCGTAACATACAGGGTGTTATGTAATTAATGTTATATATTAAAATACTGAATACCTTTTGACATAAGGAATAAAGGAAAAATATTTAAAATACATTTTTCGAAAGATAAAGAAAAAATATGCATTAGAAGTTTTTTATATTTTTTGTGATACGCCACTGGTTACACACTTGGTTTATCTCTGCTCACTTGTATTTTGTGAGTACATAGATACCAACCAACAAAGTAGCTATGCGTTGCCATATGTAAAAAATTGTTACTAAAAATTTTTCTTGCAAAAAATAAATAAAAACTCAATAAATACAAAAGTTTTATGCCCTTAAAGCTCTAATACCCTTCTGTATTTATTTACTGATCCAGCTATTAGCTTAGGCAATGATTCGAAAATTTAGTACCTTTGAAATTTGAAATCCATAACCACAAAATTATTTTTTTTATCAGTTTTTTTTCTGTTTACTCAGATGAAATTGGGACCAGTTCACAGGTTAAACTTTAAACATTTAATTTGTGTAAATAAATCCAAAAGCACTTCCCTTAGTTAAGATATTTACAATTTGAAAACATAACCTAAAATTTAAAAGAAATGCACTAGATTCTGTCATAAAAGTTGTCAGATTTTGTTTGAATTTACCTTCAGTACAAAAATGACATAACCAACAATTAATAAAAACGCCAAATTGGCAATTTGCATTATTAATTTTGTTATTTTTGTAATTAAGCTAAATTTAAACAATGTTTGTCAACTTTTTTGAGAGATTTTCGAAACACTGTTGTTACCAACCATAACATAATAAATCCACCAGATTAACCTAAAGTTCCTAGTCGATCAGTGGCGTTCTTTTTGGTAGGATAAAGGTTATTATAAATTATTTTTAGACTTTGAAATTTAGAAAAAAAAAGTTTCAGGTGCTTCTTTATGGACCCTAGGGAACAACCCATTTTAATATATAACATTAATTACATAACACCCTGTATACATTTTTACAATTTTTTTTTATTTTTTCTTTATAAAATTTGGAAAAAAGATGTGTTATATATTTTTGCAATCCTCCTGGCAAAAAACTCATTTCCACAATAATTTTTTTTCTTTTTAAACTTTCGAGAAAGTTTCGGGAATTTCCGATGGGAAGTTTCCGGGAATTTTTGTCAAATGGAAATTTTTCCATCTCTAGATTTTGTTGTTTTTGACAAACTTACTAAGGTTGTTGTTCTGAAGAAGCTACCGTGTAGCGAAACATTTGTTAACATAAATAAAATAGTGAAACTTTAAAGAGTGTTTTTTATTCATACAGGGTGTTATGTAATTAATGTTATATATTAAAATGGGTTGTTCCTTAGGGTCCATAAAGAAGCACCTGAAACTTTTTTTTTCTAAATTCCAAAGTCTAAAAATAATTTATAATAACCTTTATCCTACCAAAAAGTACGCCTCTGATCGACTAGGAACTTTAGGTTAATCTGGTGGATTTATTATGTTATTGTTGGTAACATTGGTTTCCAAAATCTCTCAAAAAAGTTGACAAACATTGTTTAAATTTAGCTTAATTACAAAAATGACAAAATTAACAATGCAAATTGTCAATTTGGCGTTTTAATTAATTGTTGGTTATTTCATTTTTGTACTGAAGGTAAATTCAAACAAAATCTGCCAACTTTTATGACAGAATCTAGTGCATTTCTTTTAAATTTTAGGTTATGTTTTCAAATTGTAAATATCTTAACTAAGGGAAGTGCTTTTGGATTTATTTACACAAATTAAATGTTTAAAGTTTAACCTATGAACTGGTCCCAATTTCATCTGAGTAAACAGAGAAAAAAACTGATGAAAAAATTAATTTTGTGGTTATGGATTTCAAATTTCAAAGGTACTAAATTTTCTAATCATTGCTTAAGTTAATAGCTGGATCAGTAAATAAATACAGAAGGGTATTAGAGCTTCAAGGGCATAAAACTTTCGTATTTATTGAGTTTTTATTTATTTTTTGCAAGAAAAATTTTTAGTAACAATTTTTTACATCTGGCAACGCATAGCTACTTTGTTGGTTGGTATCTATGTACTCACAAAATACAGGTGTGCAGAGATAAACAAGTGTGTAACCAGTGGCGTATCACAAAAAATATAAAAAACTTCTAATGCATATTTTTTCTTTATCTTTGGAAAAATGTTTTTTTAAATATTTTTCCTTTATTCCTTATGTCAAAAGGTATTCAGTATTTTAATATATAACATTAATTACATAACACCCTGTATATTAATAATATGGCTTTCCAACAATCAACAACTCTTTTTAATGTTTCAAATGTTTTTTTAACGGCCCTATTAAACGCCAGGACTACCGAAACAAGCCGACGGACGCCAACTTGGACCAAGACTACCGCCTGCCGTTGGACATCAACCTCAAGCTGCCGCCGCCGCCGCCGCCCCCGCAAAAAACCGACGAAAAACCGCCGAAGAAGCCGGACAACGTCGAGTGCACCGACATGGATCTCAGCGACGACGACAACGAGCGCAGGAAATCCCTCGAACCGCCCCCGCAGCTGCCGGACTTCTCCCTCGAACCGCCGCCGCCGCTCCCGGACCTCCCGGACGACATCGACGCCAACAACTTTTTGGACGACCTCAGCAACGACCTGAACGAGTTCAGCAACCTGTCCGACGATTTCCTCGGCGGCGGCGGCTGGGACCGCGCGCCGCCCCCGATGCCCCCGATGATGCCGCCCCCGCCGCACATGCAGATGAACCAGTTTCCGCCGCCGCGCATGCCGATGAACAACTACATGCCGCCGCCGCCCCCCATGATGCCGCCGCCACCTGAAGAAGACTACCAGGATTGGGGCGGCGCGAACGAGAACCAGTGGCAGAACTTCAACAACAACAGTTTCAGGGGAAGGGGCGGCGGCCAACATAACAACAGGTTCATGGGTAACAACAACAACAACAAAGGCACCCCTCGCGGTCGAGGGAGGGGCGGCGGCAATTTTAACAGTTTCAGGGGCGGCAACAACTTCAGAGGGGGGGACAATTTCAGGGGCAGGTCTCCAGGTAGGGGGGGACGTGGACAAGGAGGAATGCATCGCCCCAAAGGTAATTTTAGGGGGAACTTTAGAGGAGGGTACTAAGACGAGTAATAAAGCAAATCGGAGTCTGAGTTTTAATTCGAGCGGTTGTCTAACGAGTACAAATTATTTCATTTGTACGCGTTTTTTTTGCGTTTAATGGCTGTGTGCGCATCTTTTAATTTTGACCAATTTTGACCAATTTATTAGATTTGACCACAAATATTCTTTAATTTTGGGAATTTGTAAAAAAGTCTACATCTTCAAACAAAAATGCATTTTTGAACCACAAAAGTGACTTTATTAATAGAATTGCGTTAAAAACGCTTTTTAGGGCGATTAAACACATTTTTACCATGAAATTAAATTTTAAAAGGTTGTGGTAAAAAAATTCATTATCGTCCTAAAAAGCATTTTTAACGCGATTTTATTTATAAAATCATTTTGGTGGTTCAAAAATTTATTTTTGTGTGAATATATCAACCATTTTACAAAAACCTTTTCAAATTTTGGGAGTTTGTAGAATAGTCTCTAAGTTCTGACAAAAATACACTTTTTACCATAAAATTAAAATTTAAAAGGTTGTGGTTAAAAAATCCTAAATACTGTTATAATTGTTTTTAAACGACGTTTTGGGCTAAAATTTTGATTACAACATGTATTTACTAAACATTTTTTAATCAAAATTTTATTGCAGACATAAGTTTTTTGAAAAATATTAATTTTACAACGCGATACTTTTTTAATTTCAATTTTATCGTAAAAATGTATTTTATCGTCCTAAAAAGCGTTTCTATTCATAAAATTATTGTTTTAGTTCTAACAAAAATGCATTTTTAAATTGATTTTATTAATATAACCGCGTTAAAAATATTTTTAGGACAAACCACATTTTTACTATAAAATTAAAATTAAAAAGTAATGGTAAAAAAATTACCTGAAATTCGTTAAAAAATTATTATTTTACAAAAATGTCTATAAACTTACTTTTGGATTTTGATGATTACAAGAAGTTTTATTTAAAAAATTGGTTTTGAAGCCCACAAAGTCGTTTTTTTTTAATATTAATTTTATATTACTCTTTTAATTTCAATTTGATCGTAAAAATGTTTCCATTTTCCTAAAAAAATTTTTACGCGATTCTATTCATAACATCACTTTTGTACTTCTAAAATATATTTTTGTTACCTAGAACTTAAAAACTTTTCCACAAATTCCCAAAATTGGGAAAAAGGTTTGTAAAATAATAATAACGTGATATTATTAATAAAATCGCGTTAAAACGCTTTAGAACGGTAAAACACATGTTTACTATAAAATTGATATAGAAAAAGTGATGATAAAAAAATTACCTAAAATACTTCTGTTACAAAATTAATACTAAAAAAACGACTTGTTCGGTTTTCATTTTAATTTTGGCAATAAAACTTTCATATAACAACGTTAGGTAAGTATGTACATAACAGTTTTTAATCAATTAATTAATTAAGTACATAAACATTTTATAATCATTTTTTGCCAAAATGAGTTTCAAAACCCAAAAAGTCGTTTTTTTTCTATATTAATTTCATGACCCAATTTTATCGTAAAAATATATTTACCGTCCTAAAAAAGCGTTTTTACGCGATTCTATTCATAAGATCACTTTTGTAGTTTAAAATTTTAAGATATCGCCATTTTACAACAAAATTAAAGAAAATTTGTGAGTGAAAAATACATTGGCCAGTATGTCGCAATCTATTGCGGTGTAAATTTATTATTTTGATTTTACTTTTTGAATTAAATTGAATAAAGTTAAATCAACCAATCAGCACGAGATTATTCACTACACACCATATTGCGACATAAAATGCCCTGAAATAAAAAAATCCTTTGGACTAAATAGTTTTCTGCATACAGCCATAACTCGCCTTTTTGCATCTAATCACCTTTTGACGTAAGTATAGAAGAGTAGAAGATACAATAGATTAGTTTTCGTAATGAAAACTCCAGAATTCTTAATATCCAAAGATTAGCCAAGAAAAGATCGTTGATTTTATTGTAAATATGAGTACTCAGTACTAAATCATAGCATTTGCGATTTAAATTAGACAAATTGGAAATTAATATTTAAATGCACACTCTATTTACGCAACTTTGACTTTTTGTTTCGTTTAACTTGCTTAGTGATTATAATATTCCTATATTGTTAGTTGTAATTTTCTGAAGCATTTTTAAAATACTCGCATCATTAATACACATTTTAAAATGTAATTATTTGCAGAAAAATGCTTTAGAAATAAATCTATTATGTATTGATGGTAATTTTTCACATTGGGAGAATCAATTGGCTATTTTTTAGATATTTAATTAAACATAGGTCATGCACAGTACCTGGAAATTTTGTAAATAATTCTGTGTATGAAAAAATATTGTGTAGTGGTTTTTTGATTTAGTTTAATGTATTACTGGTTATATTAACAAAATGTAATAAACGTATTGATAAATTATAAATTTGTTAATTTTTTGCGAATATTGTTTAAAAATATTTAGTTTTTGCCTTTATGTTTAAATTTTGAAGGATTATTAAATAAACCGCAAGTTTTTTATTTGATGTAAGAAGAAATAAATGTTTTCTTGTGTTTTGGAAAGTTATTTTGTTGAAGTATTGGCGATACCCCTTTAGCTCACCAGCTGTTTTCAAAAATTTTGATCCCCGTCCCTTTTGTTTTTTCATTGTATTTTCCTACTTTTTGGCATTTAGAAATGTATTTCTACTTAAATAAGTTCTTTTCGGTTTTCATATTATTTCTTTCTGTTTTACTTTTTGAATAAATCCTATCAACAGGGTTATGTCCCTGCTTTGTTTTTAAACTAGTTTTATCATTTTCGTTATTTAAAAAACTAGCCACAGGTTTATTTACAACCAAATCTCGAAAACGAAGCTTTAAAGAAGTACCCACATATAAACTTTTCTTCTTATTTTTCTGAACTATAAATTTTTCCCGATTCAAATGTATATTCAATTTACATAAGGTGTCCCAAAAATTTGCAGCAGACGAGGGGTGAATATTTGACGACATAAATTCATTTGGCGTTTTTTTTATCTAACCCTCCCTTAATTAAAATTAATTAAATAAAGGGATTTGCATAAATACACCCCTTTTTGCTGTCCATTTATTTCGGTCTTCTATGAAAATATGTTCGTTTTTCATGTTTTAAGAGCTTTCTCCAAAATAACCGTAGCGGGTAAACAATTTTTTTTTAAATTTTTTGACGGCCCTAAAAAAATCGAGCTAATTTGCGCGACCCTAATATACAGTATGTCCCAAAATCATCAAAAGAAAGGGTCGGTCCCTTGCGAAAATCTAATCGAAAATTTCCTTTACCTTTTTTTTTAATTTGCATTTGTTATATTTTTTGTGTTGGCAAAAGACTGGGCGCCCTATGGATCGAATTTTAAACACTGCGCTTTCATTGGTAGCCTTAAAAATTAAATAACTCCTACAATTTTGCGAATTCGTCTTGAAATTTTAAGAGGAATTAACCTTGATCCGTTTGGGCGCCAATTTTGTGATGCTACCTCATTAGCGGCCATGAAGATTAAATAAGTCCTGCAATTTTGCGAATTTAATAAAATGGCAAAGGAAAATTCGTCGTAGATTTTCTAAAGAAATCGACCTCTTTCGTTTGGTCGGGCGGTTTTGGGACACCCTGTAAATATACATACATATGTATGTTTTACATTGCGTCATCAATTTAAAATGTCAAAACCCTGTTTTTCGACGTACGTCCGGCGTATAGGTATTCCACATTAGACTGAGCCAAAAAAATCAACTATTTTTTTTAAGTATATAGAAAATATGGTTTGGGGTCACGAAAAAAATTATTGTGAAAGTTTGAGTCCATAATATTAATATTAAGAGGTCTATCATCGCAATTTAAAATTTTTTTCCTAAGCAAGTTTTTGTCTCAGAACTCGCAAACCATTAAGTTTAACAACATTGCCACCGAAATATTTTTTTAAGAAAATTAAGTGCTCTACAAAAAAGGTTAAAATGAAATTTTCCGTCAGATGAACCGTTTTTTTTAAATCATGCCTTAAAAATTGGTATAGTTTTACAATTTTTTTTTTGTTTTAAAAATATATTTATTTATTTATTTCTTTATATTATTTACATAACTTTTTATAGCCAACAAAACAGTTCTTAACTGGTACCGCTATAGCGGTACCAGTTAAGAACTATAGTCTATAAAATTTGTTTCCATCCAACTAATCCATTCCATTTTGATCTTTTAACTTTGGAATTTTGTAATTCATGTAAAAATCAGTACCCAGAAAAAAAACGATATTCTTATGGAAAATCAAATGCCTTACAAAAAAAAAGCCTCTGAACATTTTTGGCTAAATTTACTCAATCAAAAGGTATTCAAGTTTAAAGTTGAAGTCAAAACGAAATTCTTGTTTTTTCCTCTCTAGATTTATTTTTTATGGATGATAATTTAATTTTTTTCTTTATAAATGTTTATTATAAAGCTAATTTTAAAATTTCCAATTAAAAAACAACATGATTGTTATTATTTAAACGAAAATAATATTTTCTAAAGAAAATGTCGAAAAAATTCTAATGTGTTATTTTTTTTTAATTTTCAGTAATTTTATCAATAACATAAAGATAAAAAAATTCAAGTTTTTAACTGGCCCAAAAAAATGTGGAGCGGAAAAAACAAGAATTTCGTTTTGACTTCAACTTTAAACTTGAATAACCTTTGATTGAGTGAATTTAGCCAAAAATGTTATGAGGTTTTTTTTGTAAAGCATTTGATTTCCCATAAGAATATTCATCGGTTTTTTCCGGGTACTGATTTTTAAATGAATTACCAAATTCCAAAGTTAAAAGATCAAATTGTAAAACTATACCAATTTTTAAGGCATGATTCTAAGAAAACGGTTCATCTGACGGGAAATTCCAATCAAACCCTTTTTGTAGAGCATTCAATTTGCTCCAAAAAATATTTTTAAGTCAATTTTGTTAAACTCAATGGTTTGCAAGTTCTGAGACAAAAACTCGCTCAGGAAAAAAAAATCTAAAATTGCGATGATAGACCTATTAATATAAATATTATGGACTTAAACTTTCACCATAATTTTTTTTGTCACCCCAAACAATATTTTCGATATACTTTACAAAAAAAATAGTCGATTTATTTGGACCAGTCAATTTCACATACCTACTACAAAAAAAACAGCAAATTGTAATATCTGAGCTTGGTTTACAAATTGATGACGCAATGTAAAACATTCAAAAAATAGACTGTATATATTTTATACGTTAATTTTAACTTTTTTTTAATTCCTTCATACATCCTGTATTTTTTACAAGAAATTTAATTAACATTACCACACATTTTTTAGCAAAATTAATATAAATAAATCAAACACGGATCAAAAGCCTCTTGGTAGGATTTGTTTTAATTATTTTTGTACTGAAATACCTTTTTACCATACTGTACTGTACAACCCGTGTACAAAGTTATCTGCTCACTATTGCCAACTCTGTCATTGGAGCTACAAAGTTGGTTAGCAAATTAGTGGCATTTTTTTCTGATTAAAATGGTGAAAACAGAAAAGCAATTGAACGTGTTTCTAAATTAATCACAAAAATAATATTTTTAAGTTTTGGCTAGTTATGCAATAATAATTTTTTGTTCCAATTTAAATTTCAAATATTTAAAAATATACAGGGTGTCTCCTTTGAATATTTCGTAATTGTTTTTTTTTGTTTTCACCATTTTATTCAGAAGAAAAAATGCCAAGAATTTGCTAATTTAACTGCAATTAAATTAGCAAATTGATGTCATTTTTTCTTCTGATTAAAATGGTGAAAACAATTAAACGAGCATGCTCCAATAATAACCGATTTTAACTAATAGCAATAGTAAGCAGATAAGGATGTATACCGCGTGGTTCTAAAACTTCATATATACAATATTTTCAAGTTTTTAATAATTTGAAATAAGTCTTTTTAAACAAATTCTTTTCATACTTTTTTCAAATACAGTATTTTTAAAGATCTCATTTTATAAACTTCTCTAAAGCATTCGGCATTTTTATCTATTTAATACAAACAGTTTTTGTTTTAAGAAAACTTGTTCCAGTCTTAATTTTAGTTTTCTTTTTGTTATCTTAATTAAGCTTAATTAACCTAGGTTATCGCAAAAATAATCAAAGCAATATGTAAAATTCTCTCAAATTATTAATTTATACAATATGCTTTACACTAAACGATAAGTATTAGATTAAGACCACTAGCCATATTTTTTCATACCTACAGCTAAAATACATATGTAATTATTTTTCAACAATGGTTATATATATTTTATTTTTACTATAAGGCTGAAATATTATTTGTAAATATAATATCAAATTTTGTTGTAAAAAAATATCAATAAACCCTGTGTGTATAACATTTTTTTCTACCATGTATGGTAAGAAATGCTACATTTTCCGACTCAGTAAAAATATATTTTTTTATTTAAGATAGCATATATGTACGTATATAAGTACTTATTGCCTGTAAATTGCGATTTTTATTTTCTTTTAAGAAAATATACAGGGTATCCCAAAAATGACGCCATATGCTTATACCATATGCATATACCAGAGTATTCAGTATATCGACACCCTAATATAACAAGGTTGTATGTTAAAAAAAAAACGAAAAATTTAAGTGTATGTTTCTACAGGATTATACGTGGCCTACGCTTCACATACCACTTAAAAATAATTCTATAGAATGTATATTCTATTATAGTTATTTTTAAGTTGTATGTCAAGGGTGGATTACATAAAACCTTGTAGAAGCATAAACTCAAAATTTTCGGTTTTTTAACATACAACCTTGTTATATTAGGGTGACGATATACGTTTATATATTTCATATTTTCTCGTTCGCATTTGACACGTATCAAGTAAATAACTAACCAAATTAATTTATTCGTATACAATACTTTTTGATATTCACAATTTTGTAGCTATTCCTATAGGCCTAATTTAAATTCCCTTATTAAAAATCTAATTATTGCAGAATTTATTCCTGACTGATTACCCAAAATTTAAATAACAATCTGCTACCTATTTACAAACATTCGATTATTTTCACCACAGAACTGTGATTTTCACTGTTTTATTTAATTTAATTTTTTACTTTTTAATTTATAGAATCTCAAAAATAAGTTAATTATACTATAGTACTATCAAATGACCCCACTTCCTATAATAGTAATCCCATTGGAAAAATGTAATTATTTTGAACAGTTCAAATGTCAAAAAGAAGTATTTAATGTCTAGTTTAACATACTAAAATTTTCGATTTCTAACCTTCCGATTCAAAAAGTAAAAGTTTTTAAGTTCGCACTATACCTAATTTTCTTTATTTTGTTTTTAAAAGAATATAGCCAAATTTTGTAGTGGCGTTTTAAAAGTAAGTAAAAGTACGTCAGTACCTTTTTGGGGAATTTGTATACTAAAAATAAATTTTTTTTAAAAATTTGGCAATCCAAAATCGGTAAAAGTAAGACAATTTTTATAAGATTGAATTGTGTGTATGTATATTATACATTATACAGAATGTCACAATGAAGTGAATTCCAGTTGACCAAATATTTTACATATAATATCAACAATGCAATGATAATTTTGTACAATAAAACAGGAAAGTCAGGAAATTTACTTATTATACCCATGAACAATTGATTTTAAATAAATAAATAAAAACTATAAAAACAAACTTAACGTTAAAATATTTTTATTAAATACAATAAAAAACTTAAAACTACTTTGGAACGTTGTCTTTGTTGAAGTGTCCACCAATCGGGCAATTCTCTTCGTTATGAAGACACCATTCCGGTTCCATGGCGTCTGCGTCTATGCCTTTAGTGACGAGTCTTTCTCTGTGGACAAGAAGCCTGGGCTCGGCGTCCCTCCAGGTTGTAGTAGGCTCTGACCAAAGCACCTCGGCCATTGCGGCAGCCCTTGGCCAGAGCCTACTGTCGATTGAAGTCGAGTCCACCTGTTCGGTCCATAGGGTGGCTTCTTCGCCAAGGATTTGATGTTTTCTTTCCTCTGAAAAATATGCAAAAATATTTTTGTTGCTTGTGGTATTTTAAGAGTACTTGAGTTATCCAATTTTCTATACTACTTACTTGCAATTTTGCCAGGTGTATTCTCGTATACCTTCTGCCATCCAATATAAGGAGAGCACCAATTATTTCCATCAGTAACCCATCCGGAAAACCCGCAATCAAAGTACAAAGCCTCATAATTACTCAAAATTAACTTGTAACCATTTTCCAGTAAATTTGAAACTTGCTCGTCGTCCCCTTTGGTCCAAATCTGGATGATATATTTATCCTTCGGCAAAAATTTAACATACTCTTTGTGCGTTAAGTGGCTGGTCCACATTATAACAGGAATTTGTTTACCGGCTTTCTCGTAGACCTTTTCCAAAGCCTGACTTTGGAAGTGGTCCCATAGTTTGATGAAATCGGCCTCGGAACGGCCCCACTTTTTCTCGTTTTGCATCCAGTCCACAATGCTTTTGGTGCTGTTCCAACAGTTGAAGTTCACTTCATCTCCACCCATGTGGAAAATGTCCGGTTTGAACTGGTCGAACATATCTCCATAGATATCTAAAAATGTGATATTTTTATCATTTTGGCGAAAAAAGTTCTTCATTAATAATTTAAATATATATTTGTTGTAAATGACCGATTAATTCCTTATAGAAACCAATTGAAGTATTGTTTGGTATCAATAGGTCTGAATTGGACTTACTGGGTTTAATTGGGAGAGCTATAAAACAGAAATTGGTTTTTATTAGTTTTTTCCATGATGGAAAAGTCCGATTAAAATTCTAGTGTTTTTTAATGGTTTCGATTGGTTAAAGCTACCAATAGGTAATTTCCAATTGAATTCAATTGGGCATTCCCAGTGTGAGATTCTAGAAAGGAATCTGCTAATTGGTTATTTCCAATACTTTAAAATATGGAAAAGTCTAATTATGATTCTACTGTTTTTTAGTGGTTTCGATTGGTTAAAGCTACCCATAGGTAATTTCCAATTGAATTCAATTGGGCATTCCCAGTGTGAGATTCTAGAAAGGAATCTGCTAATTGGTTATTTCCAATACTTTAAAATATGGAAAAGTCTAATTATGATTCTACTGTTTTTTAGTGGTTTCGATTGGTTAAAGCTACCCATAGGTAATTTCCAATTGAATTCAATTGGGCATTCCCAGTGTGAGATTCTAGAAAGGAATCTGCTAATTGGTTATTTCCAATACTTTAAAATATGGAAAAGTCTAATTATGATTCTACTGTTTTTTAGTGGTTTCGATTGGTTAAAGCTACCCATAGGTAATTTCCAATTGAATTCAATTGGGCATTCCCAGTGTGAGATTCTAAAAACGAATCTGCTAATTGATTATTCCCAATACTTTAAAATATCGCAAGAGGGCTCTCGTGTAGCTGCGCAAAACCATCGTACGCAGTCCTTGTTCGAATGGTCGAGACGCCATCATAAAGAAACAAACAAGTCTTTGGACGCTATTTAATGTCGTTTTTTTATTAGTCGGTTTCTATTATAATCTATGGGTTTCTGTGGTTAGTGGTAGTTGTGTACTTATAGTGCTGTGTACTTATACCTTGAAAAAAATGTTTATATGTGTAAAGTTTAGGGACGATGGCGTGAGAATGGTGGTTACAGCGGACAAAATAAAAAAAAAATTGACATAAATAATATGGATTTCGACCATGCCTACAAACATCCTTTGCAAGAAAGACAAAAAAATAATTATTTTTTATTTTAATTATTTTTTATTACTTTTTTGTGTTAGTAAGTTATATGTATCAATACAAAAAAATAATAAAGAAATAAAGTTACTTATAATATTTTTTTGTCTCTTCTGTGAAAAATGAATTCTGCTTTTTACCCTGTTATTCTTCTGGGATCTTAATTATTTTTGAATGAAAAATCAACTGGTATTTTTAATCCAAATTAAAAAAAATAAATTGGTTCAAATCGGTTTGAATGGGTTTGGCGCTATGAATTGACAATTCATTCCAGGTGAATTTCTATTGGATTTAGACAATAGAGACAAGCATAAGCTTGGATTGGTATATTCCAATTTAAGCCGCCGACTTCATTGGAACTTACCAATAGGAATGCAACTGGAATGAATTGGTGATTCATAGCGCCAAAACACATTTTAAACCAATTACATATTTTTTATTGGATTCTATTGATCATTTACAATAGGGATGGTATTTGACCTTTATCAAAAACATATACCTACATACCACTAATAACGTTGTATAGTTCAGTTTTGGTTGGATCAAATTGTCCGCAAGGTGGTTCAACGCAATAATCCTGCCATGGTTGCCAGTTGAAACATGTTACTAGTCCAGATTTTTGCCAGCCTTCGCCAACGTGCGCTGGAGCATCAAATTCGGGGAGAACTCTTACACCATGTTCCAAACCATACCTAAAAGTGACTCCTTTAGCATACTATTCCGATTATGATAAAGTCTTACTGAATAATTTCTTCCACGTCTTTTGGAGTGTAAATTTTGCTCGGCGTGTACGCTCCATACTTTGATAACTCGGGTCTTGATTTCGAGACGTACGGAAAGCTGTGTGAGTCGGTGATATGCCAATGGAAGGTGTTTAACTTGGAAGCACCCATGGCTCTTATGGTTTTCTTTATGGCTTTAACTGTAACGAAATTCCTCGAGGTGTCAAGTAAAATTCCTCTGTACGGATAAGCAGGTTTGTCCACTATGTAAACGTCCCTTGGTATTTGCAATTCATCCCGTAAATCGTCGAAGATAATCAGTTGGCTTAAAGTTTCCAAACCGTGTCTGGCACCGAAATAGGTTTGAGCTGTAATCAGCACAGTCATTCTTCCATCACTACTTTCAGACACTTTTAAAGCATAACTTTCATCGGTTTCGAGCGTTAGACGGTTCTGACTTTCATCCTTAACGTCGAGATTTATGTTCAATGTTTTTCCGCCGGAGGCATATACATTTGGCGGAATCAATTCCGCAATGGCCTGCCTGAATCTCTTGCCAGCTGCTGTTCGGAGTCCAAACATTGGGCTGTCAGCTCTTCCACCGATGATATCTATGCTGTTTAGGTTGATTTTGACCAAGAAGTTGCCGATTTTGAGGTCGCCGGTAGGTTTCGGCCATAGGCCTGCGTGTTTGTTGCAGAAAAGCCGACATGCCGGTAAGCTTAGGGCTGTTTGGTTATCGGATGTTATCATCTTTTTCTGGCAGAAGCCTTCTTCGCACTTCCAATGCCATACTGAGTTCAAACTCCTGCAAATAGTTAATATTTATACGAGGCGTAAACCACTTTAAAATCTTAGAGACCAACGTTCAATGTTAGTGGACGTTGTGTTGTGATTTTTTTCCTTATCAGTCGTTATCAATAAGGAAAACTTACTTAATCAGTGCTTAGCGACGCGTTGCGCATGACTACCCTTGTTAAAAAATCAGTGGTTTACCCCTCGTATTTATATATACAGGGTGAGTCATTTAACTTGAAACTTAGAAATATCTCAGTTAGTATACATTTTATGAAAAAATGTTTAAAATAAAAATTAAATGAGTCGAGAGGGTAAATCAATCAGTACTAAAATTGGTCCTCATATTCTCCTCCTTATAAGGGGAACAGGGGGTAACTTTAAAATTTCCAATGGAACACCCTATTTTTTATTGCATATTCGGATCATTCAAGTATAAATGGGTAGATTTTGTCTAAAACATTTTTTCATTTTTGTAATGGAGCCGTAATGAAAAAAAATCAATTTTGTTCGATTTTTCTTCTGTATAGGATTTTCCAATAATTTTTTACTAAAATACTTGGTTTTATTTTTTTTAATGTATTTATTTATTTATTTTTTTAATTTTAATTTAATTTATTTTGTTTTAATATTCTGCTAACACAGCTCTGGGATATTCCCAAATCTCTAGATAATTCTCGTGTGCTTGCATGAGGATTAGCGGCCGTTGCTGCTAATACATTAATTTTATTATTTCCACCTGTGACTGTTGCTCGACGAACTCTTTTTTTCGGTTTAACACTCCCGTTTGTAGTAAACTGCTTTACTGTAGGGTGAAATGAAGTACGTGATCGACTTTTTTCCCGAAAACGATGAGCGTAGATATTACCAGCATCATCAAGATTCCTGCCTGCTTCTCCATGAATCAAAATCATTTATATGTTTCTTCCACTGTTAAAAATTATGAATAACTGCTTAACGAAAGGAGGTCTTTTTGTTTGCAAATTAATCTTCGAACTAAATTGATTAAATGATGCTAAACTATAAATAATTTCTTTAAACCTCAATAATAATTATTATTTATAACTAAATACCATTTTTTATACCTTAATTAGGATTAAATTAATTAATTGGAAAAATAATATTTTTTTACCTTAAATGAGGTATTTTTATTAAAAATAGTACAATAAACCTTTAAAATAAAGGATTTTATGCTGGCAGGTAAAAAGTGACCATGGTGCGCAATTGTTAATTATCACCGAATGAAATAATGTATAAAACTTAAAACAAAGGAAACCTAAATATTAGTTAAAAATCCTGGGTACTTAAAAAATCAGATTTAATTTAATAAGATAATTATTACCAAAAAAGTGATATTTTTATAGAAAAATTTTTGCAGAATCGTATACAGAAGAAAAATCAAACAAACTTGATTTTTTTTTCATTACATCGCCATCTATTACAAATAAAAAAAAATGTTTTAGACAAAATCTACCTATTTTAAGTCGAATGATCCGAATCTGCAATAAAAAATAGGGTGTTCCATTGGAAATTTTAAAGTTACCCCCTGTTCCCCTTATAAGGAGGAGATGAGGACCAATTTTAGTACTGATTGATTTTCCCCCTCGAATCATTTAATTTTTATTTTAAACATTTTTTCGTAAAATGCATACAAACTGAGATATTTTAAAGTTTTAAGATAAATGACTCACCTTCTATATATATATATATAGTATATATTATATACATACGAAATTTGAATCGGAAAATAATAAATACTTTTGATAAACACTCAACTTTCTTCGATTCAATTCCTCTTGATAATAGGTAGCAGTAATGGGTCAAGAAAGTTTCTTAGAAACTTTCGAAACAGCTATCGGTATTTTAAGTTTGTGAAACAAAAACAAAACAAAAACTCTAGCGAGGTGAAGGTTCAATTCCTCTTAAATACTTTTGATTTATGAGCCAAGACTTATTTCTGTTTACCATTGAAGAGCGGGAAAATGTAGGAAAAAATATGTAACGTGATTTTACTAATGTATGTACAGTAGGGTGATTCATTTCCGCAAAGTTATTTTTTTTTTTCGGTGCTCAAGCAAAATATTAATCTACCTATAGAAAAAAAAAATTTCACCAAGGTAGAGCTCTTAATATCAATTTTAAGTACTTGCAGTTTCAATTTAAAGTTTTCCCATTTAAAATGCATGTAAAAAAAATGTTTTTTTTTTTAAATTTCTAATGCTCGCCCGCTCTTTACAATATTGTAAATCGGTTTTATGGACCTTATAGGGAATTTCACGCTCTTCAAAATTGTCTTTGTGTTTTTTTGTGTAACTCGTAGTGGTTCGCCAGTAGGAGTCATCAAAGTTCAATTTTTTGAATAAACATTTTTTTTGCAATTTTTTTTAATAATTCGCAAAAAAATAGTGAAAAAAAAGAGCTGAATCGTAAAAAATAGTCTTTTAACAAATATTTGATGAATTTACGGCCATTTTTATATCTTAAAACGTAAGTAATTGATAAATATTAACCAATTATGCTATTTAAATTAAACTTTCTTATTTACTATCGATATAATTCTCTACAACAATAACTTTTTTAGAGTTATTATGATTTCTGACTAAAAATAAATATAAACATAACACATCAATTCATAAAAAAAACTTTCTTGACCCATCACTGGTAATAGTCATAAGAAAAAATTGAACCTACACCTCGCCAAAGTTTTTTGTTTTGAATGCTTTCCACCAACTTCAAATACCGACAGACAGCTGTTTCGACCTTTATTGGGTCCCAATAAAGGTCGAAACAGCTGTCTGTCGGTATTTGAAGTTGGTGGAACGCATTCAAAACAAAAAACTTTGGCGAGGTGTAGGTTCAATTTTTTCTTATAACAGATTACATTATTAGATAATATATTGCAAATTTAATAAAAATCTCAATAGTCATAAATAAACAAGTTGATAAATATTAAATTATTTCGACTTTTATACAAAGCAAATTAAGATTTTATTTTATGACGTAACTAACGTGCCCTTAACATGTATACATGTACAATTTATTATTATATTATTGTTGTGCCGCCAATTTTAAATTAAGCGGCACGGCAGTGATGACGTTTTTTATCTATTACGTCACTAGCGTGCCCGTAAAAAATAAATTGCAGGCACTCTAACGTGCACCTAGTCACTTCGTACTTTGTTCTCGGACTAATCACTAAATACAACAAACAATACATTTTGGGGTTAAGTATAACATAAAGCATCAAACCCGTTTACAAAGACAATAGAGTCGCTAACGTCATACTAATTAACTAGAGCAATCATAACATTGTAACAGTTGCTTTCCCAATCAAATAATTATCATTATTTTTTTATCTATGTCTGAATATGCCATCAATATATTATTTAGTGCAATTATTCAAATAGCAATTTCTACTTATACAATATTGAAGCAAATGAAGTTGACAATAAAAACAATTTACTTTTTCGTTAATTTAAGAATTTTGTTAAAAAAATTGAATAACCTTCATTTATATTTATTGCTATATTACGGAAATGTTGAAAAATTGCAGAATCTAAGTTGCAATTGTATAGGTATTTGTTGTTTTTTTATAAATTAATGTGTTTTTTTATATTTATTATAAGTCAAAAATCATAATAACTCTGGAAAAGTTATTGTTGTAGAGAATTATATCGATAGTAAATAAGAAAGTTTAATTTAAATAGCATAATTGGTTAATATTTATCAATTACTTAGGTACGTTTTAAGATATAAAAATGGCCGTAAATTCATCAAATACAAAAGTAAAAGTTTATATACAAAAGTGCTCTTTTAGTTCCACCCTTACTTCTTAAGAAGTCCCATAAGCCAACTGAATGGCTTGTGCGGGTTAGGGGTAGGAACGGACCGCGGGCTTAAAGTCCCCTCCGAAGGACTAATACACAATAGGACAAACACAAATAAACAGCCATACCCCTGGTGGGATTCGAACCCACGACCTCCGGCTTGTAGTCAGCATGCACTAACCTACTAGACCACCGTCGGCGGTTTGTTAAAAGACTATTTTTTACGATTCAGCTCTTTTTTTCACTATTTTTTGCGAATTGTTAAAAAAAATTGCAAAAAAAATGTTTATTCAAAAAATTGAACTTTGATGACTCCTACTGGCGAACCACTACGAGTTACACAAAAAAACACAAAGACAATTTTGAAGAGCGTGAAATTCCCTATAAGGTCCATAAAACCGATTCACAATATTGTAAAGAGCGGGCGAGCATTAGAAATTTGAAAAAAAAAACATTTTTTTTACATGCATTTTAAATGGGAAAACTTTAAATTGAAACTGCAAGTACTTAAAATTGATATTAAGAGCTCTACCTTGGTGAAATTTTTTTTTCTATAGGTAGATTAATATTTTGCTTGAGCGCCGAGAAAAAAAAAGTTTTTTGCGGAAATGAATCACCCTAATGTAACTGGTGTGTAACTGGATAAAAAACATCATTTCTGAAGAAGCTACTGTGGTAGCGAAAAAATTGTTAAATAAAATTTAAATAAATTCGTATTTGTTTATATTTTATATTACGTTGGAGACCAGTGTTTGGGGTGTGCCCGCGATTTTTCATGTTACTATAAGAATTTACCAATGCAATAATATTTCACCAAAAAGTTTTGAAAAAATGTTATTTTTTATTAGTTACGGCAAAATGCTTTAATTCGATGAACCGCCAAAGAAATTTTGAGAATAATTAAGCAGAATATCCAAGAAAGATATTTTTTATAAAATCCATTTGTACCTAAATAATCCAGAGGGAATAATACAATAATTCATTTATTTGTGCTAAGGGGTACCTACTCACCTAATTTCGGATATGACAATGCAGAATACAAACACTTGTGGTAGCCAAAGTTTATACATTTCTAAAAAATAAAATATGATCGCTTTTTAACTTATTGAAAATTTTGTCAATCAGAAAGGGTTTAAATAAGTTTGGAAATAGATTAGATTAGAATAGTAAATATTATTAATATTGCTAGATTATATTAAATTAAATTTATATAATTTTGTTATTGTAAAGTTTGCAATGTAAACAATGCAAAGATTTTTAAATGGTATTGGCTACGATATTACTTATGTATATTTACACATATGTGTATATTTAAAAAAAAAGTTGGTATTTTTTTATATATAATTAAACTTTGAAAAATCTTATACTAAAATTTAAAAACACAACACAACAAAATAATTTTATAAAATATTTAGAATTAAGAACACCTTGTTAAATAAACATTAATATTTAAATATGAATTCACTCACGGACATATTATAGCTGTAAATAAATTCTTACACGATTTTTCGCAAATGAATGTTAATAATTAAAATTGAATAGATTATTTTTTCTCAGCCAAAGACATATGCATAGTTTTGACTTACCTGAATATTGTGGCTGATAAGAACTAAAACAATAAACAAAACTTGTTGTCAGTGACCACTTTCACAAATGATTTGTTTTATTTCCGATGGTCACTTATATATATTTTGTTTTTATTATATCTCAGGTGGCCCCGTAGGAAAACCGGATTACTGGAAGTTTTAATATTGGTGTTTGACCAATAAAGTTAATGCCCCTTTAATATTCAACCTGACTACAATTAAAAGTAAATTCAAATATTTTAAGTACCTTTAATGTTTTTATTTTAAGAAATATACGTCTTGATATTTGTGTTTTAACTTAACCATGAATAAATTAATTTTGTTTCTCAAAAATATACCTATTTGCATTGTTCAGTATTATGTTTCTTGTAAATTAGCTTAATTGGATTTTTTTTAAACCATCCACTATCGACTAGGCAAAAATCTTCTATACCTTGTAATTAATATTTATTTTTTGACAGCTGTTGATAAATAATGATTGATAAGTTAATCAGGCCTTATCCCTAAAGTTGGTTAAAATAAGTTTTGTTGAAATTGATATATAAATCACAATCCATACAACAAGGTCTGTTCTATCTCATGCTAAAAATACTAAAAATCACTGCAACACTGCACAGAGTTTAACGGCGGCCATTTTGGTTGTTTACAATTCTTGTGCTTTGGGTTTGTGCTGTTTAATAATTGTTGTGTTTCTTACAGAGGCACTTGTAAGCCTCAAATAAGGCCTTTAAGTGCTAAGGACAACCATTTTACTCATCTTTTATAATAAATATACCTTATTCTATCAGGGCTGTCAAATGACAATTTAAAGGTTAATTTGTGGGTTATAATTTAACCTTAAAATTGACATTTGACAGTTTTATGACAGCCCTGATAGAATAAAGTTTATTTTTTACAATAGAGGAGTAAAATGATTGTTCTTAGCACTTTAAGGGTTTTTTTAAGGCTTACTATGAGAAACACAACGTTGAAAACGATTATTAATCTGTTTAAACAGAGCACAAACCCAAAGCACAAAAATTGTAAACAACAAAAATGGCCGCCGTTAAACTGTGCAGTGTTGCATGCAAAAATCACTGCAGTGATTTTTTGTATTTTTAGTACGAGATAGACAGACCTTGTTGTGTGGATTGTGATAAAAATTTCAAAAATACTTATTTTAACAAACTTTTAAGGGTTATGTATTAGGCCTAATTTTTTTCGTAAGAAAATAATTCGAAAGAACTTTTCATAAATGCTAAAGCTATACAAATACTGGGTTCTTAAATAGCAATTTAAAACTTTCCATTGAGGGATCAAATTTTTGATAGTTTTTGGGTCCAGACTTATAGACCATTGCATTCTCGTTTTTAAATAGACACCCTGTATAATTACATGTCCTTACTGATTCATCAACGCTCAGACTAAACCACTTGACCTGGAGGAATGAATTTTCATAGTGACATGTGCAGAGACAACTGCTTGGAAATTATTTTTTAAAATTTCATCCCGGGGCATTCGCCATTTTTAAAAGTATTTAACGATTTTGTATGAAGGTGTCTTGGAACAGAACGGGAACAGAACAAACAAGAAAACATTAGTTTTCACATACAGAGTGTTTCATAACTGAATGTCAATAATAAAAGGGTAAAAGGTATCTGTGCATAATTATAAGACCAAAAATTTACAAATTCGTAGGTTCGTTTAACAATTTGATCCAGTTCTAATGATGTTTTAAAAATAAAAAGTTAAAATTTGTTAGGTAATTCCTATTAAGTAACAAATTTTAACTTACCATAGAAAATCTCGCTTAAATATGAAGCACACTACAATAGTTAATGCACTTTCTGCTAGGTGGCAGAACTATTCTAAAACGTTCATAATATTATAAATTATACTCGTATCTAATATTGGTATCTAGTTTTAGATATATGAAGTTACTTATAATTATATTACAATTGAAATTTCTTCCCCAACTTCCAAAAACAAAAATAAAAATGCAAATTATTTAAAAAAAAAAATGCGACATTTTGTGACGTAGCACAATGCGTCAGAGTTTAGGACTTTCATCGTTGTACACTTGGCAACAATGTATTGATTACTTCAACATAACCAGATAATCTCCGACTCAGTTAACCTAATATTTTTATTATGTTATTTGTTTTTAACAAAGTGAAATTGTTTTAAAACTCGCCCAAAATGTATTTAAGGTAAATCAGTTTTTATTATTCAACTATGTATATTGGCTTAATGAACAGCGTATTGTAATTGATAATAATGTTTTGTTTTATCACGCGTAGAGCTCAGATTGATTATTTTATCTGTACTGTTTTTACCGGTTGTTTACTTGTTTATGCATTTAATTTTTATTATTATATATATATTTTAAGTCATACAATAGAAACATATGTACATACAGTTTTACTTATCTAGCTACTAATAGAAACCGCAAAATGTTTAGTTTATATGCATGATACAAAAATTGCCTTTTTTGTTTCAGAGTACAGCTAATTCTTATATTTTGTTGCTACTGGCAAAGTATATTGGTAAGATTTTTATAATTTATTTATTTGTTATTTATTAATCTGTATAATCATTATACAGGTACCAGATTTTAATAGCAGCAAATGTACAAAGTTATTATGACTAAAACAAGTTATCATTGTTAATTATTGCAAATATTTGCCTTTAAGTATGCAAAGAACGTTCAATTCCCACATAACATTCCATTGTTTTGTACACTGTTGCCATTTATTTCAAAAATAATAAATGTGGTTTTATCACATTATTAAATATTTATTAAATTCCATTTATTTTCCCACCGCAAACCGCAAAATTAATTTCGGTGTCAAATAGCCCAGCGCATGTGGCATTTTTAAATATGCCATGCCATTTTTAAATATTCCTAATTAGGAATATTTAAGAATGGCACAAGCGCTGGGATTTATGTTTTAGGCGTATTATACCTAGGGTTGGGAAAATTTCACTTTTTGCTTGTACTTGAAATTTCACTTGAAATTTTCATGACATTTATGAAATTTATTAAAATTTCCCAAATTTCTGAAATTTCATGAAATTTATGAAATTTATTGAAACTTTCAATAAATTTCAATCAGTTTAAGTGTAATATATTAATATTGAAATAAGCCCACTCGGGGACCATGGCAAATTGCCTCTCTTTCCTCCTACCCCTCTGTGGGCCCCTGCACCAATAATATAAATAGTAAATCCCTATGTTTACCACAAACTTCTTGAGATTTCCTTTTAAAATTACTTAAAGAGATAGGTATGCACTTTTTGGTAAGCTAATGAGATTGTGCCACTTTCATTGTTTTAAATATTTTATTGAAATTTTACGAAAATTGAAGAAACTTCATCAAAATTTTATGAACCAAAGGCATTTTTTATCCGTTTTCCGATGCAATTATAGCAAAAGTAAAAGTTTAAATTAATCATGACTTTGTCTGATTTAATTTACAAATTAAATTGACAACTGAATTAAATTAATTTATGCATATAAGTAACAATAATTACTTATAGTGTATTCAAATCCAAGCTGAACTAAACAAAAACGCCCAGACGCTTGATAACTCGTTCTTATTGGCCGATTCGGAATCTGTTGTAAATTATTATTACAGGTCCCAGGGGAGGACGCATGTGAAATTTATGCGAAATTTTCAGTAAATTGCGAAACTTTCAATGAAATTTCTGAAACTTTCACAGGCAATGTTGAAATTTTCGGATTGAAAATTTCATTTGAAATTTTTAAAAATTTCACTTTTCCAACTAAGTTTGAAACTTTCAAAGTTGAAATTTTCATTTGAAAATTTCAACTGTCCAACCCTAATTATACCTATATATTATAATATTTATAATACCTATAATTAGGCGTATTATAATACCTATATTACCTATAGGTACGCAAATTTCTAAAAAATGTAACATGTCCCATAATTATTAACGGTTGGTGGATTTCATAGTATAAAGTTTATTTTATAAACTAATCGTTTTTTTATATTAAATTTTCCAGTTTCCGTTTTTAAATATTAATTTTAAAAGTATACTTAACATACAGTGTGTCACTTAAGTAACTTAAGTTAAGTTGGCAACATATGGGAAACTTTTTTATTATTCATTTTAAGAAAAAAGTTATTCTTCGTAAAAAGTTCTGCATGTCCTAAAATCTAAAATACAATCATCAGATATAAAAATTTCGTATACGCGTTTTGTCAAAAAATATGAATCTTACTCAAGAGTAAATTACCTTTATATTTGACAATATCGAAAATTTTTATTAAAAAAAGTTGATCAGAACTAAAAACTACGTTCAAATATGCAATTACTTCCATTTACATGGGAAAATCATTTTTTCTTTTTTGTTTACAATAACAATGCAAATGTAACTGTAGTTACATGTTATCTAGGATACACTGACAAACAAATGATTTGTTGATAGCAAGAAATGTTTGACATTGAATGTTAAAATATCAGAATTTGCTTATTACTTTCTGAACGGAAAGGTTATCACGTTTTAATAAAAAAAGATAATTAATAAAAAAAGATAAATGTTCGGTATCGGTAATTTAAGAAAAAATTGTAAAAAAAATTTAAGTAGAAGGATGTAATTGCATATTAAAACTTAGTTTTTCATTCCGAACAACTTTTCATAATTACAGTTTTAGATATTGTCACAAATAAAGGGTGTCTGAAATAGTACTTTATGGACAACGCTTATTGCCTTTTAAATGCTTCTTCTGCCATTTTCTAAGACTTAGATAAGATTATTATAAAGATAAGATTGCTAAAATTGAAAAGTCGGGGATCTACCAAATAAACTGTCAAGATTGTGACAAGAAATATGATGGACCAACTAAACGATCCATCCAAGTAAGGTTCAAAGAGCACTTTTCCCATGCTAAATTTGGAGCAAGTAAATTGGGGACAGTTTGCAAGCCATTGGCATTTTAAGAATGATTGTTTGTGTTAAGTAATGATTTCCAAACTCTTATATTTAAACACAAGAGTTTGCGAATCATTACACAGCAAACGGAAAAATATAAGTGTATTGGATGACGTCACGTTTGAATACAGTTTTCTAAACCCTCGCCGACGGTGGTCGAGTGGTTAGTGCAGCTGACTACAAGCCGGAGGTCGTGGGTTCGAATCCCACCAGGGGTATGGCTGTCCTATTGTGTAATAGTCCTTCGGAGGGGACTTTAAGCCCGCGGTCCGTTCCTACCCCTAACCAGCACAAGCCATTCAGTTGGCTTATGGGACTTCTTAAGAAGTAAGGGTGGAACTAAAAGAGCACTTTTGTATATAAACTTTTGGTATAGAGTTGTATTCGTCAGTCGAGCGTTTCAATACTCTCCACATTATAGAAGTCGTAATTTGACTAATGTATTAATATAAAAATTATTTTATGCTTGAAAAAAAAATATATATACGACATGATTGGGATTTTGTTTTATTTCATTAATTGTTGAATATTTTTCCTAAAAGAATAATTGCCAATGGCCATTAATTCATTTGTTCGTAGATGCTACAATAACCTGCACTGGTGTCTACTTTTTGATCAACCAGATTTAAATATTGCTGAACTAACAAAACTACCAGTGGATATGTGCAGGGTCTACCAACAAACCTAAATTATTAAAGTTTAATAGCATATCGATCATTTTTTCAACATAACCTCTGTAATTTGTAATACAAATATAGGTACTTTATATAATACATAAATATACTTTACATCATATCCTCTGTGCTTTACATACCGGAGTTGTTACGGTAAATAAAAATCAGACAAAGGAACCAAAGACAGGAACGGTTTAAAAAAAAATCATATGCAGAAATGAGAATATTCAAAGTACTTGCATCCATCAAAAGATCAAAACTTCTTGCAATATTGAATTACATCTTTTTTTTATACTCTCAGAAATATTGACTAGAACAGTATTAGAGAGACTCCAGTTTCTATAACTTGGTAGAGTAATGAGAAGTCGAAACCGTTGCGATATTGCATTGCGCTGGTTTTGTATAATTCTCGGGGTCATTAACGAAAATCATTGCCAGTAAAATTCGAAAAGCTTGAGTTTCTTTGTCTCTGAAGAGAATAGGAATCGGAAGTTGCTGCACCATTGGACTGACCCCTTTTTCAATAATTTCTAGAGGCGTAAATGACTGCACCATTCGACAGGGTCGAGTTTCTACCTCTCTGTTGAATATAGAAAATCAAAATTATGTATATTGTAAGACACCATTGAGTTTGACTTTAAATATAGTCGTAAAACTTTAAGATTTAATATTCAAACGGGGAGTCATCCTAAACAGTTCTATATTTTTCCGTTTGCTGCGTACTAAACACATTTCCATATTTTCCAAATTCTGACCTGCAAAAAATTTTAGGCCAATATAGATATTGTGAGTGAATTAAATCTTAGACGGGATATTTGGGGTACAAAAGAGGAACCATCACCTAAACAAGTGGCAAAAACAAATGCTGACTGGTTTGCATCCGACATTGCGGCATTTAAAGGAGTAAGTTTTTACAGAAACTATTGAGTGTAGTTTAACTTTTTTATTTATTTTAGAATGTAATAGTTTATCCGGAATATGCTCTAACAACAAATGCTGTTGTCCAATTAATTTCGATTATTGACCTGAAGGATTATGCAACGCAAGTACCTGACGAACGTGCCAATCTGTGTCCAAATGTTTCTTCTCCAACAATGGTGTGTATTTTGATAACAAGGGTATATCGGAAAATGAGCCAACTCTCTAACACCATTTTCACACATTCCTTATTTCACAATAGAACTGTGAACGAAAAACAAAACATACGAGTAGTTCATTTCACCGGTTACCCGTCGAATTAATTTTTAATAAATAAATTGTTTTATTTTTTTTAAGGACGTATTGTCTGTAATGGGCTGTGCTGCAAAAAAAAATTCCAAAGAAATAATATTCAACGTAGTGGAAATTAACAACCAAACATATTATTCAACATTTTTGGTGATCGATAGAAATGGAACGCTATTTAAAAAGTATGTAAAAGTTATTTTTTAATATATAATATATATATATATATATATATATATATATATATATATATATATAATTTTTTTAATGGTACTAATTGGTATTTTTAGGTTTAGAAAAGAGGAAAATTTTCTTGAAACCTCTGCTATATCTGCTAATCCTAATCCTGAAAATAGAACCATTCTGCTTGATAACAAAGAAATGTCTCTTATTATGGGATACGAAATTTTAAAAGCTAAAAGCCAGTACGATGTTATATATTTCGCATCAGAAATAACACCCATTTTGCCATTTTTACTAGGTAAATATTTTAGTATTTTTAATGGTGTACATGAGTAACCATGTAATAAAATAGAAACATCATAAAGTATACCTTTTTGACGTTGAATAATTGTTTTTTTAAATATTTATATCAATATACAAAGCTTAAAATAAATGTCATGCATGGCAGGTGGCGCCCTTTACTAGTTACATCATAACATAATATAATACTATATATAATATAAAACTACCAGCACGAAAATACGCTGACCAGTAACAAAAATATATAATCTACAATCGGATGTTTATTAATCTATTAATAGATTAATAAACAGCCGAAACTAGACATTCCATTTTCGGCAAGTGAATAACCGGCAGTATAGCTGAATCTTCTTTGAAGTCAGTGCTTGAACAGTTGGTGTGCAATTGATGCGATTAGGCAGTTTTACTTTTAGAGTATAATCCAATGTGTTTACAAAATCCTTTTGTTTGACTAGTGTGCTGTTTTTACTATGTTTGGGTTTTCTTGATTTATTGAGTGTGTTCTAGGTGTCAATTGTTTATTATTGGTCTCGTTTGGGTTAAAATTAAATTTTGTTTTGTTGGGGCCGTTCTTTAAGTTACTGGGTGCCATACGCATTTCTTGTTAAAAGATTTATTGTCCTACTCAGCTTTGGTGTATGACCACAATAGGTTCGAATTGGAAGTTTTGTTTGTTTTTTGTTCTTTGTCTTTTTTCTTTATTATTTTATGGTGTTTGGTTAGTATTGTCCTTCTAATGTTTCTATTGTTACTGATTATTATTATTGTTTTTTTTCTAGAGTTTAAGCAGTGTGCCTCTCTTAGGGTTTTAAAGGTATCTGTCTTGTTTAATTTTGCAAATTATGTGATAGGTCATGCATATGGTTGAGGATACTTATCAATTTTTGCGGATTGCCTTTTCCCCTCTTGTTTGACGTCTTTTGTTTGTCTAGTGAAAAGCGTCCAATGACAGGTGGTAGGAACGCCCAGAAGCTGAAACTTGTCACTTAACTCTTTCTTATCACTTAATACTTCACTCTTTATTGACCGTTACACTATATAAGTTTGCACTTTTGTTTGTCCGGTGATAAGCGCCCAGAAGCTCACTTGTCACTTAACTCTTAACTCATTCTTGACCGTAGGGTAGTCTATACTCACTGTAGTTGTTACACTGTAATTTTTTTGCACTTTATGAGAAATTATTTGTTGGTTGTGGCTTTTACGTTTTAAGAGCTCTCGCTGCTACAATGCGTCTTGTGCTGGAACGTGACTGGGTAAACTCTGTATATTTGTCATGCCACTTTGTTATTGGTAAAAACTAAAAATTAACTTTTGGATTTGGAAAAATTAAATAAATTGCATTATTTCAACTGCAGTCACATGTGACCCAGAGTCCCATTTTTGGACTAAACGTTTTTCCTCATACTAACTGTTTTGTAAGATTGTCTAGGTATTATCAACATTGTTTTACATACTTGTAAATAATAATTTTTAGATACGAGTTTAATGGCAGGATTTTCCAAGGTTTACCAAGTAAATGTAAAATCTCCTAATTTAAGGTCAAGCAATATTGATGAGACATTGCCTTTAACTCATAGAGAAGATATCGTTGAAATTGATAATAAAAAGGGTTTAACCAATGAACCAAAGGTAAGTTACTTTAATTTTAATTTGTAAGCAGATTTAAACTATTTTAAATATAAAAATATGACAATTTTTTACAATTATTTACAGTCTACATGTTTTCTGGATCAAAGTCAATTGAGTCGTGTAGATTTTATAAATATACAAATAATAATAATATAATATAAGATAATTGCTAAATTTATAGGATATTAATCTGTAATAATTACATTTTGGAATAATCTGCAATGAACTATGGGAGCGGAAAGTTTTAAAAATTTTGTTACTATGCATAGGTTGCCGCAGATTTGTTTTAAAAATTATCTGCCATTTTATAGTAATCATGGTCCAAAGAACAAAGTTCCTTTTTGATTAAATCTTACTTTAAAATTAATGATTGTTTGGTCCCAGCACATTGGAAATTTCGAATTAATTTCAACATTGCTCGTAACGGAAGAGTTCCATCTGCACATTCCATAAAGGAGTGGGTTCGTTAATGTGAAGGAAACTGGATCAGCTAAATATGTTAAATATAAGGCACCAAACGAAAGTGTCAGAATTCTTGATAACATTGATGCATCTGTAGAGCGTTCAAGTGAAAAACAAAGGCAGGCCTTCAGCTTATCTAGGACTACTTTTCTTCGAATTTTGTATTAAAACCAACCTGTTTTCCTACATTTTGCTGAAACGGTGCTGCAGCATGAAATTGACGTTAACAATTTATGGGTGTCTGACAAACCACAAGATATTCGAAAGCTGAAAATAAAAATTCAGGAAAAAATTGCTAATTTCCTTTAAATATGTTGGCTCGGGCATAATTTTTAAGAAACAAAAATGGCCCTCAATTATCTTGTTATTGTTATACTTAGTTTTAATTAAATACATTTACTTTCTGAAATACCTACGTCGTTTTCAAAAAATCTACTTTTTTGGCTTTTGATATCGAAAAACGAATATTAATAGTTAGACAAATGAATATAAAACTAAGACCAATAAACATTTTGATAAGTATCTTTTTTGTAAATCTAACCACTAGACCATTCAGGATATATGTACAACTCTAGCTAGAGACTTTAAAAACTTGCAATGTGCGCAAAACTTAAAAGAGGTATTCGAAAGAAAAGAGATGCATGATACGGCTGATCTAAATATAAACATTGTTAAAGTTATTTAGGAGTAAGAAATAGTAAATTTTCGATTTATTTATACAATTAGAATAGAATTATATGTATTTAAGGTAAACAATAATTTCTTATAAAGTTAGGTATGTTTAAAAGAGGTAAATGATTTTTAAAGAGCCTAGTAGTGAGTAGCCGCTTTTATTGATAATATATTTTAAATCAAAATTCAGGCGCAGGCTGTCCAACTTCAACGACCAGAAAAGATGACATAAATAAATGGCTAAGAGAACGAAATATTCCATTTTCAGAAGATATGTTAAAAGCAGAAGTATATTCTTTAGTAAACGCTAATAAGTATAAAATATACGAAATCGATACTATTATGAGAAATGCAGGATTCACCGTTTTGAGGCTTCCTCCATATCACCCAAATTTAAATCCTATCGAATTAGTATGTTGCTGAGAGAAATGTAAACTTTAACTTTTTACAATTAGATAAATTGTGTGAGGATTTTTTTTCCACATTTTCCCAGGAAGAATGGCAGAAGCGATGTCAAAGTTTGAGAATTATTTTATGGAGAAAGAACCGGCTTTGGTTGATTTAATTATTAATTTTCAAGGGGACAGTGAAAAAAAAATAATTTTATATAATAAATAACAGGATATATTTACATATTATATGACATATTATAATTTCAACAATGCATCCTTTCTATTTTTATCTCGCTTATCCTTTGTGTTTTGTCCTTTGTAATTTAAATTTTCAAGTATGTGTTTCGGCACGTTCCCTTTTTTTTGTGGCGCGAGTTATAGGACACCCTGTTTAGTATACATATACATTGTATAGAAGAGAAATCAACTATAGACCCAATCCATATTATGACGCAACAAAAACCTGGACCTCCTGTTTTGAAACTAAAGATAAAAGTTGAACTAATTTTATTAAAAAACAACGTACTACGAAATATGAGGCAACGGCAAAATTCCCAATCTTATTGGTTAAAACGGTTTGCTATTAAATCGTTTAGGTTCGGAAACCAAAGATGATATTCTGATACCTTTTTAACACAGAGTATGTATTTGCTGTTCATTCTGCACGACTCGATTGTTTTCTTTTTAAAACATTATAAACTGTGAAATAAATAAATGAAATTAAAATTGATATTCAATAAAAATGTATTTTTTAATTAAAAATAATCTTGGTGCAATTTTTTAATAGAACAAATCTATTTTTTAGCTAAAAACCGATATAGCAAATGAAGGCTTATACAAAATTGATGATAATAAATACAATCTTATAAAAATTGTCAATAAAACAGCTTCATATGAAAAGTGTACCGTTGTTATAGAATCCGATGATGAAAAGCTTATACAAAAAAATTATAGGTAAAACTTAAATAAATAAACATTAAATAAAATTAATTATAATACATGTATTTTCAGATTGGCAGTATTTAAAGGAAATTTCACAATACATAGCAAAATCCAATTCCTGCAAGTATGTGGTCTTGTTAGGACCTCAAATGATAAACAAATACAACTTAATTTAAGTGAAGCAAAGTCTACATTCAAAAATGTAACTATAACTTTGGAGTCAACTGGAAGCAAACCGTTACCGATAACCTTAAAGAGCGACTTAAAACCTTTGGGACATAATCAATACACGTACTATAAAGAAGAAGGAAAGTATATCGTAAAATCCAATGAACCCATTAGCGATATTGTAAGCTACGGAATTATTCTTGGTGACGAATTTTCTGATGACGGATCTGGTGCTGGAATAAGATATGCTATGGGTATGGCAACATTAATACTTGTTGCTCTATTTTTGAGAAATGTTTAAAAATACACTGAAAATAGTGATAAAAATGCTACTTATTATAGAGCCTTAAATAGAGTTTAAATTTTTTGGTGATATTAGGGTTAAACATGATTCAAACTTTAAGCCAAAAATAGTATTAGGTTTAACAGTTATTTAAGATATACCTAGTAACTATAGCTAAAGCCAAAAATAAGTTTAAACATTTTATGTAGGTTTAGGTTTTGATCCAACTAAATCTTAAGTTTTCAAAAAATATACCTTATCTTTTAAATGGTAAAGAATGATTTGTTTTAAACATATTTCCAAAAAAATTCATAAAAACAATAATAATAACATAATTGTATGATACAATTTGTTTCTACAAATATTAATAAAAAACATTAAGTGCGTTTTTAAACAATTGAATTAGGTAAGAAATTTTTATTAAAAAGTATAATTACATAAAATATTAAATTGTAGTTGATCTCTATATTGATGTAATCAATAATTTTGAGAAAAAAATCTCAGAAAGTTGTAAATATACGTTATATGTTTACTTTTTTATTTTATTTTGCTGTGATTAGATATTTTAGTTAAATTTTACTATACTTGAGTCATGTAACATGACTACGAATTTAAATAAATAAAATTGTTAAAGTAAATAGAAGTAAAATATATTTTTTATTTATATAAATACAACCTCCCCCTTTTATTTACAGATAAGATAAGATACGGAAAGGTATTTATTATTTTAAGTGAATCAAATATCAATTTATTTTTATTGGCTTGATCGCATTAATTTTAACGGTAAAAATGAGTTTACTTAAGTGCAACATAGTTATTTTCTTGGTTTTCTTATTAACAGTAACAAGATGTCATGTAAGTATTTATTGACATACATATTTATATATTTTTTTATATAATTTATTGTTTAAATTTCCACGCCTGAATAATTTGCCACGCCTGAATGAATCATGCATAGATAACAACCTTTGCGCCGACAAATATCTAATTTAAGTATCATTAAACTTAAAACAAACTAATTTAAAGAACATATGAGTCATGTATAATCAAAATGGGACATGTCACATAGCTGTACTAAGCAAAAAGGTGCTTACTACAGTATTACCCAATATGTGAGGAAAGAAAAAAGGGACCTCTTGTCGAAAAAACAAAACTTAAGTTATTTTTTTTAATACTACCCTTAAATTATGAGACCAAATTCATTCTCTCTACTTAAGTAAAAATAAAAGTTTTGAAAGTCTTACTTTCTCTTAAAAACTTTATTCTTATAATGTTTTTTAAACCTTCCAGTGAAAAGATTCTTAGGATCATGCTATATTTCTTCTAAAGAACATGCTTAAAAGACATATAGCATGATCCTAAGAATATTATTACTGGCCTATAGGCAGGTTCTTAAAAGGTGCAAAGTATTAGTGTTAAAAATTAGTCTACTAGTGGACTAATTTTTTAAATATAAAACACAATCCAAAATATTTATTTATAGTTATTTGTCAAAACAATTATCGATAAAAAAATACTTTTACTATAGGTATTTTATTTTATGTTAAAAATAAATATTTATTAATTTGTATACAGATTTTTTATTTCTGAATTAACGTTTTTATGTATAATAATCCTAACTATCTTCAACTTCAATCTAATCTGACTTATCCCACAATTTTACTTTTTATGAAATAATGTCATACAACTTATGGTTTAGAGGTCAAATTGTTTATTTAATATTTTTAAATAAATATATATATTTATATTAATATGTCGCAAAATTTTTTAAGGGGACGACAAATACATTTCACTGTCATATTATGACAGTGAGGCGTATTTGTCGTCTCCTGAAGAATTTTACGAATCTAGAATACAACATATTAGAACGTGGGTATCTGACATATTTGGAAATATTCTCAAAAGCTTCCTAGAACCTCCATAAGAAACCTTCTAAGAACATTCCAAAAATGTATTCTTAAAATGTTCTTAGGATGGTTTTAGGAAGCTTTTAAAAATCTAATTGCATCATTAAAAGGGTATCTATTGAATGTTTTAAAAGTCCCTAAGAACATTCTTAGCAATAAGGGAAGGTTCTAAGAATATTCCATTATTCGTGGTCATATCTTCTTAGAAGATTCTTAAAATCAAATTTTGCTATCAGGAATTAAGTCGGAAAAACGAATATGTCTTAGTAAGTCAGACTAATAGCAAGATTTGGGAGTCTTCTGGAAGTCTTTAAAAATCTTGCTATAGTCTGTTTTTCCGACACAAATATAGGTTTTTCATTGCTCACTGGTTGTAGTCAGATGAAGTTGTTGATTTTATAGAAGTTTTAAATATGGATTTTATTGGAAGCAAAAATGAATTTAGGATATAGGAGTATTATTTTTAGGGATACCAGTATATTGTCGGGGTTATTGAATACAATCCCTTTACGAATACATCTGCAGTGGAAAATATTATCGAATACAACATTGCAGCCTACAAAACAGAAATCGAGTTATTAAAGGTGAGTGATAAATATTAATTTGTTTGTTTTTATATACATTAAATACAGTGTGTAATTTTTTATTTTTACACATTTAGCAACGAAATGCAGAAATCGTAGTGTTTCCCGAATATGGTTTGACCGGAAAAACACTGAATACTTCCTATGCACAACATGTTCCTAAACTATCACTTGAAAAAATCGATTACAAAGATGTAAGTATTTTTTGTAATGGGGAACACCACATGTGACAAAAATATGCGTAGAAACACGCAAAACTGTATACAGTGTTGGAAATTCCGTTATTTTCTATGGCCAACAAGCAAGAGTAAAGGACAAACAATATATAAAATGCATTCGTCTCTCTTATCAATTAAAACTGGTAAAAGATACAAATAAAATCAATTTAAAAAGAAGTTTGACTATTAATTTTTACTTAAAATGAAAATTCTTTTGTTGGCGCTACGTGGTTATAATTATTATAGGCGTGCCAAGATTTACGAAATAAAATTTCCGAACAATCAAATCTTTTATTAAACCATATACAGCGTTTTTTTAGTATACAAGTTTATGTATGTGCTTTACCTCGATTTTTAAACTATTTAAATACTTTAAAGAATATTGAACGTAACCCATGCTAAAAAGAGATGTATTAATTCGTAATTCTTGACACATCTGTTGCGCCACGCGCTCGCTTCAAGGTCATCGAATCTTTTTTAATTTTGCGTTTTTCATAGGAAATTTTGTTATTAATAGTTTATTAATATATTACATACATTTAAAACGCCTGAAATTTAAAATGTCTACGTCATGGAATAAAATGGATTTAATTGTAAAATTTAGATGTTACAGTGGTGTTTCCCCTTATTAAACAAATTGATTGTTTTGTAGAATCTTATTAATACATATATTTTAATGTGTTATAGAATATAGAAAGACTAAGTAATATGGCTAAGGAACACTCCATTGCTCTTGCGGTAAATCTTATGGAATTTGAAACGATTAATGACAAAACATACTTTTTTAATACCGAAGTTATTTTCGATAAAAATGGGCAAATTATTGCCAAGTAAGCACAAAAATAAAAATCTTGTTTTTTATTGGGAGTTGGGTATAGTTGAAAAATATTATATTAATTAGCAAGCCTTAACGTAAACTAAACTATTAATTATAATAATAATAATATTAATAATAATCTTAGCAGAGAACTAAGTATAAATTCAGTACAGCTTCGTCAATAAAACTAAGGAAGTAAAATACTAATTAAATAGTAAAAATATTAAAAACATTAAGAATATATATATTCTATAATTATAATATATATGTATATACCCAAAGTCCAATTAAAAAAAACTATATGTACAGGGTGTTAAGTTTTAATATATTCAAAGAAAAAAATCGTATGTCTTTGATTTTTTAGAATCATTTTTGTAAAAAAATTTTGTCAAAAATATAAGCTCTTAATTTTTTTAGTTTTGTATTTGTAACGAAAATAATTTACAGGATAACACCCTGTATGTAGGAACAAAGCAATACATTATTTAAACTGTAACTTTGTAGACACCGGAAGATAAATTTAAACGACGAAGAAAAAAAAGTTCTCACTCCTGGATCTAATGCTACCGTGGTCGAAATTAATGGCAACAGGTTTAGAGTATTAATCAATGAAGATTTATTTTCTCCACTAGCAAATTTTTTAAATGGCACGAACAATTTGGCTGGATACATAGTTTCCATGAGCTGGAAAAATCAGTTTCCTTTTGAAATAGGTAAATAATAATAATTTAGTTATTTATTTAGGGTGGTCAAAAGATTTTGCTAGGCCCTATAGGGCCTACTATAGTTCTAACTATAGTTCCTAAACCTTTTCAGATATGTCAGTAAAACAAAAACTACTATAGGTAGCAGACGCTTGCCAAATTTGGCCCTGGTCAGATACTTTCCTTGTGGAAATATTTATTACATAAACACATCATGCATATGCGTTGCGAAGAATTGTTATAGTTATTACACCTTATGTAATCAACAAGTGATCTGTATGTACATAAACCAAACGTATGTCTCAACTGTTTTATTGTGATGCATTGAAATAAACTTTGCGTACCTATACTGTAATCATTGCTTCTGTGTTGTTATAAGCTTTATAGCAACATAAAACAATGTTTATAAATACTTCTCTTTACAATAACCAAATACAACATCTCTGAATAATTCCATATACCTATTTATTTTAATCGCTATTTCTCTGATAAAAGTCTTATTAACTCTTCCAGAAGACTCCCAACTCTTGCTATTCTGACTTACTAAGACTTTTTACGACTTAAGTCTTCTTCTGACTTTTCCCGACTTAAGAAGTCTTATTCAGAGTTTTTAAGACTTTCAAAACTCTTATTTCCACAAGGGTTGATAATGACGTCTTAATGAGGTTTTATTTGTTGTAAAATATTTACAAAAAAGCCACCTAAATTTATCCCTTCGTCATAAAATGTTTAACACCCTCTAAATTATCTGAGAAAACGTAACGCGAATTTCCATTTTTCTCGGCTTGTATTGTCCGATTTGTGGCTAGACAATGTATAGCTTTATCTTCACTTCATTGCTTGTTCATGAGTTGTTAATCGAAAACACCGTCGTGAAACACCAGCCTCCATATTCCTTAGACATGGTCCCGTGTGACTTTTTTGTCCCCAACCTTTACGGTCGTTAAAAATCTAATTTGATTTGACTCTAATAAAAATTTGCGTTTCAGCCACCAGTATTCAGGCTGGATTTGCCATTTCCAACGAGATTCCAGTCATTGCAGCCAACCTAAATGCACCGTCAGTTGGAATAAGCGGTTCGGGAGTGTACCATTATGAAAACTCTCTTACCAAGAGTTGTAGTATAACTGGAAAATCTGGAATATCGAGAAATATTTTAGATGTGCAAGGAAAATTAACAAAACCAATTAGTTTTCCAGTAAGTAAAAAAGTCTATACGATTTTGTTCAAGCAGTTTTAATAGTATATTATGTGTCAAGTTTTATAAACGCCATTTTAGTTACGAGTTTAATTAAGCACGAGCGAGTGTTTAATTAAAACGAGTGTCTATAGAACTTTATAAACGAGTTGCATACTATACTTTATCTATCTACGACGAACACAAAACAGAATTTAAAGCCAATTTTATTTGTTCAAAATTTGACATCTGTCAACTGTCAACCTCACTGTTTCTCAATTTATAATACAGCCAACTTCAGCCTGTGACTAAAAAGCTATGAAGTCACAGCTCGTCAATATAGGAATAGATAGTTTGATAAACGCCATTTTATACACGAATTTAATTTAGGCACGAGCGAGCTTGCGAGCGAGTGCTTAAATTAATGAGTGTATAGAAAAGTTTATAAACGAGGTGCATACTATACTTTTTCTACGACAAATACTTATTATTATCTTAAAATGATTTAAATCAAAAATTTGTATAGAGCGCCATCTATGAAACAACAGGGGAAACTGTCAAATGTCACATTTTATAAACACAATTATAAAGGTTATAAATCGAAATGTATCTTGAAAATTGACAGTTTTTCACAGTGAAAGTAAAGGAAATATTTTATGAGGACTTTACAGTAGAGTCCGTGTCCGAATTTAAGTTATAGTTTACTGCCGGCGAAATTAAAAGGTCAGTACAATGTTCATATAAACTTTTCAAATATTGGCGATGAGAAACTATTTAATATTTTTGTATTGAGATAATTAGTTTTTACATTTAGTATTATTTTATAAGAAAGGCACTTTATTTTAACGATTGTATGACATTTGACAACTAACTTAAAACTAACTTCAGTCCGTGACTAAATTCCTGTTGCTAACTTCAGCCCGTGACTAAAGCCGTAAAGCCACAACTTGTTAATGTGTATTTAAAAGGTCACTTAGTGTCATGGAAACATATACGATAAAGGGCGTTTTAAAGGTGGGAGTAGAAAAAATAATATATTATATGCCTCTTAAAAAGGCATTTCAACCCAAGTGTTTCCACCCAAAATTTTAATTACACCGATTCCCCTTTGGTTGTATAGTTAAATGATTTTGCCAAGTTTTTTAGGTGAGAACATTTGGGCTGGAAAGTATTATTGTGTTTTGTGGTTTAACTGTATTGCTTGTGATAATAATAAAAAAATGTTTTAGTCTTTAAGAGGTACGCCAAATTCCGACCCATTGGAAAACTTAAATATTGAAAGCTACACCTTTAAAAAAGATGATAAATATCACGATATTGATGTTACAACTACTGTGGATTCAAAAAATACTCGTTGTAATTTAGATATGGCTGAAAGCAATGATCTTGAACAAATCAAGCAAAACTACAGGCAAGTATATAAACTTATATACAAAACTCAACAGTTTCAGAAATAGAAGTTTTTGGTCTATCATTTTGCATTAGTGGCATTTTTTTTATAAAAAAATCATTACAATTTTTATAAGTTAAGTAGAAATTTTGGGCCGCCACTGGTTGTTCCTGACCTCGGCATTAAAGACATTTTTATATATAAAAAATACGACTTTACTGCCCTGATACATAAATAACTATTATAAGCACTTTAACTTGGGTTGTTAATTTTTAAAAAATATATCACAATAAAATATAAATAAATTATTGTTTATTTCAGGATTTACCTAATACGCTCCAAAATCCAAATTGGCCAGGAAAAGTTTAACTCCGAAATTTGTGCACTACTAAAGTATAACACGACAACAAAAAAAGTCGAACGGTCAACATCAAACGTTATGTTTAAATATGTTAAATTGAGCTTTGACGATGTACAACCCAGTTACAAAACATTCCCGCTCACGTTGGACTCCAATCTCATGCCCTTAAACGTTATATACAGGCATGGTAACAATTTGACTGAAATAGAGGGCACAGATTTACAAAATGTTGTTTTATATGGCATTCAAAGATTAACAAAATCTTCTGCCATCGCTGTACAAATTAGTTTGGTTTCAATTGTGTTCTCTGTTTTTGTTGCATTGTATCATTTTTAATTTAGTTTGATATTTTGGTTTTTATTTAATTTCACAAATATACAATCATTGTTGAAAGCATTTTTTTAAATAAATCTTTTCATTAAGTTAACAAAACCTATTTATTTATACCTACACTATACAAAAAACATTTATAAATGATGACAATTACGCAATTTTTAAAGAAAAAATTAGCTCAGTAACTCAGTAAAAAATCCAACCCAAACCATCGCGTTCTATAGTTTAAAAGTTTCCGAACGAGCCGATAGGCGAGAGAAGCAACTCATCTAGGGAATAATTGCGATTCCACGCGAGGTCAATATTTTAATTTTTTGTTGTGTTATGCTAATTTTAATATTAAAAATGATTTTACAAAAATGTCATAATTACTTAAATATGGCGTTTAATTATAATTACCTACTTAATTCCGAGGGGTAAACCACTGATTTTTTAAAATTAATAATTGCTTACGAATTAACGGCTAAGGATAACAATAACAAGGGTAGTCAAGTACAACGTGTCGCTAAGCACTGATTAAGCACCGATTAAGCAAGTTTATTGATAACGACTGATAAGGAAAAAAATCTAAACACAACGTCCACTAACATTGAATGGTTATCTCTAAGATTTTAAAGTGGTTTACCCCTCGCTTAATTCTGACGTTTACAATCAGTGATTAACACTGTATCGTCGTGAATGGTGGCGGGAAAAATGTCTTATTCCTTACAAGCTAACAGCTGTTGCTAGGGAAAAAATAATATAAAGGGGGAGGCATATTTTATATAAATAGGAAGAAATGTTGTCATTGGGAGAAAAGTAGGTCATTAATTATCAAAATTATCAAAAGTCGCGAATACAATCTGCTCTATTATTAACTACTTGACAAAAAACAGAGGTCTAAAAAAGAAAAAATATCACCTTTGAAATTCCTGGTGTAATATTCTGTATTTCGTTTATTACAGTTTCTTTAAATTGAATACATGCTGGGTGAATACAAGGGTGGATTTAGCTCTGAGTTATGAAGTAAAAAATTTAATAAATTCTCCACTCGAGTTTATTTATTAAAACTATTCAAAATATGAAAAAAATTAGCGGTTGCGCTAGGTACCTAGTAATTACCCTTGTGAATTTTTTTTCTGAAAAAGTTTTAATAAGTAAAAATAATACTATATTATGTATCAAGTTTGATAAACGCCATTTTATACACGAATTTAATTTAGGCACGAGCGATTTTGCGCGCAAGTGCTTAAATTAATGAGTGTATAGAAAAGTTTATAAACGAGGTGCATACTACGACAAATACTTATTATTATCTTAAAATGATTTAAATCAAAAATTTGTATAGAGCGCCATCTATGAAGCAATAGGGGAATCTGTGTGTCACCATCAAATGTCAAATTTTTACATTTTATAAACAAAGATTATTAAGGTTATAAATCGAAATGTATTTCTTGAAAATTGACAGTTTTTCACAGTGAAAGTAAAGAAAATGTTTTATGAGCACTTTACAGTGGAGTCCGTGCCCGAATTTAAGTTATAGTTTACTGCCGATGAAATTAAAAGGTCAGTACAATGTTCATATAAACTTTTCAAATATTGGCTTTGAGAAACTATTTAATACTTTTGTATTTTTGTATTGAGATAATAAAATAATTTTCACATTTAGTATTATTTTACAAGAAAGGCAATTTATTTTAACGATTTTATGACATTTGACAACTGTCAACTAACTTAAAACTAACTTCAGCCCGTGACTAAAAACCTGTTGCTAACTTCAGCCCGTGACTAAAGCGTCATATATATATAAAGCCACAACTTGTCAATGTGTATTTAAAAGGTCACTTAGTGTCATGGAAACATGTACGATAAAAGACGTTTTAAAGGTGGGAGTAGAAAAAAGTTTTTTAAAACATTCTATTAAAAACTTATTAAGTCGGAAAAATGGTAGGTACGTATAGCGATTAAAATAAATATCCAGAATTATTCAGAGATGTATTTGGTTATTGCAAAAGAAAAGTATTTATAAACTCTGTGTTGTTATAAATCTTATAACAACACGGAAGCAATGTTTACAATAGGTATAGGTAAGCAAAGTTTATTTTAATTTATCACAATGAAACAGCTGAGTTCCAGTTAGTCTATCTGACATATCGATCTTGTGAGAACAATGATATCCCTGGAAATTATCTGCCAGATAACTAACTGCAACTTTAACTGGACATTGATAAACCGGCCCTGAGACATCACATCACAGATCACTCCAATTTATACTTTTACTTTTACTAAATTATTTAAAAGTATTACAATTCTAATCAATCAATTTAAATTCTAATGTTTTCCGCAAAATGGCAAAAACTTTACCTAAGTGATTACAGAAAAGGTTAGGGCAGTGCACAGGGTTTGCTTGCTAAAGGAGCTATACAAATTAACTATCAACAAATGGGTGTACACAAAACATAATATATTATACTCGTATAATAATTATATAATATATCATATTTTCAAAATTTAATTCAAGGTATTAATATTTAGGTACACCAATTCCTGCTGCACCCTCAAAATTATCTTATCTAAAAATAGATTATAATCATATGCACATTAATATAGGATATAGGATATTTGTAAAGTGATACATGTTTATATCACAAACTAGCATACACATTTATTTTAAATGAATCTTTTTATATTCTTAATATTACATATTGCATATGTAAGTATAATAATTTAGATCTAACATTAATTATCGACATACTTCTTTAAATTCTTAGTGCCACGTCAAAAACATTGATATGGACCCAAAAATGGGAAAAAATGCAATTGAAACAATGGAATTAAATATTGAAGCTTATAGGGGTATACTAGAGGTAATGTATATGTTTTTGCCAGTGAAAACTGCAGTATAATGTAATAAACTTTAATTTAAAATATGTTTTTCACAGGATTTAAGGTATACAAATACGACGATAGCAGTTTTTCCCGAATATGGACTGACAGGAATAACAAACAACGTGGAAGAATATGCTTTGGAAATTTCCAATAATTCATCTAACTTTAACCAGGTAATTTTTTCTTAAAATAGTTTGTCCATTTCGTATCGCTTTATTTTTTTCTATTCAAGTATTAAAAAGTATATAGGGTGTTCTATGGGGTTTCTATACCGGGAATCCAATTTTGTCTCTCCTGGGTCGAAAAGTCGTCTATGTTTCATACTATTTCATTGAGCGAACCGAACACCACGAGCAATAAAACCGAACTCCAAATCGTGATCCTACTGCAGAAATTTCACCAGTAATTGTGGAAACTTTAAAAAGAATTTGGCAACAAACCTCTATTCAAGTTGTTTCCTACAACCGTATGCTTAAGCACTAATACAATAAATAAAGAAATTTAAAGAAGTGTACCAAGTCTAAAAAGGGTAATACTGCTTTGAAATTAAATTTAAAAAATTTCGGGAGTCTGCGAAAAGAATTTTTTATATAAGTGCCTGCAAATGTAAGGATTTCACCCCATGTCATTGCATTAGAACGATCCGAGATCCAAAAGAAGAACGAGAATTTCTTATGGATCAGAGAAATGAAAGAAGGATGACAATGGTCTACAGAATTGAGACGAAGACTAAGAAAAAAAATTGTCTTGCAAAAAGTTGTGAAGAAGAAAATATGTCAGAAGATACATCCCAGACAGCATCCAATTCAGAAAGATTTCTGTACGAAATCTGTTGAAAAACATCTTACCGAGGTCACAATATGACATCTTAGAGAAATCATTTTTAGGAGCTCAAGATTAAGAACTCTTGATGAATTCATAAATAAAAAGTCAATTTTTTAACATCTTAAAGTATATTTTTTCTGACCCCTTATTGGAATCAAAATTAGAAGCTACTAAGGGTATCATAAATAAGACTTCATTATATGATATCTTACAGTATTCTCTTTTCTTCTTACTGAAATAATATTATTAACTCTTTAAGATGTCAAAATGGAAACCGCTTAACTGCTTGAGTTTGATTTAAAGCGACGAAACTGCAGTTAACACATGACGCAAAGATACTAATACTTGAATCCCGGCTAAGAAAATGGCTAATTACAATGGCTAATTTGTTTACATCATGCCAACGAGCTCACATTAATATACTTATTTCAACAATTACATGGAACTACTACAGGTCCTATAGAGGATGTCGGCCCAATAGGAAAGCAACTTGAACACTGTGAGGATATGGAGGTTGTACAACATGAAAGAATTGAAATACAATTACCAGAAGTTGACTTTAAAGATCTTAGTACAAATCAAAAATAATATGAAGTATCTCAGAAAGTGTCAAGCGGCGTATTTCCATCAGACCTTCCAAGAGAAACCCTGGGAAAATGGCAACCAGTTGGTTGACAACTGCCAATATATATTGCAAGGTTGGATCTTAACACTTGTGGCAGTTAATACCTTATTCTAGATATCTCGAGTTGATGCATCTAAAGATCATTGCTCGTTATTCAGCGGAATTCATTTTTGGGCACCATAAAAATATTCTCGCAGACAATAATCTAATAATTATTAGATTAGAACAAAATTAATGTAAAGATTATAATCTTTACATTAATTTTGTTCAAACTTTTAAAGTAGAAATCAGTTTATTGTTCTACAAATATTTAATTTTTCAGTAGATATAATTCATATTATGAGATTTAAAAGAGGATTAATGTACTAAAAATTGAAATACACGACAAAGTGCAATATTTTTCTGCATACAAGTTTTTTAGTCCTGAAAAAATAAGATTTATTATGTATTTAATTATTTATTTATTTAGTTTTACATCTTACTAATAGTAATTACTATAATTTAGATAGCTAATCAGTTGTTTTTTTTTTAATTTAAAAAAATATTAATGAAAAATTTTAATTATCAATATCAATAAATTAAATGATTTAATTGTTGTCGAATTAAAATTTTATTTCATTGTCTTATACATTTTATCTATAAATTGGTACCTATTTTAGTTTTTTTAATAAAATTTTTAAAGTTTTACAAAAAAAATCTTTAAACATTTTTTTAATTTTCTTTAAAAAATTTATAAATAGCTGGATCCAGCTGGATTAAAAACCCGTCTGTATTGCAATTCCTGCTCGTAATATAAAACCAATAAGTGAACGGGGCTAGGGAAATAATATTAAAATCACAAAAAACTACCGTTTGCCAAAAACACGTGATCGTCTAGTTTACAGAAATTAAGTTAGGACCCCTTTTAGTTGTCAATACGGTTCTGGATACGTAATTACTTAAGTACTTGAGCAATTGAAAAGATTTTTAAAAAGCAAAGACAAAGTATTAAATTAAGAAAAAATTTATTAATAAAGGCAATTAATACAAGAGTTAATATTATTGCTAGAGGAACTGGTCCGAATATGGGCCAAGCACTTAATATGGGCCCCCCACTTATCTTTGAAACAATTAACGCCATCTACCAGGCAATTTATAAATTTACACCATCAGGTTATTAAAACCTGTTTTACCAATTACCGCCATCACTCCACTTGTTTTTTTTGGAATATGCCGGTTTGATTGTTTTTCTGTGGGCCATAACTTTTCGATGTAAGTTTAATTTGACTAATTTTCATATTTCCTGATATTACTTTGCAGCTGCTCAGGCTTCATGTGATAGAAGGAAAGTTCAACATTGCATTGTAGCAGTGATTTAAATTTTAAAAAACAATGTTTGTTCAAAACCTATAATTTTATTACAAGTTGCATTTGGTGCAATATGGGCCCCTTTAGTTTATTGAATATGGGCCTACCGACGATGACCTTGATATGGATTAAATAGGACAATTCTCCCCCACAAACGATGCAATATGCTTATTCTGTGACAGACACTTCCTCTATGATAATAGGGGAGAACTCTGGGTTCAGTGTCTAATGTGTCAACTGTGGGCACATGAGCAGTGCTCTGGGGGCAGATAAGGATTTTTGCCGATAGTTTTGTGAGATATTTGTTTTTTTTATTTTGTGACGTTTGTTTATTTTGTGTTTGTGTGTATATCCTAATGAAAGATATAACTTTTTAATAGGGCCCATATTCCATACCCTCTAGCCCAAAGTCAAAAATGTGCACCATTTCATTCTTTGTTTTGCCATAAATAAATGTGTTATTTTTAAAAGAAATTAATATTGTTATTTTATTACTACGTCCCTACATAGTATGTAAACATCTTTCCACATCATCTAAAAAAAGAATAACCAAATTATTAAAAAAATACAAAATGGGGGCCCATATTCGGACCAGTTCCTCTACTGTACATTAATAAAATAAATAAAAACATTTCTATTTGTAGATAAGTATCACCTATTTAAAATAATAAGGTAAAACCGTTAAAAAACCGTTACATATACAATCCAGACAAAATCAAAGTAATCAATATGAATATAATCAATTATATTATCATATTGCTAAGATTATTCACCTACATAAATAATAGGCTCGGACGGTGTAGAAAAGTATGGTATCATTACTATAAGTTTAATTTTATTTCAATGTTTTTTTCATCGATAACTTGACGGAATAAATTTTTGTATTTATTATTATATATATAATTTAGTAAAGGGTCGTTTCGAGGGGTGATAAATCCAGTGCCGTGCTTAGATTTTGTTTAAAAAAATCGCTACTATGATTTCTTCAAAATTTACTCTTAAAAACTTACATAGTAGGCCTTGTATTTTGTACAAATATGGCGTTTTTTGCTCCAAAAATACAGTTTACAAGTGGTACAGTAGAGGACAACGGTAATGCAATTTTATTGTACAGTCATAAATACCAAATACAATACAAAATAACATGATTATCAATATTAATAAAATAAGACGATGTCACAATAACTTACATCATGGGCCCTACCTAACGTTCATTGTAAAAATGTGTTGATTGATAATTAATTGACAAACTGATTTTACATTAAGACAATAAACTTGGTTATTCAAGAGTTAAATTCACTTCCTTCAACAATTAAAGAATTTAACTATTCTCTTCAAATAGCAAACCGTTACTGTTTTAAATCGACTATCTTCTTTATGTTTTTTACACGCTCTTTTTAATATTTATTTTTAGAATAGGAACTGTACTAAAACTCCCTGGCGAAAATTAAATGTGCAAAGTGTGCAAAATTATTTGAGAACAATGTGCAGAGGGTGAGAAATGGAACATGAAACAATGTGAAAACCAAAAATTTACAGGTGTGAATAATCACTGGACAATGTTCTAAAGGGAACTCCTTTGGATACTTCACATTGTTTGCACACTGTTTCTTGCCACCTTCTGTTGTTTTTGGTGACCTCTAAAGTCTTTTAAATTTATTTAATCAATAAATAAATATCCTAATAATAATATTAATACTAACCTAATGAAAAGGTTCTTTTCAAAAAATTTTAAAAAAATACCCAAATGTATGCTTTAGAAAGTAAAAAGGAAAATCTTTTTTCTACGACCACTATGTAAAAGTCACATTTCGTATTGGCATCGTTGCTTAGAAAATAAATCTTTTCATTGGCAAGGCAAAACACGAATGTAAAGTGACATTTCTGTGTGAAAAGTGACAGGTCTGTGTGAAAAGAAATTGACAGCATCGTTTGACATTCGTTTCAAATTTTGTATTGTATTTGTATATGTATGTCTAAATATCATTAAGAACACAATTAATTGTGTTTGTATAAGAAATTCTAGTTTTTAGTGACTTTATTTAACCCTTTCAATACTGCGGGGATATATATGTCCCAAAGAAAATTTAAAAATTTCTCTACTTAATTAAGTTCCTTTAAATAAAACAGGGTTGGGACAATTTAGTTTTTCTATGTCTTGACTTGGGATATCAGTAATAAAAACTTAATTTATTTAACGCCACGTGAACAATAACCAGCAGATTTTCGGCCATTGCACGCTTAAAATTGAAAAATACCAGTCACATAACCTATTTTGTGCAGTTTTTGTGTAAATTTTGCTTAAATTTTTGTGATACTCTATGTGCATTGTACTTCACTACTCATTCCTCAAAATATACATTGGGACAAAAATATCCCTGCAGTAATATGACAGGGGATAGTTTTATCCCATCAGTGTTTTTTGATAATAAACATTTTCAAAAATAGTAGAATTTCTTTAGTGTGGGGATAAATATATCCCAGGGCATATTACTGCAGGGATAAATCTGTCCCAGGCCTTTTTTTTTCAAATACCACCAAAGTTAAAAATTTGTCATTCAGTCAATTAACTATTTTTAACACAAATATAGTTTTAACAGTAAAAAAAAAGTTTTAAATTAATTTCCGAAAAGTCGTATTGAAAGGGTTAAATTGAAAGGTAAGTTTACTGATTTTAAGTAACTTATACCTTAAAAATTAAAAGAATAAGATGAAAGATTTTAACAGCTGTCAAACACGTTTTTAGGTTATTTTGTTTTGTATTTGAATATAATAAAAAATAAAAGGGTCGGAGAAAAAACATTGTGTTTCACTTGTGAGAAAAGCTTTCTTCAAGCTAGTGTTAATGCACACTCGGCCTAACGGCCTCGTGGGCAACTTAAACACTCGCATGAAAAAGTCGCTTTTCAACACTTGTAAAACAAATAACTATTTTACTGTTACTCTTTGATATATATCAATATATATATAAACAAAAAATTCTACCTGTTCCACCCTAATGAAGATACCTACTACACAGCAAACGGAAAATTATAGAAGTGTATAGGATGACGCCACGTTTGAATATTGTTTTCTAAATCTCCCCACGGTATAGATTTGTATTCGTCAGTCAAGCGTTTCAATACTCTCCACAGTATAGAGGTCGTAATTTCACTTTTGAACTAGTATTAATATAAAAATTATTTTATGCTTAAAAAAAACTATATACGACATGATTGTGATTTTTTTCATTTTATTAATTAATTAAGCTGTGTTGAATATTTTTCCTAAAGGAATAATTGCCAATGGGCCATTAATTCATTTGTTGGTAGATGCTACAATAACCTGCACTGGTGTGTACTTTTTCATCAACCAGATTTAAATATTGCTGTACTAACATATACCAGTGGAGATAGTGCAGGGTCTACCAACAAACCTCATTACTAAATTATTAAAGTTTAATACTTAGCATATCGATCATTTTTTCAACATAACCTCTGAAATTTTTAATACAAATATAGGTACTTTATATAATACATAAATATACTTAACATCATATCCTCTGTGCTTTACATACCTGAGTTGTTACGGTAAATAAAAATCAGACAAAGGAACCAAAGAAAGGAACTATTTTCAACAAAATCATATGCAGAAATGAGAAAATTTAAACTACTTGCATCTATCAAAAGATCAAAACTTCTTGCAATATTACACCCTCTTTTTATACTCTCAGAAATATTGACTAGAACAGTATTAGTGAGACTCCAGACTGATATAACTTGGTAGAGTAAAGAGAAGTCGAAACCGTTGCGATATTGCATTACGCTGTTTTTGTATAATTCTCGGGGACATTAATGAAAATCATTGCCAGTAAAATTCGAAAAGCTTGAGTTTCTATGTCTCTGAAGAGAATAGGAATCCAAAGTTGCTGCACCATTGGACTGAACCCTTTTTTAATAATTTCTAGAGACATAAATGACTGCACCATTCGACAGGGTCGAGTTTCTACCTCTCTGTTGAATATAGAAAATCAAAACAATGTATCTTGTAAGACACCATTGAGTTTGAATTTAAATATAGTCGTGCATAGGTATAGAGCCCAAAAATATAAAAACAAAGCACGATTTAATACAGTTCTGATAAAACTTTAAGATTTAATATTCAAACGCGGAGTCATCCTATACAGTTCTATATTTTTCCGTTTGCTGTGTACCTTAATATTAAATTTTACGAAAAAACCTTATGAAATTATTGTAATAATACGTATCACACTGTAATAAGATGTAAGCCTGAAAGGTTTTCCCAATAAAAAATATTCCATCAAAATAATAACACTCTCAGTTGCAGGGGACCTTTTTAATTCACAAATTACATTTTAAAACCTCGGAAAATAATAATTGATGCCTGTATCCTGTTGGGTATCGCACTTCCTACTCGGCTGTTCAGCGCACTCCAACCTCTTCTGGCCGCAGCTGTGCTGACAGCAGTGGTGCTTCTGGCAGTGCAGCGGGCAGCACTTGATGCCGCACGAGATGCAACTCTTGCACCCCTTCGTCGAGCCCGACCTCTTGCAGCAGGTCGCCCGGCTGCACTTGCCGCTGCAGCCCCGCAGCTTGCAGCAGGCGCCCAGGTTCAGCGAGTTCTTCAGGCACTCGGTGTGCCGGCAGGTGTCGCCGATGGGAAACGGCGGTCGTTTTCCGCTAGCCGAGGCCGATTGGTCCATCGATGTGCGTTTGGAGGGAGCGGTGGATGGACGGGGTTCCCGGGATTTATGATTTTGTACGAATGATTTTTTTAATATGAGTGACGTTTTAGACTTGATGACGTTTGGTGAATACACTGAATGTCTTACCTTAGATACTTACACGACTATATACAGGGTGTCCGGGAAAAGGAGGTCAATCCGTTAACCATATATTCTTTGAGTTAAAACAATAACACCATTTTTCAATTTAGAGCTTCATGTTCGATATACAGGGCGACAAAGTTTGAAATTTAATACTGATTTTTTTTAATAATTCAAGTAATTGATAAGATATTAAGCAGCTATCAAATGGGCCTCAAACTACCTTTCAAATCGAAAACAATTTGTTGAAGTTAACAATGTTAGTTCATCTACTGCTGATATACATATGGGCGTCCCACAAGGTAGCATACTGGGTCCCTTATTATTTTCAATTTTCACCTCCGATATGTGCAATTCCATTAAAAACTGTTTAGTGCACCAGTATGCGGATGACACGCAGTTATATAAAACTTTTTACCCAGCGGACATTAATGCTGCAATCTCGCAAATTAACATAGATCTTAAAGAAATTAGTACTTGGTCAAGAAATCATGGACTGTTAATTAACCCCACAAAAACTATAGGTATATGTGTCGGTACTCCAACCTTAAGAAACCAGGCATTGATGTTAAAAAACTGTGATATTTTACTAAATAACAATGTGATAAGTGTTAAAGACTGTGTTAAAAATCTAGGTGTTATGTTTGACTCTAATTTAAAATTTGACTCTCATATAAGAAACAAACTTAAAATGGCATATGCCAAACTCAAGTCAATATATAGTTTTAAATATTTTTTGAGTAGTGATGTCAAATGGAAACTGTCATGTAGTGTAATTCTAAGTCTTTTTAACTATTGTAGCTGTGTCTATTTTACTATAGCTGATCAAAACTGGCAAAAATGTGTGCAAAAGCTGCAAAACAGCTGTTTTCGATATTCTTTTAACACAAATTATCGTGATCATATTACTCGTCATTATATTGAAAACAACATTTTAAAATGCAGCTATCTATTTTTATTACAATACACGGCGGTCCTCAAGGGTGAATAGGTTGACCAAAAATGTAGCCAAAAAATATTTACTACATCTAATTGTACTCCACTTAGGCTCTCTAAAACCATTTTTGGGTAAATCGCAGCTGATCGAAAAGTTGATTTTTTTTTAGTTTTAAAAGAAAATCATGGAATTTTAGTAGTTTTGTTTTTGTTACATTTTTTTATATCAAAAGTTTGTGTAATTTTAATCATTATCTTATTGAAAATCAAATTATTTAATCTTCTGAATAACATTTAGTAGTATTTATTAATTGAAATCATGGTTAAGTATCAAATTTTCATCCGTACTGCAAAAAATTTAATAAAAATGTAGGTAAAGGGTGCCATGAAATCTAATAAAATAAAATATGTTGTTATGAAAACCCTTCAATTGTTATTGAACAGAGAAAATAAGTTTTATTTAGATGTTTGTGCTTGTTGTGTTATTTAAAATAGTGTTTTAAGTTCAAAGTAATACTGCAAAAAGTCTCTGTGACGGCTGGTGGATTTTGGGTACACCAATATCTCAGTTATTACACATGGTACCTACCCATATGCAATTTAAAATTCACAATTCACAATATAATCAATAAATTTCAAACTTTATTTAAAAAGTCCGAGTATTACAGATTTTATAACATTTTAAAATTTTTATTAATTATAATTTAAATTAAAAAAAATAGAAATGGTATAAAATCTGTAATACTTTTTAAATAAATTTTGTAAATTTGTTGATAAACTGTAGTAAATTATAAATTGCACCATTTTAATTTAAATTATCTTAATTTGGCGGGCAGGAGGCTGGGGGGCCCACTAAAAAACTAACTTTTTTCCCCAAACATGTGGGTCCCATGTCTAAAAATTGTGATATGGGTGTGCCCAAAATCCACCAGCCGCCACTTTAAGATAATCATGAAGAAAACCGATCGAAAGTTTGTGTTGCCTGCGGCAGGAAGATAGTTTTTGGAAAATGCAATCCATCAAAATTTAGATTAAATGATAGCCTGTACAATTTGATAAATCTACACTGCTTTAAATTTGACAAAAATGACAGTAGATATCCCAATGCAGTATGTGGCAATTGTCGTTTGTCTTGATACGATAGGAGACAGAATATCTTAAAAATACCTCTTCCCAAAAAAGAACCGGGTTTTGACAAAATTGAGCTACATCCAAGAACGAGACACATGTCACCATGTAGCTGTCGACTATGTACCATTGCTAGTTTTAAAGGTCACAAACTAACACGCAAAAATCCTAAATGGAAGAACAAAAAAGCAAATTTTAGAACATGTAGTGAATGTTGCAAAAAGTTGGTAAAGGAATTTCCCACAATTGCAGGAAGCACAATTCTGTTGTCTGTTGTCCCCTTATTTTTTCTGATATTAATGAATCAAGAAATGGCACTTCAAATGTTGGTTTATTTAGAACTTACCTGGGAAAAATATAAAATTAATTGTTTGGACAATGCAAGCTATGGTTTGAGTTTGAGAAAAGCAGTAGTAGATTTTTCTTCTTGTCATTTGTAGGTTTAGTTATTAATGTTTCATGTTTTGTAAAAGTAGTTACCTAATATTATTGAAAAGATCAAAGGATGAGATTTTTATTCGAGTGTAACCAAAATTACAAATATTTTTGATATAACAAAAAAAAAACTAATAAAAATCCATGATTTTCTCTAAAAACTAAAAAAAATCAAGTTTTCGATCAGCTGCGATTTACCTAAAAATGGTTTTAGAGAGTCCAAGTGGAGTACAATTAGATGTAGTAAATAGTTTTTGGCTACATTTTTGGTCAACCTATTCACCCTTGAGGACCGCCGTGAATATAGTGTTTTAGTATTTAAAGTAGTCAAAACAGAGTCTCCATCTTATTTGTACGAATTACTTATAAAACGAAACCAATGTCACAGCTTAAATGTAAGAAATAATCAGTATTATTCAATTCCTAGTCATAGAACCTCGAAATTTGAGAAAAGCTTTGAATATTTTGCAGTAAAGATTCTGAACAAATATCACGATGTTTTTAACTCAACATACTCTGTAAATAGTTTTAAGAAAATACTCCAATCCACTTTGCTAAGGGAACAAGCTAGTCAATTTTAGTGTAGTAAAATTTAAATATATTTTTTGTATGTATTTTTTACCAATCTACCTTGTTATTTTTTTGTAGTATTAAGTAGGTTTAGAATGGAAGAACAGCATCAGCTGAATTCTCGCCTTTGTATAAAATATTGTTTTTATTTATATTTTTGTGCAATAAAGATTATTATTATTATTATTATTATTATTATTAAATTCGGTACACTACTTCAGCATAAATAGTTACATTTTTTGAGACCAACAAAACAAAAAACAATTGTCAAATAATCAAAATAGGAGGGTCCAGTACTCACTGACCTATTTTTTAGTACGTGCGCCAATGACTTCCAAACGGTATTTTTTCAGGTAATCATTTATTGTTGAAAATTTTTTGTCTCTTGTAAAGTATGGGTCAATCCATATCAAATTTTTGAAATTTAATTTTTTTTTGAAAAAGTTTAGGTCATGTAATAAAAAAGGCCTTTAAAATAAGCCATTACTCACCTTTCTACTTTTAATAGTTTACGTGATATCGCTATTTTTGTAAGTACCTACCCAAATTTATCGGAATTTTTATATTTTCAAAAATCAATAAAACAAAAACCACCCATTGAAAAAAATTCATATATGGGATTTTTGAGTCTTTTAGTGAGGTAAACAAATTTACTAAAAATAATCAAAATCGGAGATAGTGGGGGAAGAACCTTTGGTTGATTTGATATGGACTGACCCATACCCATATTATCTCTAAAACAAATCATTTTATCAAAATTTTATAAGAGACAATTTTTTTTTAACAATAAATGATTACCTGAAAAAATACCGTTTGGAAGTCATTGGCGCACGTACTAAAAATAGGGGGAGTCAGTGAGTCCTGGACCCTCCTTATTTTGATTATTGGACAATTGTTTTTTGTTTTGTTGGTCTCAAAAAATGTAACTATTTATGTTGAAGTAGTGTACCGAATTTGAACTTAATATCTTATCAATTACTCGAATTATTAAAAAAAAATCAGTTTTAAATTTCAAACTTTGTCGCCCTGTATATCGAACATGAAGCTCTAAATTGAAAAATGGTATTATGAAAGTCTTATTGTTTTAACTCAAAGAATATATGGTTAAAGGATTGACTTCCTTTTTCCGGACACCCTGTATAGTTAAAGTCAAACTCAATGGTGTCTTACAAGATACATTATTTTGATTTTCTATATTCAACAGAAAGGTAGAAACTCGACCCTGTCGAATGGTGCAGTCATTTATGTCTAGAAATTATTGAAAAAGGGTTCAGTCCAATGGTGCAGCAACTTCGGATTCATATTCTCCTCAGAGACATAGACACTCAAGCTTTTCAAATTTTACTGGAAATGATTTTCGTTAATGTCCCCGAGAATTATACAAAAACAGCGAAATGCAATATCGCAACGGTTTCGACTTCTCCTTACTCTACCAAGTTATAGAAACTCAATTCTATATTGCAAGAAGTTTTGATCTTTTGATGGATGCAAGTAGCTTGAATATTCTCATTTCTGCATATGATTTTGTTGAAAATAGTTCCTTTCTTTGGTTCCTTTGTCTGATTTTTATTTACCGTAACAACTCAGGTATGTAAAGCACATAGGATATGAAGTAAAGTATATTTATGTATTATATAAAGTACCTATATTTGTATTAAAAATTTCAGAGGTTATGTTGAAAAAATGATCGATATGCTATTAAACTTTAATAATTTAGTAATGAGGTCTGTTGGTAGACCCTGCACATCTCCACTGGTAGTTTTATGTAAGTACAGCAATATTTAAATCTGGTTGAACAAAAAGTACACACCAGTGCAGCAGGTTATTGTAGCATTATTTTATAAAATAATTTTCATGTTAATACTTGTTCAAAAGTCAAATTACGACCTCTATACTGTGGAGAGTATTGAAACGCTCGACTGACGAATACAATTCTATACCGTGTACCGTAAATATTTCTGAAATATTCATTAAATCACGTAAGTAAATATTTTTCAACGTTTATTTCGCAATTTTATGTAAATATTATTTCCTAGTTCCCAGACAGCAATATGGCGTACGTCTTAATTAAGTCTGCATAAGCTCTATTTTATGATTTGGACGTCAAATACAAATACAACATCAACAAAGAAGTTTTTAAGTTCTTAAGACTTCGAATGCGCCACCTATCGAACCAATCAAGACTTCTAAAAAAAAACTCTTGAGGAACCCTTTCTTTGACTTCGCAATTAAGCATTTTAAATAGTCATACTGTATAAACCTATAAAAAGACTTCTTTAGAATTTCCTGTTTTGGATATAGAACTACTACTAGGGTACTGATGAAAAAATTACATACTGGATCGTTGCTTATTTTGATATGTCTATAGACTATGGTTTAATTACCATATAACCAAGATTCATACACCTTAGAACAGCCATATGGCTCTATATAGGACAAACGAATTTGTTAAATTGATTTTATTAATATTTATTTATGGTACTAGTGTGTTATGTTGAAAATAAGTCACGCGAGAAAGATTTATAAATTTTCAAGTGACTTAGGAAACATAACACACGAGAGGCATACAATGTTTTATCCAACAAGTAGAAGAAATCGTTTTTTTATGAAATAATAATTAATAAGCTTTGTGATCAAATCAAAGCTACTTGCGTCTCAGTACCCTATAAATCTCAGAATGACTTGACAGTGACTTTTTTACATTTTGGTCATGATACATTGTTAACAAATGTTTAAATAAGTTTTGACACTTGTCAGTTTTCCCTGCAGAAAAGGGAAGATTTTTTTGAAGAAAAAAACGTATAGAAAATGGAAGAAACCAATGAAAATTACGTCCCTGAGGATACGGAAGCGGAAGAAGAAGCGATGCAGATTTTGCCAGAAAAGTCCCAAGATGCTTACGACAAGGAGTTCAAAATGTTTGAGTGTTGGATGAATTCACGGAAGATAAAAGGTATCGATGAAAATATTCTATTGGCTTATTTTTTACATGCAAAAATTAGCCCCATCGTCGCTATGGACCAAATACTCGATGCTTCGCTCGACTATTCACCTTTATAAAAAAACCGATATTTAAAAATATGGCAAACTAACGAGCTTAATGAAAAGCAAATTACAGGGATACAAACCAAAGAAGTCCAAGACATTAGAACGATCTGAAAAAGAGAAGTTTTTAAACGAAGCTCCCGACGACGAGTACCTGTTGATGAAAGTGGCTTTGATAATGGGGATTAGCGGTGCTTGTAGATGCGATAATTTGGTCAATTTGAAAATAGAAAATATTCAAGAGAAATATTTTTACGTAGTTTTGCCAGACACTAAAACCAAGAAATTAAAAAGTTTCACCATACTTGAAGATGTATTTCCAGTCAACCCGATCAATTTTTGTAAAAAATACATGTCTTTGAGACCAAAGAAAACTAGTTCTAGTCGCCTTTTTGTTATTTTACAAAAATGGGAGGTGTACCAGCCAATGTGTGGGAATAAATACCTACGATGTCGAAGATACCTTCAAGAATTGCAATGTTTTTGAAATTGGAGGAACACTGCATGAGAAGATCTTCGGCGACTCTTTTGGCCAATGCAGGGGCTAACATGACTACTTTGAAGCCTCACGGAGGATGGAAGTCTTCTACGGTAGCAGAAGGATACCTAGAATAATCGGTGCATAACAAAATACAAATTGCAGAAAAAATACAAGGTTCTAATGCGTCGGCGTCTTCCAGCACTATCAGCAGCTGTACCGATATGGAAGCGACTGGTTCCAATGAACCAACGAATTTTACAATGACTTCAAATTCGAATAAACCGTTAGCGTTTTTCTTTAATTTCAATATCAACGTGAATTCTGCTTGTAATAGTAATAAATAAATAAAATACTACTTTAAATATGAACGTGTGTTATTTGATAGTTTACTTGTCAAAAATGGCATTAATAATGACAGTCATACGTGTCATGTGTTGGATAAAATAATTTTAATAATTTGCTCGTATTCGCTTATTTTTGGAATTTCGATAATTTTCACTATTGTTTAAATTCAAACGTTCTCTTCACCGGCACCGATAGATGGCCTGTTTCGCTATTTGGAGCTCTTCAGTATCGGGTAGCCGTTTACATAGGTCTAAGACCGTTTGGTATGGAGCACGCTCTAAATTCTACTTCGCCGCTTCTTAAATCAAACACAAGCAGTTACAGCGGTGAGAAGAAAGTAATCGCATTAAAATGCCATAAATGTGACGTCTCAAAATAGGAGTAAAATGGTTGTCCTTAGAACTTTAAGGCCTCTTTTAAGGCTTTCAAGTGCCTCTGCAAGAAACACGTGCTGATCAACATTCTGAAGAAGTCACAGTGTGACGAAACAATTGTCAAAATTAAATAAATAACGTGAAAAACTTATCTACTCATATTGCATATTGTTTTTTTTCCGTAAATATTGATAAACATTATAAATTCCCTGCCTAACAACGAGAATAATTAATGAACTCATTATTCACGTTGTTAGGCATCAGTGATTGGCCGATTTCAATATTCACTGTAATTTGAACCAATCGGGTTTTAAATTGGGAGAAGGCGGCTATAATAACATTTTAAATTGGTGAAAAGTGAGGTTAACCATTTGACAGATGTCAGATTTTATTTAATTATTTTTGAAAATCATTTAATTATCTACTTATTGGAGTAGATAAAGTATAGTATTACACTCTAGATTATATGCATTATCTCTCGTATGTTAACCTCTCTCTTATTTAATCCTATATCCTATTATATATGAATTTTTCATAACATTTTAATTTTAGGTACTTAATTATTTGTCGGACATGGCGATAGAACATAACATTACACTCGTTATTAATCTTCTAGAAAAAAGCGATGATAAATACTACAACACCAATGTCGTTTACAACCATAAAGGGAACATTATTTCCAAGTAATGATTTATATAAGCACCCCAATAATAAATAAAAAAAATAAACTTTATTTTTTTAGATATCGTAAAATAAATTTAAACGACGAGCCCAATTTGACCCCTGGTAATAATCTTTCCTGGTTCAATATTAATTCACAGCTATATGCTTTGATGACGGTCAACGATGTTTTATTTAAAAACCCATCGGAAATAATTTTAAAACAAAATAAAAAAGTGGACAATTTTTTAATACCGATAACCAGAAAAAACAATTATCTTCCATTTGAAATGGGTAATAAATAGTTATTTATGTCATTAGGCTGAGAAGTGAGTCTTTTTGAGCTGAGCTCAGAGTTTGAGCGAAGCACAAAAAGACACTTCTCATTTTATGTAGATTTTTTATAAACTATTTGTATTATTTTTACTAAATCTTAATATTTTATTTAGCCACGAGTTTTATATATAGCTATTTTAAAAATACCGGATATAAAGCGACGAATTATAGTATAAAAAAATATGTAAGTATAAGAGTGAAACCTCTTTATTGTAATACCAAATAACAAATTTTTATTGTTTTTAGAATTCAACTTTCAACAAACCCTTAAATATAAACAATAAATTTAAAAACATGTTTTATGAAAAAAATGTGGGATATGCCTCGGATATACTTCCTTTAAATACAAAAGTGTCCTTGAAAGTTAATCATTTAACATGTTCTGTCAAAGTAAATTATACTGAAAACACGAAATCTAATTTTTATTTAAAGTAAGTAAATAAATGTCTTCTTTTTTTATAATGTAATTTTTGTTTTTAATGAAAGCGTCTAATTTTTCTCAAGCGTCCAAAAATCGATTTCTGGATTATGATCATTATAGATTAATTATTTAAATTAAATTATCTAAAGCCAGAAATAATTTTTCTTGAATACTAAACAAAATATTTTAAATTAATAAAAAACAGTAAAACTTGTTTGGCATAAAGTATGTTTAATTTTAAGTACTAATGTTTTTAAATATTTTTATTTTATTTATTATAATTGTTGATAATCTTTTTTTGCGTTTTAGGGTAATCCTTTTTGACGGAAAAGACATTGAAGTGGGTGGAAAAAGGCAAAGCCAAATGTTTTGTTCCTTTTTTCATTGCGAATCCGATGAAATAGACAGTTGTGGAAACATTATAAACGAAAATATACAGTTCCACAAAATCAGCGTAACCCTTAAAAGCGATATAAACATAAATAATGGGTCCTCAATTGATTTGATAAGGCCCATCACGTTACGATCCAATTTGAATCCCGTGGAAAATTATAATTATTCGGTGGATAGAAATACAGTGAGTTTGAGTGGGGAAAATTTACCCAAAGGGACTTTAGTTTTTGGGGTTTTAGCTTTAAAAGATCATTCCGATTTTAGTTCGGGAAGTAATACATCTCATATTGCTTTGCAATTATTTTTTTTAGTGTTTCTAATAAAGTTTTTATTAATTTAATTTTTTATTATTTTTGTTTATTATAAATAAACAACGGGAATAATAAACTCATTATTCACGTTGTTGTGCATCAGTGACTTGCACTGTGATTTAAACCAATCAGGAAAAGGTGTTCATACTTATTGAAAACAGATAACCAATCAAACTGGGTTTATTTTTTTATTTTAAATTGTTCAATATAATCAGTTTCCAAAGGATGTAAAGTTGGTCCTGCGATAATTAGAGAATGTAAAGGTCCTCCCAAATCAATGGAGCACATCTCTTTAAGACTGCATGTAATCAACTGTTGATTGTCTGATCCCACCCTTGCCAAGCCAATGCATAGATTGTCCTCATTAACAACTAAAACCGCATAATTTTTAAAAATATAATATATATAGTTTATTAAATACCTATACACGTACGCATAATACTTTTATGGGTATTTTTTATTTGAAGTTCTACAAGGTTGGTAATATGAGAGAAAAGATGCCTACTAAAATTAAATTTATCAATTGAAAAAAAGCCAGCAATTCTCAAAATATTTTATAAAACTAGAAACCTAATAAAATCCAAAATCGTAATAATTTCGTTATTCTAGGGAATTACATATCTACATTTTCATCCAATTTTTTTGCTAGTATATTTTGAGTTAGGGTAAAGTATACAGTTATCTGACACTTTATAGTTATTGGACAATTAACATTAATACTGTAAAAACAAGAGTTTTTTAAATAGTTACTTTTAAGTCAAATCATTAGATGACACTATACAATTATAACTACCTCAGTCGGTAATAATATAGAACTATATACTATACTTTATTTTGGGTCCAATATAGAACAAAAAAGTTCGCTCGTTACTTTGGTGGTAAGATTTTTGTTTTTTTGTTAAGAGCAGGACTGTGTTTAAATTACAATAAAAAATATTTCTAAAAGGTGTACAGATCAGTGTGTGGTATAAATGTGTTCCTCATGGTTTAAACATTGTCACTTTAATGCGTTTTAATTTTAATTCTGAAGACAAACAGTAAAATGGCCAGTGTCCAATTACTGGTTGGTAAAAATTGTAAATTTTTATTATGGGCCATACTCTATTTATATTCTGGACATTTACCAGACCATTCTTATGTAAAATTGTCCCCTGAATCCTAAAAGACCGTCAAAGACTATAGAAAAGGAGTATTTGAGATATAGTCATTCCATATTATATGTAAAATTGATTACATTTCAAAAACTGTTCTACTTTTATAACTTTTGACGGCATTTTCGGATTCAGCAAATATTTCATAGGAATTGACTGCTAAATGTCCTGGATAAAAATTGCTGTTGACGAGAATTATTAGTGGCTGCTTTTTCGCTATGATATTTTTGACTAATTCATTTTTGGAGAGTAAGTAATACAGGGTGTCCAAAATGTGATGGGATAGCATTGCTTTCTCGGAAACGGTTACAGATGGAATAGGGCATCAAGGGTTCAAAAGTTGCCTTTTATCATGGCATCTGAAGATTGCACACAAAATCAGCGGTTCTCAAAATATTTGAAAAAAACTGAAAATTGGTTAAAACTTATTATCGCTATTATTTTTTTATTTATAGAAAATTTGAAAAACTGAATGGTTTACATGAAAACATACACAATTACATACGTTTTGATCCTTTTTGTGTATTTTTACGCCTACTAGATTCTGAGATATCGTTACATATGGCGGCCATAGGAGAAACAAAAGATAGTAGCCGTATCTCAAAATCTAGTTGGCGTAAAAATACCCAAATTGGATCAAAATGTATTTAATTTTATATGTTTTAATGTAAACCTTTCAGTATTTTAAAATTCCTAGAAATAAAAAAGTTATAGCGATAATAAGTTTTAACCGATTTTTATATATTTTTTAATATTTTGAGAACCGCTGATTTTTTTTGCAATCTTCTATGCCATATTAAAAGGCATGTAATTACGCAACTTTTAAACTCTTGATTCCAACTATAGCCGTTACCGAGATAGCAATACTATCCCATCACATTTTGGACACCCTGTATAGTGATTTCTTCATCACAGGGCATCTTGCAGAATAACAGTGATTTAAATACAGTGCATGATAGAAAACATAAAAAACTAATGGCAACAAAATTAATAAATTCGGAAAATACTTTTAACATACCACCCGAAAAAATATTAGATATATATATAAATCATCCTGTTCCAGCCTAAACATCATAAATGCTTCACAAACTAGAGATACCAGACTTAATGATATTTGCAATAAACTATTTCAGAAGTCAGACCAAGGAATTAGTAACCATAAAAAAAGGATAGTAACCTTTAGTTACCTTCAGAATCCAGAAAAGGGATGAGGAATCCGAGAAAGAAATATATGAATCCGAGAAAGAAATATATGAATTATATGATATTTACAAAAACTAAATAAAAAAAATTACCTAAAACAGCAATTTATCTTTAAAAAATATTTAACAATTTTTGTTATATGATGCAAAGTTGTTATGTTTATATAAAAATTGTATATCCAATAACTATGGTCCATGTGTCCAAGTACTATATAAAATGTCCAATTACTATAGTTTTTGCATATTTTTATAAAACTATTATTAAAAATTCAAATATTCTTATTTTTAAGTAAACAAAAATAAAGTTTAAACAAACAAACTATCCTTTTTATATATTTATTATTTTTATATTTATTTTATTTTAGAAAAAACTAAAATCTTAAAAAAACTAGCATATATTATAATAAATGTGTCCAATAACTATGTGGTTTACCCTACCATCATCTACTTTTGTTTTTGTGATAGCCATAACTTATATTGTTTAATAGATATATCGTTAATTTTCTATTTAACCAATTCCAACATGGGGGTCATAGAAAAAACAAAAGATGGTGGATAAAAATGTAGATAAATTTATAAACAATCAACAGTTATATTTTGTATTAGTTTAGTTTGTTTTATCTAGCCAATTATATATAGAAAAAACAAAAGATGGTGGATAAAAATGTAGATAAATTTATAAACAATCAACAGTTATATTTTGTATTAGTTTAGTTTGTTTTATCTAGCCAATTATATATACCTATTATTATTATTATATTATATTTTTATTAGCTAAGTTAATTCCATTTTTGACAAACTTGAAAATGAAATGAACTTTTGCAACCAAAACTAAATATTAAAATAAATATATGATTTTTAAACTATTAAAATATAGTTACCAGGTGTTGTTCCACTGTTCCTTTTCCTTTGTACAATTTTGATTAATTGATCTGCTGCCTCACTAACTGACATAAACCTTGGGGGCATAAACTCCAATTTTTTCTTTGTTAAACTCTCCAAAGTTGGTTCTTTAACTTTTATATCTGAAATCAACAAAATCAAGAGAAAAACTTAACACAAAAATAAAACAAAATGTACCAACCTAGTAAACATAATGTGTGCATGTTATTATTAAAATTCGACACAACCTTATCATAAAAACTATCTGGCTCCCAGTTCTCACTCCAATATGGAATGGAAATAGTTTCTCCGAAGTTGTATAATTGCAAACCACAACAACCGACAGCATTTAAAATTGAGGCATTATGAACAACCTGGTATTTAATTCCTTTTTGTATGGCACGTAAAATTATGTCTGTATGCGTTGTGGCTCCAAAAGGATCCCCGACCACCAATAAAGCAGTGTCAATTTTATCCGACTCATTCAATATATCATCAACACCTTGCTCGACTAGTATCCTATCTGCTATCGTAATTTTTTTACCATAGAAATCTTCCTAAAACCACACAATAGCATAAAACTTACATTAAAATGTATAGTTACTTACAAGGGCCTCAACACCACAAGTTAAGATTGAAGTGTAAGCTTCCAAATAAATTCTTTCGCATTTTTTCACGATTTCTAAACCCTTCACCGTGATGTCCTTATAGTCTCCCAGTCCTAAACCAATGATATAAAACATTGTTATTGTTTTATTAGCTATTAAACGAGCCACAAGGTTATAAACATGTGTTTTGGTAATTTTAACCTATAAATTTTGAATTTGATATGTTGTGGTGTTATCTTGGTTGCCTAGATTTTAAAAAATGATAAACCAAACAGCCTTCATTTCTAATCATTCTTTTTCTATGATTATTATTATTATTATCTCTGATTACACTGTAGGTAAATTTTTAACTTTTGAAATATCACAGCTAAACGCTCGGACACGTAAACATAATTTTTGGTCGTAGATTCCAAATCCGTGCTCGGTTTAGCTGTATCAGGTCTAAAAAAAGTTTTTCCTTTTGGAAATCCGATCCGGGGACACACTGTATACTGGTATATTATAATTTCTAAAATGATATAATTCACCTCTTGTGCCAACAGTTTTATGCTTTTTATTTCATTTAATATAATATCCTTAATTATACCTACTCAATAAAAAAAAATCAGCAAAAAAGCATTTCAAATTTCCTAAATTATCAAAGAAAAACCCTTAGGGACACGTGTATCTTTTAATCAATTAACTTCAAATTTTGCAAGAATTTGTTATTTTTTAAATTTGAAACTGATGTTTGGGTCCCACCAAATTTAATTTAAAAAAATAATTTATACAGGGTGTTTAAATTTATACAGGGTGTTTCCATTATCTTTGAATTTTGACCTGATACAGCTAAACCAAGCACGGATTTGTAATCTACAATCAAAAATTAAGTTTATTTAAATTTACGTATTTTTTCAGTTTTTCCGTAATTAAACCTAAATGGGTAAATAAAAGTTTTACCCCAGCTTACACAGGTAAATAAAGATAACATAATATTATGTTATCTTCTATCTATCGATATCGAGTATCTATCTCATGATCCATTCTTAAAAAATGGCAGAATAAGCATTGAAAAAATGTATTAGCCAGCTACATAGGTATGGATTTATTTAATTAATTAATAGCTAACATTTCGTTTACCTATAGGTATACGTACCTACTTATCTTGTTAAGATTTTTAAAATCCAAGCTTGTGGTTGTCTTAACCCATTCTTCTCCTAAATTGAGCTCGAAAAGAACAGGGCAATCATAAATAATATATAATACTTTTCCCAATTTATGAAGCTGTTTTTGGGTCTGTAGTGACCCACAGGCAAAATAATCGATCCACACAAATTTTCGATAAATTTCAATCGCAAATAACTTTTTTATTTGATATCGGATTTAAACAAATATTAAAGAATATTGTAGATACATTAATGGAGAATCGCTCACATTTTAAAAATTACTAAAAAATACAGGTACGTTTATAATATACAGGTTTAAACAAAAAGATGTTTTTTACCATAAGTTTAGAGTGTAGAGTGGCAAAACCGTATATTTTTCTAAATTAAGTTTTAATTATCAAGTCACATTTATTTTTAAGAGTTTTGTTTTTGGTTCACCTTGATATATTTATTTTTGTGGAAAATATGGATATTTTTAAAAAAACAATTTCTAATATTTTTCCTGTATAAAGAACTAACAGTGACAGTTTTGTTGAATTATCCCATACTTAGACATGTCATATACAGCTTTCAAAAGCTATCAAATTGTTTTTTGTAAATTAATGTGTTAATTTTGAGGTGTCTTCTTACTTTTAAAAATGTCTCCGACTGATGTTGCCCTTTGTACTTTACTTCTTGTAAGGTTTAAAAACTTGCCACGTAATACTATGACCGTCCATCCTGGATTAAATTAATGGCTCTGGCAACATCAGTCGGAGACATATCCATTTTATAAAGTAAGAAGACACCTCAAAAACAATTTGATAGCTTTTGAAAGCCATGTATGACATGTCCAAGTATAGGATGATTCAACAAAACTGTCACTGTCATCCTCCATAGGCTATGGATGGACCATAGCAACCTTAGTTCTTCATACAGAAAAATATTGGAAATTGCAATGTTTTTTTAAAAAAATCCATATTTTCCACAAAAATAAATATATCGCGGTGAACCAAAAACAAAACTGTTAAGAATAGATGTGACTTGATAAATAAAACTTAATTTAGAACAAAATACTGTTTTGCCACTCTACAGAGTGTTTTAAACTTATGGTAAAAAACATCTTTTTGTTTAAACCTGTATATTATAAACGTAAGTCTATTTTTTAGTAATTTTTTAAAAAGTGAGCGATTGTCCATTAATTTATCTACAATATTCTTTAATATTCGTTTAAATCCGACATCAAATAAAAAAGTTATTTGCGATTAAAATTCATAGAAAATTTGTGTGGATCGAATATTTTGCCTGTGAGTGTAATTTCGACAAGATCAGAAAGATTTTTTTGGAAAGTTTGAATCGTCATCAATTAAATTTAATTTTGTTTACCTAACCCTAAGAACCCATAAGAAAAAAACTAGTATTTATTACTAATGAATCCACCGTTTAATTTTTGCCAACCTTTATGTGACACCCTGTATAAAGTAAAAATAAACATCGATTTTTAAATCTGCCACATAACAATAATAACATTTATGCCAAAAATGCTATAACAAGGCAACCAATTGGTAAGTAGGTAATGTAAATATACGATAAAACTTGCAAAATTTAAAATACCCTTATGTTTGTTATTGATTTAACCAACAGTTACGAAGTAACAAGTCCATACAAACAAAGCGGTTTATAGAAAGAAAAATAAAGACCGACGCGCGTTCTTGGTCAAAGATTATTTTCGATAATTTATACAGTACAAGTTTTTTTTAACTCTTTATAAAGTGGTAGGTCACGTAAACTAAATTCGATCCATTTTATTTATAAGGGTGAATAGTCACAGCAGAAATGTCGAATAGACCACAAGTTTAATATAAAATAAACGTTTTACATTGTAGTAAAACATGGATTCGGACAGTGATATGATTGTTAAACGAGTTAGTGTACCCATGGGTTTGGAGGAGTTAATGGAAGGTTTAAGCAAAGAAGTTTTGCTTAAGAAACCCAAGGATTTATGTGAGTTTGCTGCTGAGTATTTTTCTAGATTACTCGAACTACGACATAAAGGTTCATATAAAGGTAACAAAATTAAAATTTTTAAACAAACCCTTACAGTGATAGTTATAGGGACAAGTTTCCGGAATATTACTTCGGGATCCAAACATATATCCAAAGAAAAGATAGAAGAGTTTATGAGAATAAACATAAAAGAAAGCGAAAGAGTCAATAAAAAACGCACCGTTAGAGAATCTTCAACAGAGCCTATAGGGTATAAAAGAACCCAACCAGGAAAAACTGTTATAAACATTGAAACTACAACAAGAATATCAAGAAAAGATACAACCACAAAAGATGTCAAACGACGATCTACCGTTTCCACAGAAACAAGAAGTGAACACCGCAAACACTCAACCAGTAGATCTAGTAACAGCAATAGTAATAGTAGTAGAAGAGAAACTTTAAATGAAAAAGGCAAGAAAATATCACCCAGAGAATCATCAGAAAGCAAACGATCTTCATCGAAAGAATCTAGCAGAAGTAGGAAGAATTATAGTGAAAGATACTCTAGAACATCAAATGCAAGCAAAGAAAGATTAAGTTCAGAAAAATCATCGTCTAGTGAACGTTTGTTGGGCAAAAAGGGTGGCGCAGCTGTTGCTGTAGCTGAAGGTATTATCAAATATTTTATTTACTTAAATTTTAATTGTTGCTATTTACATTTTACAGTTTAAAAATATATTTTAGGTGTAGCAATAACAAAGGCGAAGAAATCAAAGAGCGAAAACAAAGAAACCATAGATAACCAGATAAACGAAAATATAGTTGCGAGTTCCAATATCCAAGAGAATAGTGCTACCAGCAATCAAAAAATAAAAGAAAAAACTCAAAAAATCAGAAACAGCCCTGATATAAAGGACAACACTTTAGACGACTCGTTCTCTGATCATTTTTCAGATGCTACTCCGAACTTAGAAGACCTATTATTGGATGATAAAACCGTCACAAGCACAGAAAATTCATTTGATAATGTAGAAAAATCCAAACACAGTTTGGAGATTATTGAGACTATAAGTGAAAATGTACAAAATGAGGAGACGGTACATAGTAAGATAAGTGAAGAAGAAATTATTGTTGATTCCAATAAAAGAACTATAATAGAAAGAGTAAATTTAAAGAAAGAATTCAATACTGCTGAAGGCACAAATGTTGATGAATTACAACTAAAAAATGAAGATAAGAGAACTAAAGAAAAGCAAGAATTAAAAACAGAAACTAAGAATACTATGAATGGTGCCAAAGTTGATTCTAAAATACCAATCACAGAAACAAAAACTACTGAAAAAGATCAAAAAATGGACAGGGATAAAAAAGAAAATGCAAATAATGATGGATTAAATCAAATAGAAACACCGGATAAAACTGTAAAGGTAAAAACACTACAAAAAGGCAAACAAGTGGTAGAAGATGATGAAGATGATAAAGGGGCATCTGAATCAGATGAAAATTTTCAAAAAGACTTTAAAATTTCCACTGACGATAAAGAAAAATCCAATCAAAATGACATAGAAGCAAAAACTGAAGAAGTTTTTGAAGAAAGAATTATTATAGAAGAAACAAATGCAGGAAAAAGATTAGATAATAATAAAATAGAACATCCAATTGAATTCAAGGAAATACCCGATACTGACAATGAATTAACGAAAGAAAAAAATAATACAGATAATGCTAAATTAGAAACATTAATTAATAAGGAAGAAACACATGGTCAAATATTAGAGAATAAAGACAACATTAATAATGTCAATTTAAAGGAAGAAGTAAAATATGTTGAAGAACAAAACTTAAATACTTCTAATAAAGATTCAATATCAAATAAAAGTAATGCTAGTAACAATAAAAACATTAGCACTAATTCCATAGATAATGAAAATATTGTAGATGTAGCTAAAAATCAAGAAACAAATAAAATTGAAGAGAATACAGATGATGTTAATAAAAAATATGAAAACATCCCAAGTGATGAAATAAAAGAAAGTACATTAAACAAAGAGGAGCAATTTGAAATTACTGAGATAGCAGCGGTGGCAAAAGAAGAATTAAATGTTATTAACCATTTACATGAAACCCAAAATGACAACCAAGCTGATAACAGCTTAAATTTAGAACCAAAAATAGAAGTTATTGATGGTAAAATTATAAAACAAATTGTATCCAATACAGAACCAGAGTTGACAAATATTGATGTCAAAGAAATTAATAATAAAGAAGAGGAGATTAAAGACAGTAACAAAAAAGAAGCTTGTGAAATAATTGATGCAAAAGAAAATAAAATTAATGAAGAAAAAAGGGAAGTATCAGAAGGTCCCGATATGAATAACTCAACAGACCCCAAAATAACTAAATCGGCAGAAAATGATTTACCTGAAGCTATTATAACCAAAGAAAACACTTCCTTCTTAAAAAATATTGTTAATAAAATTGAAAAAACTTTTCAGTCCAAAAGTAGGACTAAAGAAGGAGCAGATAACAAATATGACACCAAAGGAGACACAAATATTAAGGATTCAGAGGAAAATAATGTAAATAAAGATGTAATAATTCCATCAACCAAAAGTTTTGATGTGAATGAATTAGGAAAGGAAACTGATGGAGCTTCAAAAATAGAAAATGAAAATGCTAGAAATGCTTTAAAGTCAACAGAAAAATTTGAAGATAATAAAGGAGATATTTCAGTTATAAAAAATCATGATTCGGCATTGTTTATTCAAAATGAACAAAGTCATGTTTTTAGGAATGACAATTCTCATAGTATTACACAAGATCATACTCTTCAAAGTAATGAAAGTACTTCCAAATCTGATCGTGTACTTCAGGAAAAAGCAACACCAATTAATGCTGAAATAGCTAATTCAATCAAAAGTTTTGAAATAAACCAGTTAACAAATAAATTTGATGGAGAATCAAAAACGGAAGATGAAAAAGATGTTAGTCGAGATGTTTTAAGGTCACCAAAAAGTATAGTTAATAAAATTAAAAAAACTTTGTCAAAAAGTAGCATTCAGCAACAAACAGATAGTAATATTGATGACACAAAAAAAGATGAAATCAAAATTGTTAAAGATTCTGAAGAAAATAGTAATAAGGATAATATTATTCCATCAAATAAAAGTTTTGATGGGAATGATTTAAACAAGGGAATTGATGAAACGTCAATAAAAGGTAAAGGTAGTAGGGATGTTTTAAAGTCTCCAGATTCTGAAGAAAATTCATACAAAGATAATAAAGTAGATATTTTAAAATATCCAGTCCAAAAATTGGAAAAATTAATAACAAATAGTGGAGAGGCAGCTATTGATACAGTCGATAAAAACGATACAAATAAAAAAAATGTATCAAACAATGAAAATAATGAAATAGAGGTGAAGTCAAAACCTGACAATGAAAACATAGTTCAAGAAAATTTGGAAAAATCAACAATGGATGATAGCGAAAGTATTCATGATGATTTCAGTAATAGCGCAAAACAAGAGGAACTTGCATTAATTGAAAAAGATTTAATTACTTTTACATCTGGAAGAAAAAAGAGAGAAATAGATCTATCCCAAGAACGTGAAGATTTATCCCAAGAAACCAAAGATAATCTAGAACCAACTGAAACTAAAACTAAGGATTCTAAAAAAGCTTACACTGGTAAAACTTCGCCAGATATTAAACAAAATGAAGAGTCTGAATCTAAAAAAGTTTGCAAATCTAAAGAAGTGCAAAATTTAGATGAAGAAATAGATGGAAAAGATGAATCGTCAAAAGCCATACAGGGTAAAGGCAATTTGGAAGAAACCAAACAAAGTGAAACAAGAAATTCAAAAACTCACGTAGACACTGGAGAAACTACAAATTTAATAGAATCTAAGGATACAAAATTAGAAAAACAAAATATAAATGAGGAAACAAACAATCCCAATGATTCAAAACAAATAACAGAAAAAATAGAAGAGAAGTTAAAAGATGATTTAGAAGGAAATAAAAAATCCCCCGACTCAATTGATGCTGAAGATACCAAACATACATCATCATCTACAGATTCTCCAGAAAAAGCAAAAAAAAAGTTAGTCCAACAGGATTCTCAGAAAAAAGTTTCATTCGATACAAATCCAGTTCGAATTATAGAAACAAGTGACAACAATATTGAAGATACAATAACTTTTGGAGATAGCAACTCCATTATAAAGGTTTTGGATAAAAACATAGACCATGTTGAAGAAGAAATAGATAAGTTATTGAATTCCGCTAAGGGAGTGGATGAAAAAAGTACATTGGTCAAAGGAGATCCAATTAAAGAAGAGGTTGATGAACTATTAAGTTCTACTGAAAGTGTAGGTTTGAAACGGTGTAAGTCAGTTATAAACAAATTAGATGAAATTAATAAACCAGAAAAGACTTTAAGTTTGGATGAAAACAGTGTCAAAACCAAAAGTTTTGATTTGAAGGATTTAAGGAAAGAAATTAATAACGCTGCAGGGGATAATAAAACTGCAAAAGAAGATGAAAAGTATGATAAAGAAATAGGTGGTAATGTAGAAAATGAAGAAAAACCAATAGTGGTCAAGAAAGAAGATATATCTTCGTTTATCGATAATGAAAGAAGTGATGTATTTAAAGATGGGCAGTTTATTAAATTAAATTTAAATGACGAAAATTCAAGTGTATTAAAGGAAGATTTACAAGTTATGGATACAATAGAAAAAGAACTTGAAAAGGAAATAATAAGCAATGAAGACAATAGTTCTATAAATAAAGAAGATAATAATATGGATAACGAAATTGAAAAAGAACTTAAAACTAAAACAGATCTTGGGGAAGAAAATAGTTCTAAACAACAAAATGAAGAACCAAAGAAAGAAATAGAAAATAATAATGAAGATAAAAGAAAAATTAAAGAACAAACTAACAAAGAATTTGACAAGGAAATGCAAAATGTAGATCAAATTAAAGAAAATGTTTCCAAAGAACATGGTGAAGAACTAAAGGTAAAAATTAAAAGCGAAGATAATCATGTAGATAATATGCAAGTTGAAGAAACAAACAAGGAAGGTCTTGAAAAGGATATTACAGGAAATAAAGTAAAGGAGGAAATTGAACATAGCATTACTAAAGAAGATACAATTAATGATAATATATTAGGCGATCAAATGCCTACGAAATCCAAAGAAAACGTTAAAAATAATATAACTGAAGAAACCGTAACAAAAGAACTTGAAAAACCTGCAGATCCCATGGATAACATTGAAAAAGAAGATAATTGTGTAGATAAAACTTTAGTTAAGGAAACTATAGAAGAACATGAAAAGGAAGTTCAAAATTTAGATCGAATTGAAGAAACTAGTTCTAAAATTCATAGTGAAGAAATAAAGCACGAAATAGAACAAAAATATAACAATGTAGTTAAGACAAATGTTGAAGAAAATACCAAAAAAGAAGAACTAAGAAAGGAAAAAGATATTGTAGAACAAAAAGTAAATGAGGAAAATATTGAAGATACAATTAATAGTAAAATATTAGACAATCAAACGCCGAAAAAATCAAACACAGGATTGGAAGAATACGATAAAACCAATAAAATTAAAGATGTCGTAGCAAAAGAACTTGAAAAGGACAAAAAATCTGAAGATCATGGTGAAGAAAGTAGTCCCAAACAACAAGAAGAAGATTCAAAACGTATAAGTGAGGTTAATATAATGAATAATAAAGAAGAAACGGATCATTTAGAAAACGAAGAAAAACCAATTATAGTTAACAAGGAAGATATAAACTCATTCATCGATAATGAAAAAAGTGACATTTTTAGAGATGGAAATTTTATTAAGTTAAATTTAAATGAAGAAATAAATATCGATAACGTGGGCAATTCAAGTTTAAAAAATCAGAATATGCAAGGTGGAGAACCAAAAAATATGGACATAACGGTAAAAGAAATTAAAACAGATTGTATTGAAGAAAATAATGCCAAAAATAAAATCAATGAAGATAAAAATGTAGAAAAAACTAAGGAAGACAAAAATAATAGTGAAATATTGGGCAATGAAATGGAAACTAAATTAGAAACAGAAAATAACACAACTGATAAAACGGATAAAAATAGTCCAAAAACAAACAATACAATACGAAATGAAGAAAGTCCCAAAACTACTAAAAATGTGAATACCAAAAAACAATCAAAAATTCCTGAAACCGATGTTAAAAAATTATCAAAAAATAAGTCTTTAAATAAACCCTACATTAAAAATAAATCTTTATCACAGGATAACATAAAAGTTAACGAGGCCCCAAATAAAACAACAAACTCGAAATTAAAAAGGAATAAATCCGTTGATGTGGTAAAGAATTCCAGAATTCCAGAACATAAAAGTAGAATTCCAACACCCAATAAGGCAAATCCTAATATAAATAATAAAGGGAATGGAAAGGATACTTCCCCAAGATTAAAGATGGGTATTGTCGACCTTAATAAAAATTTAATGGATTCAGATCATCTTAAAAAATCGCCAAGAGTTTTAAGTGGGAAAAAATCACTACAATTAACTGATGAAGCCAAAGAAGAATCAAAAGAGGAAGATTCTGTAAAAGAAAATAAGGGTTTGGAAAATAAAAAAGAAATATCAACTGAAGATAAAAATAATTTCAAAGATGATGATGAGCAAAAAAAACAAGAATATAAGGAAAACATTAAAGAAGGCAGTGAAGAATCAAAGAAAAATACTGGCAGAAAAATAGTACATGAAGTTTTACAAGAAAAAAAAGAATCTATTATAGAAAAAAACATTAATTCGGATAATGAAGTAAGGAAAGAAAATGTAAGCAGGGAAGAAGAAGAAGAAACAGTTAAAGATGTTAACGAAGAAAGCACCACTGAAAAAAATAAAAAGTTAAATCAAATTACTGGTAAAGAAAATGATCTTAAAATTGTTGATTGTGATGTTAGCTCATTAGAAAAAGAGAATGCTGAAAATGATTTAGAAATTCAGAATACTGCAAATAAAATTGAAGATCCTGAATTAGGAGAGAAAGGCCAAAATAAAAAAACTATAGAAATAATTTCGGCTAAAAATAATGCAAAGAATCAAGAGGTTTCTTCTAAAAGTCAAAATAATGAAGATGGTAAAGATACTAAAAATGAGATAAAACATAAAGAAGAATTTAATGTTAATGAAAAAGAAGAGAAACAAGAAAAAAACAAAATATCCAAAGAAATTACAGAAGAAGAAAAACAATCCAGATTTGATTCAAGTAAATTAAGCAACGAATTAAAACAAATTCATGAAGATGCAAAACTATCTTCATTTAAAACCAGCTACAATCCGTATGCATTAAGACAAGAAATTAAAAAGGCTTCTCAAGAAAAATCAGATAATTCTGTAGAAATAAAAAATGGTTTAATAGACGTTGCAGCTGCATTAAAAATACAGAAAAATTGGAGGAAGTTTAAAAATAAAAGTAAAAAAAATAAAGAAGCTCTGAAAGAAAAAAACGTATTAACTATAAGTGAGGTGATGGCTGCTATTAAAATACAAAATAGTTGGAGAAAATACAAAAATAAAGCAATAAATAAAGACAATAAAACTGTCAAAAATAATAAAATAAAAATAAGTGATGTAATGGCAGCGTTGAAAATTCAAAATAGCTGGAAGAAATACAAACTCAAAAAGTCCAAAAATAATGATGATTTTTACAAATCCGCCCTTTTGATACAAAAACTATGGCGTGGCTTTAAAGTTAGAAAAGTGCAATCAGAAGGAAAACTCTTTGGTTTGTTGAAAGATGATGATAAGATTAAAAAAATTGAAGAACTAAAATCCCCAACTGAACATTTAAAAACAAATAGCCATCATTCTGCAGCGTCAAAAATACAAGCACTATGGAGAGGTTTCAAAGTCAGAGAAAATATACTGGGTGTTCAAAACAAGGTAAACATTATTTAACTAAAAATAACTTATTTGCTTGGTTTGTGAGTAATAAAAACCGAATCTGGTTTCTTTTTTTTTGAGTGGCCTAAAATTCTTGTACAGTGTAATAATATGCAATACTTTTTAGCTACAACTAATGGAAAATAACGAAAACTCAAATAAAAATAAAACATTGAGTGAGAGTGACATTATGAAAGCAGCTACCAAAATTCAAGCAAATACACGTGGTTATCTGCAAAGAAAAAAATTAAAGGAACATACAAACACATTGATGGCAATAGATGAAGATACGAATAAAGAAAGTGCAAATACATTAACTGACGATGAAATATTGCATACATTAAAACAACTGGACAAAATAGAGATTCCTAAAGACGATTTAACAAATGGAAGGACAAGACTCACTAGAAGTATTACTGTCGATGAACCTGAACATAAAAAGAGAATTTATGGTTTATTGACTAACTCACATTCTTTAAATATTGATGAAGGGGTAGTTGTGGATGAGGAAGATAACGATCTCATGGATAGTAACAATAATTTCGATGAAAAATCTGATTTAACTCCCTTGGAAAGTGAAGTTAAACAAGAAATCGACCGCATATGCAAAACAGCAGAGGTTCGAGAAAATGTTGACGACTCAAAAATAAACACAGACAATATTAATAAAATCAAAGACCATTCTGACGTAGATAATCGAGCATGTAAACCACTCTTAACGACCGAAAACAAAAATAAACAAAGTAATACTATCGAACACGATTCAAACTCAAACAAACATTCGAATAAAAGTAGTGATAAATTATACGCAGGCAAAGCGAGTGGTGATGACCTAAATACTGACTACGAAAACGCTCCCACCAGACCACTAACGTCTGAAAGAGATAACGAAAATAAACAGGCAAATGGAAAGCATATGAAGAGTAAAGATGGTAGTGAAATATCAAACGATGATATTAAACAAAATGTACATAAAACAGATACTGTAGAGGAGCTCGAAGAGAGACCCATAAGTATTGACTCCACGGATTCTGCAGATACGGTGATCCTCAATGAGAATTATAATAAAGACAATGAAAATCAGAGTAAAGGAAATAAAGAAGAAAGTGCTAATACGGAAAATAAAAAATCTAAAGTCAATTTATTTGATATTGCGCAACTAAGGCATGAATTAGAAGAAGCTGGTTTAATACACCACAAACACTTTACTTCTTTTGAAGATGTTGACAGTAATATAGATAAAAACAGTGATAATAATGTAGAAAGTCACTATGATGTAACTTTACCAAAAGATGTTAAGGATGTGATTGATGAAGAAACCAAACTATACAAATCAAGGTCGAGTGAGAGTCTTGCTCCAATCTTGGAAGAACAGGATTCTATAAATGAAGATGCAAAGACAAAATTCATCAACGAGGGGGTGCAAGTGGATTCGCCCAATGAAATAAGACTTGTTCACACAGGAGAGTTTCACGATACAGTCGTCATACCTTTATCTCCTCGTTCAAGCAAAAGCAGCAGCAAAACTCCCGATGTGGATGAAAAAGTTGGTGGAAATGTTGGGGAAGCTAAATCTCAAGTCGACAGCTCCATGCAGACCACTCCACCACGTACGCAGGCTCATTTGAGTGGTGAAGAAAGCGTGCCTCCAGGTCAAGTATTTGTTATTATAGTAAGTGGATTTCACTTTTTCCATTTTTGCACAGACATTGTGTTGGTTTGGTTATTTCTGCTGTCCAAGGTAAAAGAACCATTAACTGACATTTTTCATAATTTGAATCCTGAAGCAATTTTGCATTTTAACTGCGCCCAAATTAAGCAAGGCGAAAAACTGAGACAAGCACTAAATTACAAAATCGTTCACTGCTTTTTGTCACCCTGCTTTTACTTTGGACGGCAGATTTGTTAAAGGGTGTCTTTTAGAAGGATATTTTAAATCGTTTTGTTTTGAGGCACTAAAATCATAAAGAAGCTTTTTTAAAAATACATTTGTACCTTATTATTTAAACATTGTTTATAAGCCAGGTCTATAAAGTAATTTAGTTGAGATTATTCGGCGTCTATTTTTAACATTTTTTACTTTTATTAAACGTATTAAAAGTATGGAACAAATTCATAAAAAATGTGCATTTTTCCCCAAAAAATTACTTGAACACGTCGATTTTGCTTTTTAATTACGCGCATTTGGTAAATATGCTCTCTAAAAATGAATTAGTCAAAAATGACTATAGTTATCAGTAGCTGCTTTTTCACTTATAAAAATTTAACAGCCAATTCTTATGTAAAGTTGAATAACAGTTTTTGATATATAGTCAATTTTCCATTTAATATGAAATTTACTATATCTCAAAAACTGCTCCACTTTCATCATTTTTGATGATATTTTCGTATTCAGGGGACAACTTTACATAAGAATTGGCTGTTAAATTTTGGGATACCATGGTATTTCATGGTTAACTATGGTGCAAGTGAAAAAGCAACCACTAATAACTATTAAATTAGTCATTTTTGACTAATTCATTTTTAGAGAGTATATCTTTCGGAATGATACGTTCGGAGATTATTAAAAGTGGAAAATTTATAGTTTTTAATAATGTGCATATTGCTGAAATCGTGTTCAAAACATATTTTTTTTATAATAAATAAAGATTTTTTTATTAATTTATTTTTTTATTTAATAAAAAATCGTTTTAATTTTATTCGTACACGGAGAAAATGTATGTTAAAAAACGTATATTAAAATTTGTATATTAGAAAGTAAATTAAATTATTATATAAATTAAAAAACTGGATCTCAATAAGTATAATAAAAATATTATAATCATCATATGATTGAAGTTATGATACGGTTGATTAAGTAGTATTATATCATTTATTAATTTTACACTTTTAACTTAATATTTAATACAAATAAAGTAATATGTTAATGCGGTTTAATATAAAATATTATTATATTTACAATATATCTTAATTATATTTTTATATTAAATTTTATGATACGATTTAGCTGTCACTAAATTTAAAGTAAAATATAATCAATTGTATTATATTTCTAATATCATTTATTTTTTTTTTCTCCGTGTACTATAATGTATAATTAATAATCTATAAATAAAATCACAAGTAAAACGAAAAATATCCTTGATGGCCATTACAGTATTTAATTGAAACCTTTAATACTAAAAACGGCCAATTTAAAATACAAGGTCTTAATTATTCATATCTAGGCACATGTAAAAAAATAACAGTTGTTTAAAACATTTGATAAAAACATTTTTTATGTTAAAAATTGTTATTTTGCAATTAAATTTATTACCCACTAAAAACCTCTTGACATGGGTATTTTTAAACTAATATTTTTAAATAATTCATATAATAGACAAAAGAACATATTAATAAAAAATCATGGTTTACGTCACAACGGAGTTAAATAAACAAACATCCTACTTTGTTGTCAAAGAAAATTATTATTATATATTTCTTGTTAATTATTATGACGTGTGTACCTAACTTAAACTTACGTATTTATCAATTAATAATTATTATTTGATAAATTTAAAACCAATCAAGCAACATTATACTTCGTATAATGTTTTTTTAAGTTCTTACCTATTACAAATGTTTACTCTACTGAGGGCCGGTTTATCAATCTCTGGTTAAGTTCCAGTTAGTCTATCTGACAGTTAAATTCCATATCGATCGTTGTGAGAACAATGGTATCCATAGAGATTATCTGCCAGATAACTAACTGTAACTTTAACTGGACATTGATAAACCGGCCCTGAGGGCCGGTTTATCAATCTCTAGTTAAGTTCCAGTTAGTCTATCTGACGGTTAAATTTCATATCGATCGTTAGTGATCTGGTAGATAATTTCCATGGATACCATTGTTCTCACAACGATCGATATGGAATTTAACTGTCAGATAGACTAACTGAAACTTATCCAGAGATTGATAAACCGGCCCTGAATGTAGGACTGGGTCCTAATTTAACTATTCCCATTTCCCTTTTTTAACAAAATAAAATCAGTTTTCATCCATTTTTTTTTTATTTAAATTTTAAAAATCGCTTTTATTTCTTAAAAAAATATATCTAAAAACTTTTTGTACAAATAATAATATTGGACCAATACATCTTTCGTCAGATTTTTTTCTCGCATGGTACAATATTGAAACCCAACATTGGCCCGAAGTTGTTTGACATTATATAACCGATATTGGAAATCCGCATTGGCCCGAAATGTTTTACATTATATTCTAGAAAAGTTGAGGGAGAAATTGAAAGAAAAAAAAGATAGCCACCTAGTACTTACTACGTAGTAGGATTTCTAAAAGTGAAATGTCACGATCGTGTCGACAAACGTTTGTTTTCAGGAAATGTTTATGATACTTAGGGGCTTAGAAGGGGGGGGTGACAGTGCCCACCCAAATGATAAGGGAAAGAGGGGGGTTACTGATATAAAATGTACATCCCAAGTTCTTTGAAAAAATCTACCAATAAGACAAGTCGTGTACCGTCTATGTTATTCTTAATTACGATGAAATGCTAAAATCGTTTGTATACAAACAATATATTGTGTGCTAAAATGATCAGCTTGAGCTTTATTAACGTAATAACGAATTTTATTGCTAATAAGACCACAAATCGCATATTACCCTTGTTATCCTAACGGTAATATGCAAGAATGGCCTTTATTATTTTCACCCTTTTGGTGCTAAACAATAAGGATGGTAGTAGGTTGCGCCACCCCCCAACTTAAAACCGTTCCTACGCCACTAGTATAGACATATCCTGGAAACAAACGTGTGTCGTTAAAGCATCGTTGACTATAGTTAATGATATATTGGCGTAAAATAATATGCCAATATAGGACCAACCTTGAATAAACATTGGCAATGATATATTAAATTATCATTTTATGCCAATATAGGACCAACCTTGGCTAAATAAATCCAATATTGGCCCCAGATAAAATATTGGGCATAGACGCGCCCCATATAGGACCAATATTTTGTGCTACTGGGGAATGTTCAGCACGATCTTCTTATGGGGATATTTCAATCGTTTTGTATACAAAACTCGGACTGTACTTATTACCAGACTAAACTATTAAAAAATATTGCAAAGCAAATAAACGAAAAAAACACTAATGCGTTTATAATGCATTATAATTTAAACAATGCGATATTATTTATTGTTTTATAACACATAATTTTATGGTCTTTATACGTGTTTGTCTCAAATAAATTTTGCGTGTTTTAGCATAATTGAAATGATTTATTTTTGGGATATTTTGAAGTTGTTAAGCTGGTAAACAAAATTATTGACTTCTAAACAAATAAACAATTTCATTAAAACGTATCAAAATGTTTTCGTAGAATCTAATGTTCTAAAAATTAATTCAAGTGTATTTATTTATGCAATTCAATTTTATAAAATTTCCGCATAAACATTTTGTTTTATCCAGACATCAAATGTTGGTTTTATACGCAAAAACAATATTTTGGGTACACCTTTAAATGTACAGGGTGTTTCGAACTAAATTTGTGGTTCAGCCTACATTGCGATGGTGTTATTAAAAAAAAATATTTTCGCTAAGATTTGCAGTTTATTACCCACCCTGTATAAAAATGCAGTGTGAAGTGTTTATTAAGATATTTTATCTACCCCTATTGCATAATATTGTGTTTTTCTGTTAATAATTATAACCATTATAAATTCCTATCGGAATCGGAAAAAAACTTTTGTAGATTTTGTTGAATTCTTGATCTTTAAAAAAGTTTAAATATCAACTAAAATGCTTGAAAATAAATCGGAATTTTGTGATATGGTGGTATAGTCTGCACCCTTTATATTGCCTTGGTCCGGCATCTGGCAATGCCAATAACAAAAACAAGATATTAAATTTGATTGATCAAATATTATTGAAAATTATTTTATGAAAAACACTTAACGAAATTTGGCACGGAAGACTCTAGTTTCTCTAATAATAAATTATTTGCTTTGGTACTTTACTTGTTAAAATAATGAATGCCATCTTTTTACTAAAAATAACTTTTTATTTTAAAATTTTTGTCGTTGCTGTGATGTTCCAACGTCATATTATGCAAAGTAAAGTTCAGAACATTTTTTACAAAAAATTTATATAAAAATAACATTTTGCGTGCGTCTTAGTTACACGTGCATGGTGTTGGTGGGCATTTAATTAACCGTTAACATAAATTTTAATCAATTTAAGATTAATTTTAACCGCACTATTTGTTTATAGGCTGATTGGTTCAGTTAAAAGAGGTTTTAATTAAGAACAAATATGTTTAAATAACTCTGGTCGATAGGATAAAACCAAATTAAAATTTAAAGGCAATCAAAAAAATTGCGCGTGTCAAAATTTATATTTACGGTCATTTTCGCTCTTGGATCTTGTGCGTAATGATTTATTTTTTTCTTGTATTTTAGTACTGACTCATGCAAGCAAGTTTTGGGTTTTTTTAAACATTTTCTCAAACAGTTTCATTGTTTTTTTTATTTGAAACTCGTATAAATACATATTTCAATTTATTACTGCTCACAGAATTTATTTAAGGAGTCGTACAAGTGCCATTTTGACAATTTTTATTTAATTGGGTTGAAATTTTCACACAATATATTAGATGGATAAAGTTATCAAATTTTGCTAATTGTACCAAAACTGTTCATTTTACAGCACTTTCAATTTTGAAAATTCTCCGATTTTGGCTAAAAAGGTATTTTATTTCATTAAAAATAATATTTTTAAGGAGAATAACTCAATGAATTTGTATAATTTCAATCAAAATAAGACAAAAATCTAAATAAATATTACGTATGTTTAAAAGATACAGGGTGATAAAGTGTTACTTTCATTTCAGTTTTTTTAATATAGGTAACTTTTACTATGGTGAACTTAAAAAGGTGATATTTTGCGAACAGTCCCTTACTAGAAAAACACATATTCACACATAATTACAATTGTTCGAGTGAACACAGTGTCGTAGAAACAGGGATTGCTTAAGCTTATTGTCCCATACAAACTTTGAGGTTCGGTTTTCATACCATTTGATGCAATTTTTCGATTACTGTTCGGCTACTATAAAAAAGGTGTACCTCTCAAACTTCGATAAAATAAACCGTTTCCGAGATATTCGAGATTACAATAATTGTTATATCGCTTTAAAGGGCTAAAAGGTATTTGATAACAAATTTTTTAATTGAAAAAACTACACTTTTTTATAAGGTGAGGGTCAGGGCAAAAATTCCCGTATTCGTCGCTGAAACAAATATTTTAATGAGTGTAAGATCTTAATTTATTCTTGCTGTCATAATTTCACAAAACGTGATTCTTCGTTCTGGGTTATCATCACCTAACGCTTGTTAAGTCTTCATTTTATAAGGGTAAAACTGATGTTTTTTAATACTCTCCAAAGTTTTTTCTGTTTCTCTAGATGCTTGCCAAAGTGACATAAAAGAGGAAATTGCAAACTGTCCGATTACCTAAAATTGTTTAATTTAGTTTTCATGCATTATGCCTTAAATTTGTGTTTGTTTCTACTCTCTTAAAATGAATTAGTCAAAAATATCTATCTATTTACCGCTGCAGCGGTGGACTAGTGGTTAGTGCTGTTGACTACAAGCCGAGAGGTCGTGGGTTCGAATCCCACCAGGGGTATGGCTGTTTATTTGTGTTTGTCCTATTGTATATAATATATTAGTCCTTCGGAGGGGACTTTAAGCCCGTGGTCCGTTTCTACCCCTAACCCGCTCAAGCCATTCAGTTGGCTTTTGGGACTTAGGAAGTAAGGGTGGAACTACATAAAGATTTGTTATAAGAAATGTTGCTTTATTAATCAATTTCCTAAACAAAACAATTGACACAAACCTACATAAATGAACACAAAAATAACTTATACTCCATTCTGAAATCATCAACTTATAAAGAAATTTGTTACAATATAATTAACACTTACACTGTTTAAAATTTCATGACCATTTTAACACCAAATTAACACCATACATGGTCTATATCGATACAAACCAAAATGGTGTTAAATATGATTCGTTGGTGCGGTGTAAATTCAAATACAAAAATAGTGTTAATTTAACTTTCACTCGTATTAAAATAAATTTTACCTGGTGTAAATTGAACTCCTTTTCAGTGTTAAATATTATGTGTTTTTGGTCAAATTAAATCATACTATACAAAAAAAGGAAAAAAAAGGAAACAGAAAATTCCTTGACGCATTACTAGTATATTACCAGTGGTATTATTCCAGAAAATGGAACCTTCAACTTGCTAGAGATAATGTTTTTAGTGAGTTCCACTAACTTAAAATACTTCAAGTATTGACAGGTGTTTCCACCTATTTAAGGTCTCTTTAGTATCGAACCACTTGTAGTGTCACACCAAAGCAAAGGACTACCTAGGCCTACCTACTCTTCATGTATGTCAACAGAGGCGAGATTTAAGAACATCACGTGATCCACACCGCCTTTGCCGCGATCGGTACACACTATGCAACCGGGAATGCACGGCAAATTGTTTTAATCGTTTTAACAGAGTGCTTTAGGTTGAAGTAACTCTTATTTTACAAACAACATATTTAGTAAACTGAACCATACAGCGGGTTGGTTTTACTAGTCTTTTGGGTTAATTTAATCAATTTAAAAAAATAAAATAACTATCTGGTTTAGTAATCTTTGTTTATATTAATCTTCCCACAGTTGATAAAAATAAAAAAATACAAAAATAAATACTTATGGGTCAACTAAATTAATATAGTTAATGAACTTATTCCTTTTTTTCTGTGTAAGTGCACTTCTAGAATATTTTTAGATAAACACCGTTTTGGTGTTTGCTGTGTATAACATTTTCAACCATAATTCATGGTGATATATTAACACCACTTGTTGTTGGATTTTGACACCATTTTAAGATTACTCTTTACACCACAGATAATTTAAACAGTGTACTGATGTATTTCAGTTTGACTGCCTGAAATCACGTGTACTTTTTCAACGAAATAATTTGTTAAACATTAACAAAATAATCTGTAACCTTTGGTATTACCAAAATGCTTGCAAAATTGCATATTAACTTGACAACTTCATATTAAAAAAAATACTTAAAATAACTTAAAATAAATGAGTTTTCAACAAGTTACTCAACTTCACGCATAGGTGTATCATACACATAATGTGACCTTCCACACTATCCAATTAATTAATTAGCAGCAACACGTCAACCGACAAACATAAAATCGATCAATCTAAAAAATGAGTAATATTAACGCAGGAACTTCCCTTCCTGCAGCAGGTCCTCCGCTCTTGACGTCACAGCGTCCGAAATCATCCAGAGGGCCGAGCGCGCACGTCTCTCTTAAAACAAAAGCCAACGCGTCGCGCGAGGCCTCCTCGATCTCCGAACGCGACGATAGGCTCAGTGCGCCGCGTGGAATGGACGGCAGCCAGAAAACGAAGCAGCGCGCAGAGAAACAGACCCGCCAAGCAGCTAAAGCACCGAAATCAGATAGCGACATGGAAGTTGAAGCTGCGACGAAGATTCAAGCTGGTTTCAGAGGGTATCAAGTCAGGAAGCAGCTGAAACAAAAGGTAGGTTTGAGTGTGGAGTACTGTTTATATAATTATATTTTTTTATTTTAAATTATAAGCCTACATTACAGATTTTAATTTAATATTGACGTGCAAGATTTCTCAACTTTTTCTTGGTTAACGTGCAAAATTTGTTTAAAGTGAATCGTGCTAAAACGACAACAACGATGATGATAAACCGAAGTTTTTCTGTCAAAAGTATTGTTTTAATTTGGAATTAATTAAATAAGTGTCTATAAAAGTTTATAAACGAGTTGCATACTATACTTTATCTATTTTGCGTTCATTATAACACCGCTTTCGGTGCTTTAATGAGATACTTTATCCCAGCCAAAATTTTGATTTTATAAGTTTTTCTAGTACTTACGACTTTTCTAGCAATAAATTTTGTTTAACTCCAAAGAAAATCATTTTTTTCTTCTTTAACATAAACAGCCGCTTATTGTAAATAAGTTAATTAAGGACGGCATGGCGAATCGATTTTGACATTAACTGTCAAACCAATGACTGTGATATCAACTATCTAAAGTAAAATTCGAAAAATTAAATTTAAGGTATAAAATTTTTTTTTTCTAAAAAATAATTTAAATTAAATTTTTTTTTTAACTTTAATTGCAAAATATTATTACAAAGTTTTAAAAATTCTTACACTTTTTGTACCTTTAAGGTAGTTCTCGTGGTACAATATTGTCAAAATTTTTTAGATTATACGCACAGTAAAAGTATACGAGCTTGTAGCTAAGTGATTCATAATTTTTCGCAAGACTGTACCCTGGAGACGTTACCTTTACGTAATACTTTCAAATATTTTCATAAGTTTTAATCCGGCAACGTCGCTTATGCTCAACCAATAGATGTATTGGAGACTGAATCAGTCTGTTTGAATTTACTGCGGAAATAATATCTATACTCGCGTACAGCGTTGCCAAGTTGTTTTTATCTGACACTAGTGATGTATACTTTTTACAAATTGTTGAACTTTAAACGGTTATTTATAAACAATTGGACGGTCAAAATATTTTAATTATTTTTTTTAAACTCAGCAAAAATACATTAAAAGACTGTTAGTTGTTTGAAAGCTTCTGACAGTTTTTTTTATAACTAAGAAACTGGTACAGAACTACAGAAAGCGTATACAATCCATGTTAATTATCCAATTTTTAATTGAATTTATCTCGGGTTATAGACGGTCAATCGACTTCAAATTTTAAGGATAATTGTATTGTCATGTCCTTAATATGTATACAAAAATTAGACTATATTACATTTTTCATTATTGAAAATTTTGACCGAGACTAAAAAAAATATCTTATTATTTGGTAGTTTCCACATAAGAAACCAATAACAAAGTTCACAAACTATAATGGAAAAAAATTAAATCTTCGTTAAAAATGGTCGTATTGGAGCCGTAAAAAAAGCAATTACAAGCTTGAAGTTTTTAGTTTTGAGATTTTTAGATGAAAAAATTTTCAAAGCAACGTGCAACGCTCAATCCTAACGAATGCCGTAATAAAAAAAAATCGAAATTTTTTTGGCTTTCTTTTTTGGACTACGGAAAAAACGTTATGACTTAACCATCATATGGACTGTATAACTTGTTCATTCAGCTTTAATTTGCTTTTTTTTAGACTTTGATACGACCATTTTTCGCTGATATATTGA